TTCTGATTCTGATTCTGATTTTATTTTATTTGTTTTTTTTTTTTTTTTTCCCTTCCCTTTTTAATACGCGTAGTAATCAAATTGACCGCTTAGTCCCTCAAGGGGACCACATTGGTCTGGTCACGCAAGGTTCCACTTGCCCTCCAGCTAGTACTAGTAGACTACTATCTAGTGCTACTAGGTACATAGATTTCAGCTAATCATCAAGTTGACGTGTTGGGGTTGCCTAGGGAGGAGAGCATAAGAGACAGAGAAAGTGTATTGACGCATTTTGTCTGATGGGAAGAGATGTCATAAATGTGGAGCGGAATGTTACGGTGATAGATAGAGTGACGCAATGCATGCCTCCCCTTCTAAATGGGAAGTTCCCCATAATTTCAATGCCCGCTTGTTGAGGAGTACCTTATCCTGGGACGGCAGCCCCTTGAATCGGATCATTCGTCCAACGAATGAGATGGGCTTCCAGGTATCATCCACTTATCGCCCTACCTACCTAATAGCAATCAACTGCCTCTCTCGGTTGATCCTCAGCTGTCAGTAAATAGAACACGAGCACTACGAAGTATTCGGTATTTTTTCCATGTAAGTATCCTTTGGTGAATTGGTAAAACGGAGGTTGTCTTTCTTTGTTATTCCCTCTCAATCATTTTTGGATCTGGACTTGAAACTTCCCCTCTTACCCTGGCACAACAACGGAAAAATAATGCAAGAGGAACTATTTGTTAATGCACCAGCCACCGAGGTCATTGCTCCAATTTGATTCTTTGGCCTTTTACAATACGTGGTGGTCTTGTAATTGACTTTCGGAGAGCTCCGTGCGACGGCAGCGGAATCCCGCCGTTCTGATTGGCGGGCCAGACTCCCAGTCAATTAGGTAGACGTTATTGTGGCCTTAGGCAACACATTTTGAATGTGGAATCCTTACCTGTAGGTATCATTACAGACAATACAATACCCCAGGATAGATGACAGCAGAAGACGAGTCCATCATCACCTGGATATGAATATCTCCCCCAGAAATATTGGCGACGATCATGGTCTGATATCAATTGAACCCAGAGACCCGTAGTGCGTGTCTGTGCTGGATGGAGTTCTGTCAAAATTACCTATAGGCTATCCCATGGATAGAAGTGACCCGTGCTCAGCTTAGGTTTCGGATATCCAGAGGTCGCCGTCTTTCCTTTTTCTTCTTAGCTAGTACTTTAGCCTCTGGGGTCTTTGAACTCGAAATCCCTTGCTCTGAATCCCTTGCAGGTTTTCTGGATTCCACGCTTTCCCCAGACATTGACAGGTAACGGTGTTTATATGTAGTTTATTGGCGTTAAGAAGAAGCTCCCCAGCGCTGGTGTCGTCTCCACGACGGATGTGGCCTACGCCAAACGAGATAAGGTTCCCCTGCTGATATATGTGGCTGACGCCTCCCTCCTGGTGATACCGGGTTCGGGGATGCGCCAAGGGGGTGACGCGCCATACGATGGTAAAGAAAAAAGAAGAGGATTCGGAAGGCGCGGCAAGTTAAGCCCTTCTAGAGATGTCATATCAGTTGTTTGTTATACGTCCTATATCTTTCTACTGAAAGAAATGATTCTACCAAATACAAAAAGGAAAAAGGGCCCAATATCTTATGGGATTTTACTAGATGCATGCATATACAATCCGCGAACGTGTCAACTGTTATGCTAATCTCAATGCCACGTTGGTACATCTTGGATTGGAGTCACTTCCCGTATGGGTTTACTTCCCCAAGCCTGGTACTTCCAGCAGCGAAAGAGTTCGAGCCCCTGAAAATTACGTTCCTGCGTTCCATATGGACTCCTTTCCTTCCCAGAACGGAAAGAGTCTTGGACTCGACAGACAGCCAATGTTATGAACGGCCTTTCTCACTCAAAGAGAAAGAAGCAACAGACATTAATAAGGGACACGCAATGCTATCTCCTTGTAAGTTCACGAACAAGATGTGGCAAATATTGCCATTGTGCTGATAAGATGAGTTAAACCATTGGTACCTAGATGCGTTAATTTGGCTGTTGACATGTTTGCATGTGTGATGCTTGGACTTGTTAAGTCCTACATAGTCTAGTGAGCTTTGAGTAGGAGCACAAGAGTAAGTTGAAGGTTGCCCTGGGCGTTGACTCATTAGCGTGGACTGGGCATCCAATTACTTCCTTTGAGTATGGCGTACATCTTCGAGATGATTCACAAGGGGGCAAAATTATGTAAATCGGATCGTTTTGGCTACCAAACGATGATCGAAAGCCACAGGTATGGAAGAATTTTCCAGGTGCCTTTCTTTCCCCTTTACAGTGGCTTTGGCCATACCGAGAAGACAAGTTCCAGGAAGTTTCCCCTAGGAACCAGTAAGTAGACCTACATACCTCCATACCTGACTCCTGCCTACCAAACCTTTCCTAGTAGGTAGCCGAACAAGGAACAACTTCCCATACCTCCTACCGATAGTTACCATACCTCTGTGATACCACATCATTTCTGCATGTACGGTACCTCAGTAATACATGGCGGGTAATCCTTTACATATTGGACCCACCCCACACCCCTCTTTCCATCCCCACCAGCCCGATCCCTGGGCCTTGTCCGTTTGACTCCATCCTAGAAAATCCAAAAAAGAATTAGAGAGGGAAAAAATACTAGTAGTAGCAAATAGGGACATCTTTTTCATTTTAAAAAGGAAAAAGGAAGGAAAAGGAAAAGAAAAAGGAAAGAAAGAAAAAGAATAAGTGAGATTGTTCTTCCTTTTTCGTTTTTCTCTATTTTATTTTATTTGTTTTATTTCTTTTTTTCCCTAGAAACCTTCAGCTTCCTACCTCATTTGGTCTTTTCTGAGATTTGATTTTCTTTTCCTTTTTTAATATGGACTATCCATCCATCAACCAAAAGTGATTACCTTTTTTTTTTTTGCCTTCTTCTTTGCACGTCATTATATCTCTTTTCTTCCATGTGGCTCCTTTCACTTACTGTTAGTATTAATAACTATCGCATCCTGTCCACAAATCTTCCGATCAGTCAAGACCACCTGAACTAGAGTTACATTGTTGGGTCGTTGTCTGTCTTCTTCTAGTCAGGGCCGATATTTCTTCCCTACTTCAATTCTTTACCTCCACAGCCCTCCGGATTAGTCCCACATTATTGGGTGCTTCTTGTGCCGTTTGGTTCCAATTCTTCTCCTTCACATCAGATCCATCATCGACCTTTTCTTTTCTTTTCTTTTCTTATTATCCTACGCTTTCTATTTTGACCCTTTCCACTCACATTTCTCTCGCCTCACCCACATCCTCCCCCTCCTTCACGTCCTAAGTCATTTCCCCACTATCGATTCGATTCGGACATACGCTGCATACATAATAATATCTTGGTCGCCTCTTCCGAGATTTATAGCTAAAAGACCAGTCTCCCGTCAGTATAAGCTTCGCCCATGTCTCATTTGACCCGTTGAGTAAGGAGACGCTTTCATCGTTATAACTACAATCAATCTCTTTTTGTTTTTCTCTCCTCTTGACACTCCGCCTTTTTTTTTTTCCCTCCAACATCCGCCGCGTTTTTTTCTCCAACCTGGTTCCTCCGCCTTTCAAATTCGCGTGACTGCGACCCGACACTGGTCGAGGTGTTTCGGGTCGGCATAATCTGGCCGCGCTCTTGATAGTCTAACGGCGCGGGTCAAACCGACATCTCCTAAATTATTCTTCTCACCTACGGATATCATACTTCGGCTTAAAAGTGTCTCTCATTGAACCGGATGTCCTCTTTACTGTCACTCCCTTCTCTGCCTCTTCCCAACTTCCAACCTCCGTCCCTGGGTGTACCATCCGGGTATTAAATACACACCCGATTTCTGTCAAGAATGTTTCGCAATAGGTATGTCTACGTTCTCCTTGGGGGTGCTGTTGAACACAATTCTAACGGACATGACCCGCTATACAGAAAGAACTCCCAGAAACCAGGCGACGAGCTCATCGAGAAATTCCAGAAGACTTTCTCTGACGTCGTTCCCCCAGGCCCTCATCGCAATGCGGCACCCTACCCAATCCCCGCTGGCCCAATCACTCCGGCTAAGTATTTCAGACCCTTCTCACCTGACCGATGGCTGCTGCCTCGAATGGAAACTGACCGTATCCTCTGGCTTAGGCTCAGTATGGAGGGCAGTGATCTGAAATTTGCTGACACCACACCTCGTCCCTGTCAAGACATGAGATTTGCGCCGTCATATGTTGACCCTAACTCGCTCTCCTTCATAAACCCCTTGAATCAGCCACATGGCTGCTATACTCCGAATTCGGGTGGCTTGGGGGCAGTGTTCCACAACCAAGCGGGAGATCTTCATACGCCTTCTATGGGGCTGAGCATGATCACCCCTCTTTCTCTACCGCAGCAGATTGCGAGCGCCACCATCAACGCCGACGCTACAGCTATGAGTCTTGACCCATTCAATCAGCCGTATATGGCGCCGCATTTTCAGAGCACGCAACCGTTTACCCAGCAAGCGCCATTTGCGCCCACATTTGTTCACCGTGATTCAGGTTACGATGCCATAGATGAATCTGTGGACGATTTGTCACTAAATGACGTGGATATGCAAACGTCGTCACACATGATTCCGTCAATGATACACCGTGAACCAATTGGTGTCCAAGCCACGGGCGAGAAGTAAGCTTACAAGTCCTCTCTCGTCAGTCGTATCTCTAACCGTATTCGATCGTAGGTTCCGTTACCACGTCACATTGCGGGCGCCGACAGCAATGGTCAGAGACCGGAATGAGGTCCCAGTATCCTATCTCAACAAGGGCCAGGCTTATTCCGTTTCCGTTCTTGACTCTGGCCCACCACCCCGGATGAGCGGTCAGCCTGTAAAATACCGCACTTCCATTCGCGTCTCGTTCCAGGATAAGGAACAAAGATCGAAACCGGCCGCTTGTTGGCAGCTATGGAAAGAAGGCAGAGGGCTGAACGAGGCGCATCAGCGTGGTGGCAAGCTTCAGGCTGTTGAATATGTTGATCCCATCCAGGGAGGCATTGAGGACCAAAAAAATCGCCAAGTTCAGGTTGAGAGCTCTTCGTTCGACGGATTTTGCGTCACCTGGACGGCAAACCCGACGACCGGAGCGCCAGAGTGTGCTATCTCTGTTCGCTTCAATTTCCTTTCGACTGATTTTAGCCACTCTAAAGGCGTGAAGGGTATTCCAGTCCGGCTCTGTGCCAAAACAGAAATGGTTTCTCCAGATATCGCAGACTCGGAACAAGGTAAAGAAGCGGAAGTCTGTTATTGCAAAGTCAAGCTTTTCCGGGACCATGGGGCTGAGCGGAAACTGTCTAATGATGTCGCCCATGTCAAGAAGTCCATCGAGAAACTCAGGCAGCAGATTGCCCAGGCTGAAATGGGCGCCGGCAACTACGGAAAGCGAAAGCGAAGCAGTGGCTCGATCGCGCTTAAAGGTGCTGACGCTCGCCCTACGAAGATCACAAAACACAAACGGACATGGTCGATGGGTTCACAGGAAGGTGACAGACTCTCTATGGAAGATGATCTTCATATAAAACTTGCACTGATGCAAGAAATGTTTACGTCTACCCGGCCAGTGAGCATCCTTGGACTGCAAGGTGATGAACACGACGATCCTGACTTATATCCCGTCCAACTTCCCGAGACTCGTGAGTATATAAAGAAGGAGGGTAAGTGTGGTCCTCGGTTTAGCATTGACGGATCGACTGGGCTCTCCACTTTGTCTCCAACCAACAGTAGCATTTCGTTAAGCCCGACCTGCCATACCCCCACCGTCCAAACACAAGCAGGCCTGTATTATGATTCAGGCTACCAGTGCTCAGTAAACACCTCTGCAGACAATTCGCGGCCCGGTTCTGAAGTTTGCGGAGACAAAATTATTCTGAAGCATCCGATCAAGATACAAAGAGTCGCCAATGGAGATGGCGATGGGCCTATTGGGTTTATTGAGGCAGTGGATATCGATCCAACTTACAGACCACCAGCTGAACGCCAGCCAAAGCCCAGTGAGTAGTGCAGAAGAAAGGCCATGCGCCAAGGATTCCCGTGCTAACCGATGACGAAGTTGCATGCTTTTACATTCGATTTCCGCGTAATGATCAGCCAAAAAATGATTATTACCAAGCTGTGTACCTGACCGAACGGACAGTACAGGACTTGATGGAGAAAATCTCTATGAAGCAACATATAGATCCACAGCGTATAGTACGCGTGCTTCGAGTCAATAAACGTGGACTGAAGATCATGGTCGATGACGATGTGGTTCGCGAGCTGCCCGATGGCCAAGATATGGTGGTCGAAATTTCCGAAGCCGCAGTTTTTGACAATGCAGTGGTCGCGGATTCCAACAGCATGGGTTCTGGGGTCGAGGTCAAGCTCAGCTACTAACGACTTTTGTCAACTCAGATATGACTTCCTAGAGGCCCTTGATTACAAGTGGTCACTTTCCCGTCTAATTTCTCTCTCTCTTAATTTCGCATTGGCTATGATAATTACTAAAGCAAAAGCGGTCCTTCTGGGTCGTACTGTTTTTCTTTATCGGCGCCTGGTGCGCACAAAATCAACTTGAATTTCCTATCATGTGATGTCTTTTGTACCTTCAATTTCTTTCTTTCTTTCTCTTTTTCTTAACTTGGAGTTTCGGGTTGTGTTTCATGTTGGGGCGTTGGATACGGGGATAATACACGAATCTCCGAGCAATGATACCCTGTCGTTATATGATTTCATTCGATTTTCTTTCTTTTTTTTTTCGCGATTCTCAATTTTTCTTGTGCCATATTTACGATATCCTAAATCTCATCAGCACACGAATTCTTTCTTTCTTTCTCAATTTTCCTCTCTCCCTCTCTCCTCACTATTGTTTTTTGCCCTTCTTGGGGCTGGCGGGAATACACGACCACAAGCATTGCTGTTCATTCCATGACTGCTATTCCGAGGCGAACTGGATCAAGGGCCAAGCATACGATATAGATACCCTGTTCCGTTTATATGATGCTTGGGCATTATTGTTTTTTTGTTACACTCTGCATGCCATTTTCACTTTTTGAGTCTGGACTGGTCTCTAATTGTCTATTCAGTCTGGTTTGGTATGGATTACTGCCATGTGTTACCATTATGAAATCTCAACTGCCTTGCGGCCCTGTCATGGTCCTTACAGTGACGTGGTTAGCTCATGTTGATATGATGCAGCCCCTTCTGATGGAATATCCTGAACGAAGCAGTATTAGATACTTGTCATATGAGCGTCTCAAAAGCGGATGGTTGGGATACCTTTACATGTTATACAACGAAGCCTAAGTTTCAGAGTACACCGATCGACTTCAAACCATATTAGTACCAATCAAAAGTTAACATAACCTGTGTATTTTTTCCGATCTTCTCGATTGTGGTCCGATGTGAGCGAGGAATTCTGGAAGATATCCGCGGGGGAAGCTGCTGCATTAGGTATGGCTACTTAGTACCTAGTAGTAAGATCATTGATTCTTCTTCCATCAGGAATTTATTGCAACGCCAAGTACAATATATGTATAATTCTATACTATTAATGCTAATCAAGGGCTAATGCACATACCTTGCGGCAAGGATCCTGGTAGGGACGCATTGCCAAGCGTTGTACTCCATTCGATAAAACTTTCCATTCTTCTTCTCCTCTCCCCCTCTAAAAAAACCCGGAAAGATAGTTGAAGCATTTTCTAGAAGCTGATCGATCGCCAATTCAGCATTTGTCGGGGAGATTTTTTCGCTTCGGGATCTGCTTTTGACCATTTGGCCGACCCTTTTCTAAACCTACTGCAGAGCAACGTTCATCTTTTACCTTGTTTGGGACGACCCGTCCCATTTTTGAAACTGAACCATGGTGAAAAATCAATTCTAAGTAGATGAGATTGTTGGAATAATTGATTTTCAAGAATTGACGGACGTCATACCCCGATGTAGTATCTACTATGAGCTACTACTGTGAGTATAAAACTTTTAACCAATTGATAGGTAGTCAAGACGGTAGAACGGGGATCCTCATCCCAATTCATTATTATAATTCTTTTTTATCAATCGGACGCGCAAGCTGGCCCCATCCGTTGCTCGACCTCTTCTTATCTACACTGTACGCCAATGACGGGGGAAAGGAGGGGTTCTAGATCCGTTATTTCCTTCTGAGACAGGGTCTGACATCATCAATATCTGTGTTTCCCTCAACATGTTCCTTGGATGTCGTCATACCCAGAAGAACTTCCTTGGAAAGATGGATATCGAGCGGTTTTATCCCCACTCGGGTCGTGCCGATGTGGGTCTCGTAAACCTCACTAATTTAGCCTAGTCCCGTTTGCCTTTTCCCTATCCGTACCGTACAATGGTACTGTACGTACATAACGTATGGTCCCCGCGGGAGCGGCACTTAGCTGGCTGGTATACGGTATCCGTATTTTATAGGGCTACCTAGTTACCTGGGTTACCTCGATATACTATGGTACAGTACCTTATGGCATCGGGGATATCGATCAGGTGTCCAAAAGAGAGCTGATTTTCAAAATGCGATTAGTTGAATTAATTGATTTGGAGTGGAATCGACCTCGACCTTTCGTTTGGATTCTTTTCGTATTGACTCCTACTCGCCTTTCGTTCACGGATTGACTGCTATCTGACTGGATCGGTCGTCCTGAATTTAGCTCAATTAAACTCATACGGGTCGAACCCGGGGGGGGGGGCAGTACGAGCGAAATACCATGGGCGGGTATCGATCTGGCTAGCGCTAGGTTTCCTTGAATGTAGGTACAATATATCATGGGAGATCGGGTTTATCGGCTGGCCCGGGTGTGCAGACTCTGCAGGACTAGGACTGGATAGGTTAGATGTTCTTTTCTAGCAGTGGACAGCACGTCTCAGTCGATCAGATCAAAGATCACCTTCTCCGAGTGGCTAATTTTGTGTCTCGGTGGTGGAGACGCTCCCAAGCGTGCACTTGCACCGTTCGAGATGGAGTTGGGATCGTAGATTTCGGTTAAGGTTGAACGTTCTCTGGCTAGAGCACACTAAGGGCTTTAGGTTCCATTGGATATGTACATAGCTTGTGAAGATCCTTAGACTTGTGAGTTGGTGGTTGTTGATTAGGACTTGGCCGTTGAAGTCCAGCGAAGCTGTTCGAGTATACTAATAGAAGTCCATCTGCCTTCCAGACCGTCGTTTCTTATCATGGCGTAGGTGGATCTCTCACGCCTTGACTGGTCCCTTCTATCGTAGTACGTCTAGTAATTAGATTAGCTTTGCATACTTGTGTAGCCTGGTAAGTGATCCGAGTTCTTTTTGTTTTATTCCTTATGAGCTCCAGGTCCAAGTAGTACGAGGATACTTAATAATGTGCAACCGTTGGAAAGTTGCTCTCAGGTTTTAAATTTTGCTGCATATGCCATGCATATATATATATATATGTATATCTTTATATATAGAGAGGACGTATGAATTTATACATTAGTATACATATACACATACATATACGTCTCTGTTTCAGAGGGAAACTCCACTGCTCCTCGAGATATCCCTCACATGGGGATACTATACTTAGTAGACTGAGTGCTTGTTTTGATGCCGAGAACAGTGAATGTCTTAGTAGCCACATGCATTCAGCAGTTCATGCTTCCCTTTTCGGGGAATTTTGCACTTTCCCAGGCAAGACCGTGTGTCACGGGCAACACCTGACCTGCGATTTGCAAATCCCCCCTTCTGCTTCTCTTCTTTTCTTCCTCTTCTCCTTTTCCTTTTCCTTCTTTTAGTCTCCGATCATCCGCTTTACTCTTCACACTCGCTTTCTTCCATCATCATCATCACTGTTATCCAAACAACTTGGTCTCTCACCTCTCTACGTTCATTCTACACGTTTTTCTTCTTCTTCTGAGAAGTTTCACTCGATATGGTCTCCAAGTCGTCTCTCAACCTTCTGATGTTCTTGGCCGTCTTGCTTCTCGCGGTCATGGTTCCCGCCATGGGTAAGCACCATGTATCCTTCAATTACTCAACCACTCAGCTCATATTGATAGATGTCACCGAGGATCTTGGTAATGTCTATGATGATGACCACCTTTTGGGCATTCCTACGTGTAAGTTTCCCGAAAGATGCTTAGAACATGATGGTGTATCTGACTGCGCGGCCCAAGTTGATGAACCTCGTACCTTGGTCCCCCGCAATGGTAGGTTTCCTAGATATCGTGCCAATACTAGAATACTAATGGTTACATGCAACCGCTGACAAGACATTTTCCAGGATTCGTGACTGTTACTGTCACGGATACCGTGTGTGGCCCTCCGCCTGCGGGAGGAACCACTTCTCAAGGCTCGGGTACTATTCCTGGTGCCCCGGGTACTTCTCCGGCCCCTACTGTTACCACCGCTTCTGAAACTACAGTTGTGACTGGCACTGGTCCTGCAGGCCCTATCCCTACCGGTACTGGCCCTACTGGTACTAGCCCTACTGGCGCCAGTCCCACTGTGACTGACACGGTCATCACTGGAACGACTACATCGACTGAGACTCAAAGTTCTCCCAGCACTGAAACTGCCACCCCATCGCCTTCCACTGCGTCTTCTAGCGTGCACAGTACCACTCGCTCGATCAGCTCCCACTCTACTGGGCAGTCTGGTACCGCCACTGCCACTATCAGTGGCAGTCAAACAGCCACCGCTGCTCCTACTCCGAATGAAGCCACTTCACAGAGAGGAGCGATTAACGCTTTGCTAGTTCTAGCAGTGACATGCGCTGGCTTCCTTATGATATGAGGGCCCATTGGTTTGTAATATCGGGTGCCTACTCATAACGTTCGTGTTTCCGTCGAGGTCTGGTGTTACAGGGTTGATCGCTTTCAGAACCATCTGGGATGTCTAGTCATGGCTCTCATTATCAATTTTGTTGAGATCGCGACAGAAGTGTTTTTGTTGTTTCATATTTGCTACGGGTTGCATTATTGACTACACTCTCTGCTCCCATTAATAGCGAGAGGATCCATGTTTGTTAACGGAGCGGCCGGGTCCCGCCTAATCTAATCAAAATTCTTGCGATTCTCATATTACTTGTACTATAATTAGTACTACCATGGGTATCTCCTAAGAAACAAAATTATGCCGTCTGTAGTCGCGCCAGAGAGCTATGTAGCGGAACCAGCCGTCCCTTCCCCGTATTGGTAAGAACTTGCATCAAAGTATCTCCGAAGCTGACACTTTGCGGGGGTGCCTTCAGCAAATCCTGTACAAAGAACAACACCGCGCCATTTACGTCTCAGATTCTCCGATAGCTTCGATCTGCTTCGCGAGAGCACAGATTCGGCATCCGTCGCCAACCCGATCCCGCAGAAGCCGGGCAGTGGTAACCTTAGGCCCAACCGTGCGGGACGTGGACATCGAAGGTTCGTCCAGCGTCGGTGTACGTGGGTACCGGAACGACCTTGGAGTTTGAGCAGCTGACTGGCTGTCGGGCGTGGTTGCGTCGGAGGGTTCTGCTGTGTGGATGTGGGAAAGGTGGAAGATGTGTCCGCAGGCGAAACCAACGAGGATCTCTTTCTCTGCAGGTTTCGCAGTAATTAGCTTCATGTTATGGAAGAAGAAGGCAACGCACAATGGAAACAACGAAATAAAGGGTAGAATAACTCGTACCATTGGCATGGAAAGGAAACTGACAACCTGCACATCTTCCGACCTGCGTCGACATATGTGGCTGTATCGAAGTCTTTTCGGTGCTGGCGTTACTCTTCGTCTCGTCCTTTTCGGTCACTCCGGAAAGCGCTGCAGACGATGCTGGGCGTTTCTCTTCTTCGACGACATTGAACTTGATCCCTCGTCGCTGGCCCCGACGTAGCGTGTCCATGCCGACAGCGACCTCGCTTTGGAGAACCTTGGCGGCACCTTGACTAATACTTGCCTGGAGATCGTGTTCTCGGATCAAATGAGATAGGCCCTCGCGAAGACCTTCTATCTCTAGTCCGCTGGGGATACGTCGGACGAGCTTGATCGGGTCGATGGAGGTCCCGGCTTCCACGAGAAGACCGTGAATGAAACGTGGTTTGTCCATCGAGTAGTCGAGGAGATCTTCCCAGAGGTCTGGTTCACCTTGAGACTTAGCGAATGATATGGCTTGCGAAACATCCTTGAGCTCGGAGAGGATGAGGTTCAGGGCTCGCTTGGTTTGTCCCATCTTTGACAGAAGATAGATGAGCTCAGGTGTAAAGCGGAGGCCTTCGCATATGGTGACTGCCAAGTCAAATGTGTAGGCGGTGCTAGTTTGTAGAAATTCCATCAATAGGGTACGGTCGTAATTCGCGAAGAGTTCCACTGCTGTATCGGCGAAGGTATCAACGAGGGCTTTCCCTTCGTCAGCTGCCAATTTGCTTGCTGCGTCCCGGATGTGCGCAAAATGGCCTCTTCGGGGTTTAGCAGCGCCGTGAGGTAGGGACTCTCCTCGCCAAAGAGCCCGCAGATAGAAATACAGGAACAAGAGCCTGTTAGCTGCTTTTAACTGGTTGACCACGGTCTCCGGACGGACGATTCCCGTATATGCTTCGCTCACGAGGAGCTTAATTGGCTCTGCTGTGAGCTCCTCCAGCTCAGATTTTGGTGCCGACTTGAGCTGCTCCTTGGAGACGCGGATCATGATGAACGCCGGAATATCGTCGGAGACTGCATCTAGCAAACGATGCTCTCTTGTCAAAGCCATAGCTGTGTCTGCGTCTTGAAGTCGAATGTGACAACGTAAAGCTTCGCCGTACTGACCGCCAGCTAGATACAGCTTGGCAAGGCTGTTCATCAAAATGCGCCATTCATCGGATCCGGATGCGACGGATGACGACTGCAGTTGTTCCTTTATGGCCGTTATAATCCCGCCAACATCAAACAAGTCGAATGGCCAGGAGTCCACGAGCTCACTAAACCTGTGTCTGTCTTTCGAGACATAATGGCCAAGGATGGTTTCATAGATTGCCGAAGATAAGGGTGGGTGCATATCTGTTGGAATGGCGGATGATAGCTCGTCTAGCTTGTCGCTCTTGATAAAAGTCCAAGCCCAATGTTCCCAACGGGGCGCAGTATGAATTGCTTTTACACAAACCTCAGCCGCCCCCTTCCAGTTATCTGCCTCAACTAACTGCTGTATCCATAGCTCACCTAGACGGCGCTTTTCTTGCTCAGCCGCGGAGATTATTCCTCGACCGGTGGTGGTTGTAGATGACCTGTCATCCGCCAAAAATTCGCCAAGGGTAGTTTGAGATCTTGCTGGTGCGGCAAACATAGAATAATTTTGTTCACTTGCAGATCCTGCTGCCTCGGGACGCTCATCGATGAGCTTCCATGCTTCCTCATACTTTTCATGTGCATCTAGCCATGCTAGGCGATCTGCAAGATCTCTCTTCAGCGCAACGACGCAGTCATACGGACTATGTATGAAGATCTTGGCCCCCACGCTTCCTGAAACTTCTTGAATCTCTTTAGATAAGGGTTCCTCTATAGGTACCCGTCGCGAAGTAAAGGTACTGGGTGCTCTACTGGAACCCTTATCGCCGCTGCTAGTGGAACTACGAATGCTGGCACCCGAGCTGAACAAGCGTGCAGGGTACATCGTTGCATCCCAAAGACCACTCCCAAGAGCTTCCAATGCACCTCTCTGGGAAACAGATACTGCCATCTTCCAGGGAGGTAAAACACACAAATGATAATCGGAAGAAGTGAGGGTTTCGTAACGGCTGATTGAAAGGGTATCGGCGCTGAGCTCTTCTTTGGTTTCGATATCGATGATCCGAAGCTCAGGCTCTAACCCCCTTGGACGGTGGCGTCCTCCAGGACGGAGAACTCCGTGTTTGGACCGTTCATCCGCTGAGGTATCCCCTTCGGCCTCAATATAGGCGAGAACCACCAAGAGGCTAGGAGAATATAATGAAATGCCAGATATAATACAGTCGGTTCGTAATCTAAGGATAGATTAGAAACCCACCAGAGTTTCGTATTTCGGAAACTTACATTGTAGAGACTTCCACAGAGCCAATTCTTTGGTCTCTATTGTTCTTGTTTGGTCGATCAGGATAAACTTCAATTACCCAGACCGTACCACCCCAGCCAACTACCAGCTTCTCTACCCTTTCTTTAGTGGGTGTTACGTTTGGATGGTCGTGGAGAGACGCCCCTCCTTTGTTTTGCGAAGACTGCTCGCTACCAAGGGCTGTGTCATCAACCCATTCGGCGCGAGCCTTCCAAACGCTGGCCAATTCTTCCCACCCGGGACGATTGGGGCGATCAATGTGACTGATTCGTTTCCATGCAAGTTCCGAGTCGGATGAATCTAAATATAGGTTTGATCGCATGATTTTGATCCCTTCTTCATTAACCCACACGACATATTTCCCCGACAATGACCATTTTATCGTGCTAATGGCTCCTTCTCCACTATGTAGTATTGTATCCTTTCCAGTGTTGCTCCCTAAGCCAATGGAGCCCAGCCAGCTCGTAGCTGCAGCTGCAGCACCCCCCATCGTTGTGGAGTTCGTACTTGCGCCCACTCGACCCCCCGTAGTGAGGATCAGATCACCAGCCCGTCCACCGGATAAGAATGTCCTGTCACTTTTGTAGTCTGGTGATAGTGCGACAGCCTGGACAGGACGACCGAAGTTGCGTAAGAGAACGTCCTTGGGATCTACAAGAGACGCAACGCACACATTGCCATCCATGGAAGACGTTGCAATATATATCGAGTTCGAAGGTGTGGAGGATAGTACGGGCTGGTTGTCTGGCCTCGGTCTACCACGAAGACTGGAAGCGCCGGACGATGGTCTAGAGTGGTGGCCCTGTTCTTCGTGAAGCCTAATATTCTCCGGTTTGATATTCGGCAAAGGTGGAGGGAATGGCGATATTGATATCGAAGTGACACTGGCAGAGTGTGCATGGTACACACGGAGACTCTGGAATAGAGGTAAAGACAACGCATGCTGTGGGATGTAAGTTATCGAATGCTCTCGACTTGATAGGTGGACAACGTACGATGTTTCCATTATGCGTTCCAATTACCTAGACTAGTTCTCAGCTTTCACTAATGTTCTCATGTTCTCAGATATCATACCATCTTGTCTCCGGTGGCAAGAAAAGAGCTCGTTGCGTCCCCATTGCGGTAGACCGCTCCCAAATGCTTCGTCAAATACGCATATTTGAGATGTGGCTCCTCATCATCCTCTTCATCGCCAGTTTCTTCATCCTCTTCGCTGTAGTCCTCTTGCTCATTGTCATCTTGAGTCTCATCCTCGCCATCCTCGCTCTCGTCTGCTGCATCTCGATCTAGCTGATTGCGGTGGGTACTGGATTGGTGAACGTCTTGTCCAACGGAGATCTCCAATTCCGAACCATCTCGACGGATATCATCCGTCGCCGCTGTCGCGCCAGGCGCGTCCATGGCGAGAGCCTTTACCGTACCTAATAGAGCTATGCTGAAGAGTCAAGGGAGCAAGACCGGATGTTGGAGTAACTACTAATTACTTACTAGGTAAGGTCGGGGACAGGGTTACTAAGCAACATCCACTAACTAACTGCTTCCAGCTTAGGTGGCCCAGTTACATCACTTCTTTTACTTCCGCAGACCCGCGGTTGTTCACATCTCAATTTTATATCTTCAATTTGCCGATCAGATGTATCATGGAATTGGGCTTTATCTAATGAGATTAACCCCCCTCCCTTTTTGAAGCCCTAATCCTGTTCTCCCGATTGCGTCAATGTTTGCGAGACCGTACGTCTATTCCATTTGCAAGCGACCCGCAGCGACCAGGCTTGTGAAACAGCCCCGGAGCCAATACCTGCATGCCACATCGCCATTAAGCCTTCCTCGACGCAAGGACTTCTTCTCCTCTAATGCGTACCTTGCCCAGAAACAAACAAAGACCGGAGATGTGAGCGAGGAGCTGGGGGAAGAATTTCAGAAACAACGGAGAAGGGGAGGTAGATCGCCGGCAGCGCCGACATCGTTGCGGAGAGTTGCAGTGGAGGCGCAAAGATCAAAGGATGGCTTCCTCTCCAGGGCGATGCTCAAAGAGCAGGGGCTTTATCAAACCAAGGTTTTACCTATCGCACCTTGATAGTAGTTCTAGCCACTGATTCTTTAAAAGGTAGTAACGGCTTATGCTGTGGCCGAACAATTCAACATTCGCAAAGTGAGGGATATTCTCCAGGAGAAAGGCTATGAACCAGACCCCTTCGATACCGGCCTATACCCTCAGGTAGTTCATGTTCAAGTCCCCCTGGACTCCATTCGTCGCGTGAGCAACCCGACTACCTCAGACCTGGGCCCCAACGAAGTCGGCGATATCTTTGTTTTCCCCTCGGGTACTGTAGTGGCGTGGTCTCTCCCAGAGGGGTTTACATCATTTCTCGCAACCAGGACCCTTCTCGCTGCAGCTGAGCGGCCTCAGCTTGATAACTTAGAGACGGAAGATCTCGAGTATGTGGAGGATCCGCAACGAGATAGTAGCAGCATTAAGGGCGATACCATCATTCTCGGAACCAAACCAAGCAGCAATATAACTAGTCCGCAACTTGGTGAACGTCAGTCTGTGGATACGGTGCTAACCAAAGTGGCATTTTCATCCGGGCTGGCTCGGAGTACCAAGTTGGCAGTGTTGGAAACGCTACTGTCGAACTATTTTGAATCCACCAGAACGATACCTACCCTCTTATCACAAGGTTCACGCCTTCCGTTTACGCGAGACTTCATCCTTCGAAAGACAGGCCAGCTATTAAGCGTACGCGCTCAGTTGAATCTTTATTCGGAGCTGACGGACTCATTACCGGACCTCTTCTGGGATAGTCGACATGAGCTCGGCCTGGAGGGATACTACGAACAGGTAGGAAGAGCGTTGGATGTTGGAATACGCATCAAGCTCTTGAACGAAAAGATGGACTACGCACAGGAGATAGCAAGCGTCCTCCGGGAGAGGCTGAGCGAGACACATGGACTCCGGCTCGAATGGATCATCATCCTTCTCATCGCGGTTGAAGTTTGCTTCGAAGTTCTGAGAATGTGGAAAGAGCGAGTCCAGGAGCAGGAGATACAAAACGGAAAGACTACGGATGCAGTAATGTCCTAAGAGTCTAAAATTATATATATATATATACTACCCCACCCTAGTCACATATGATACCCCTCTCATGCTTTCTTCAGAACTCCAATCCATTGTTCTATTTGAAAAGTAATAATGACAAGAATAATAACAACTAGACCTGTAGTTGCCATCGTTTGTCCGTAGCAAACTGTTGGGGCGCGTTGCTCTTGGCATATTAATACGAGCAGCACCATTAGGAAAGGGCGGGACAAACATTGGCTAACATTAAGAGTATTTTTGCTGGGGTTGAAGGATATGGCCAGACGGGAAAAGACACCATAGGAAACTTGAAGGAAGCAATCGAGAGCTTCTCCACAGCTTAGCTCAGTTAAGGTTATTTAGCTTCATTAGTTTATCAGCTGACGGATCACATGTGGCGATCCAACTTAGTCATCGGTCATAGGATCATGGAGTGCGACGTTCATTCTGTCTTATATCTTCTGCGATACGAACTTCCCTGGAACACAGTCTTCATTCAATTCAGTAAACTGCAACTGACACTTGTTTGCAGTCCCTCTCTAGGCCTCTGAAGGGAAGTCTGAGCACGGAACACGCTAGTCTTACCGCTAGCACTAGTATTCTACAATAAGCAAGCTAAGCTCCAGGATGCTCCAAGGGATTCCAGGACCACAGCAGGTGTTAACCGCTTTGGCGGGATCCTTGGGACTCTCGAGTCTCTCCGGGCCCGAAGTCGGCTCTATGCAGAGCAGTCTCCAGCACTGCTCCAAAACAGAGTTGAGCTGTCAGACCCCGTATCATGGCCAAGACAAATGCTGCTTCAACTACCCCGGCGGACAGCTCCTTCAAACGCAGTTTTGGGACGCCGATCCAGCGGTGGGGCCAGTTGATTCCTGGACCATCCATGGTTTATGGTGAGATTTCCACAAGGCCGGTGGGCATGACTTGTACCCGGGACGCTGATCCCCGGCTTCTTCTAGGCCGGACCACTGTAATGGAGGCTTTGATCAATACTGCGACCCAAAAAGACGGTACAGCAATATTTCTCTGATCCTGACTGACTCAGGTAGAGGGGATCTTCTGGATGATATGCGTACCTTCTGGAAAGACTTTAGGGGCGACGACCCGAACCTATGGGAGCACGAGTGGAATAAACACGGCACCTGCATCAGCACCCTAGAAACACACTGCTACGACATATACTATCCCCAGCAGGAAGTCGTCGACTACTTTGACAAGACAGTGGAGCTCTTCCGCCAACTACCTACACATGAAGTCAGTGCTCCTGTGCGATTAGGAACTGCGTGTCGCATTAAATGAAGCTAAACAGCTAACTCTTTTACTAGATACTTTCCGGCGCTGGGATTGTCCCGTCTTACACGGAGACCTACTCTCTGCACGAGATCCAGGATACCCTGTCGAAGGCTCATGGGGCCGAAGTCACCGTGAGGTGTCACCGCCATAACCTGAATGAGGTTTGGTACTTCTTTAATGTCGCCGGACCTTTGCAGACAGGAAAATTCGTCCCTTCTAACCCAGGTTTGTCTTCTTCCTCTAATCTTCGCCTGCCTCAAATAAAGCAAAAATAATCATGCGCCGTCTAACTCTCGTCTTAGACGGCCAATCATCCAACTGCCCTGCGAAAGGCATCCGGTATCAGCCGAAAACGCCCCCAAAAGACCAACCAACCAAAACAAGGGGCCCATCTGAGCCGACAAGGACCGGTTCACCAAACTCCAAAAGAGGGAATCTGATTGTCTCAACACAGGGCCAACAAAGAGGGTGCATAATTAGCCACGGAACATGGTTCACATCGGGCGCCTGTGCGACATTCCGAGCCGAAAAGGCGGCAGGTACGTCACATAAATTCTTCCTTGTATCTGGAAGCTGATGGTATGTCTGAAAATGCGGCTGACAATATATATTTGCAGACAAGACATTTACCTTGCGGTCCAGTAAGGGCAAGTGTTCTATCAAAGATGATACGTTCAGTTGTGGTCCTCAGATCACTCGTCCAGTTGAGTTTAGTGTGAGCTTTTCCATCTGGTACATGCTCTTCTCGGCTTATTTCTTACATCTTTCTAGTTCCAGGATGGCAAACTCTCCTATCGGGGAAATACGACCTTTTTTGCAGATAAGGCACCTAAAGGGCGTGTCCAGAGCAAAGTTTTTGCGTCAGAGGAGGAACACCCAATCCAGTTGACAATAACTTGGAAGGGAACCTGATATCTTCCCATTTTCCCGTACTTGTGCTTGTGCTTTGCACTGCGTGATATGACTAGTTTCTTTACTGTTGTTTGTACGGTTTAAGGATACTTTGTATAGATACACATAGAAACACTTTACCGAAGCATAGAAATATTACTAAACCTACAATTATTGAACCATTATTGATATGTAGATAGTCTTTTTTTTTTTTTTTTTTTTTTTTTTTTTTTTTTTTTTTTTTTTTTTTTTTTTTTTTTTTTTTTTTTTGTAGTTAATTATCCCAGTGGATCTATTGCAGGGTTAGAGTACAGGTGGGCATGAATGTATCCAATAGACGTCCCATGCCAAAAGAAAACGCAGTTCATATCCATTTAATACAGTCTTTCAAAGCAAATCACATGAACGTCATATAAACTCGTGAATAGAAAGGAGCGAATATAAAGCATAAAAGCGTAAAACAAATGAAAGATTGGCCTGCAGAACTCCGTGTAAATTTGTCAAAAAGTCCTTCCCGCAAGTCCCAGAAGTTGTCGTACATGTGTCGCTGAGAAGTTCGCAAAGAAAGAAGATAAAAATGCCCGAAAGATTTTGTCACAGGTGTCATTGATAGTGGAAGCTAGTTGGTCGTTGAAAGATATTGAGTCGTAAAATTGTACATAATTTCTTGTCGTCTTATTCTTGAGAATTCATGTGTCATGTGCATGGTTTCCGGTCGTCTAAGTCCTTAGTCATGAAGTTTTGTTCATTTTCACCATTATTCGAGGGTCGTCGCGTCGTTTTCATGTCTATGAGTTGTTATACCCGAGTGTCTCACTCCAAGAAGAATTCTCTTGTCATAGCGTCCGATGGCTGCTCGTCCATCTGGAATTGGAAAGAAAAAAAATCGTCACCCATTGATGGGCCGGTAGAGAAGCCTTTGCCTGGGAACAAGTCCATGCCATTGTCGAAAGCAGGAGCGTTCACGTAGTCAGGGAATGCAGCCATGTCAGGGTCAGTCAGACCTGGGAACTCGTGCTTGCTGAAGCTGACAGACGGATCTTGATTAATGAAAATGTCCAGATCTGAGCCGTTTGATGAATCGGTCAGAGTGGGTACCGTGTGAGGAGAAGACAAAGCGTGATGGTTAGCTGAGCTTGTAGCATTTGTGTATGGATAGGGTTCAGTGTCTGAAATGAGAGGTAGCCCCGACTCCTCGATAATCTTTTCCAAGGGCCGCTTCGATGGAGACAAAGGTGGCATTTCGTCCTCTGTGCTGGGTGTAATTGACCGTTCACTGTGGGCAGGCGTTGACTTGTTTCTTATGCTGCCCCCAGGCGAGGCGGGAGGTGTGAAAGTCAAAACTTCAGGAGGCAATGAATAATTCACATTACCGAACATGGGCATGTCCCCCACCGGGCTAGAACCGTGAAGGCTCATGCTTTCGAAGACATCTGAGGGTGGTGAATTGCGCGAAGTGTCCGATCCAGAGGAGTCAAACGATGTCTTTTCGGCAATCCTCTGGCGTGTTCTCGAGGCCTTGTCCTGTCTATCATCCATCTCGGGCCGGTGCTTTCTCGGGCGACCACGCTTCGTGGTCTTGCGCACAATTCCCTTGTAGCCGCCAATGCACATGCCTCGTTGCCGATGCCGAGTTAAGGCGTCATGTCGGGCAAATACATTCCCACAGAGGCATTCGTACGGTTTATCTCCGGTGTGAATTTTGGCGTGGCGCTTGAGATCATGTCCACGGACAAAGCATTTCTCGCAATGATCACACTTGTACTGACGGTCTCCAAGGTGGGTTTGTACATGAGATTTGATGTTCTCTTTCCTTCCAAAGCGGCGTTCGCAACCTGGATGTAGGCATACCCACTTTCCATCCTCTGGGTCAGGGCCATCGATGTATGACGCTATCTCGTCAATAGTGACGCCCGTTTGTTTGATGGAAGCATGGACTCTCGCGTCCAGGTTGAGGCTGTCGATGGATGCTACCCGTGGAGAAAGCTTTGGCTTGGCTATGACGCTAGGTGGTGCACTTGGCGTTTTCTTTGGGGTCATACGGCTAGGCGTTGCAGGATAGATTGGAACTTTCTGCGCCTTATCACCGTCTTGAAGGTGTGGCATGGAGGCGATTTCTGGCGAGGAGTTGAAAGATGACGTTGCTGATGATGAAGAATGGTTAGATGAAAATCTTTCAGACTTTGGAACTTCGAAACTGGAACCCTGCTGACAGTTAAACACATCAAAATTGTCCACTTCATATGATGCTGTATTTGGGGGAGAGGGCATATCCATCTTTTGCTGGGAGAATGTCGTCCCAGCCACTCCTTGAAGAGACTTGGCACGTTGCATGTACGACGGCTGGGCCGAACTGGGAACAGACAATCTTTGCTCCTTGGTGGGAGTAGTCTGCATGTCGCCACCATACTGCGCAAGATCCACTGTTTTCTTGAATGGTGTTGTCGCAGGGGTGATGGGAAGGTAGTCTAGAAGTTTTGTCAGTGGGGCTTGAACGCTGTAAGCTATAGTAGGTTACTTACGCGTAGGTTTCGGCGTATGCGGTCCACGCGCGGGACTGGCATCCGATTGTACTGATAGTCGTCTCATATCTGCAGGCATTACGTTGGCTTGGGGCGAAAATGCCGTTGTGAGGTTTTCATGTGTATAGAAATCCCAAGCGCCATTATCTAGGAGCTGTGCTTGTTGCAACTGTTGTTGTTGGATGAGATTGAGATGGAGATTCATCGGCCGGCTTTCCAGCCCCGACGTTTCGATCTTGGCGAAGGCTGGGTTCATGTATCCCATTCCTGGCTGGGGTTGCAAATTCTCATGGCTGAAAGCCTGACACTCCGGCATCATGGGCAAGGATGTCGGTTGCGCCGAGCGAGTATATTGTTGCTCTTGCACTCCGCCTAGCAATTGCGACTGTTGTGGTACTGCTAAGTTAGTATGCGTAATGTTACCATCTTGTACGGGTTGCGATTGTTGAATATGCAGAGATCTCTGGTCCAAACTTTGGCCACGACGATGAGCACGATATCGGTGCATTGCCTGCGCAGGAAGACTGGGAACTTTGGCGGCATCAAGGGCGGATGGTGTTGAAATCTGCCGCCGATGTTGTCGCTGTCGTTCCTGAAGATTTCGGTGCGGGTTCGATAACATGGTGGGCAAAGTCTACAGGCAACTTCTCACGAATCGGTGGCGGGTGATTGACAGATCTAATTCCATATGTAAGTCTTGCGGAAAGCTTTGCGCATATTGCATATGACCCTGGTATGCATACCTCACGCAGCGCTAGCCGTTTGGTAGATGGTATCAAAACCGACCTGTCCACTGTGTCAGTCGGTGAACTCTTCAACAAAGAAGACAGATAAAGGGGAGAGAAAAGGGTTAGAGGTAGAGTAAGGTCAGAAGAAAAAGAGCTATGTCGCTCGGAAGCCGATTAGATCTAAGACTAATGCGACATGCAATTGAAGCTTCAAAAAGCTTCCCTGCGCGGTTCCTGAACCTCTGATTCTGAGAGAAAAGGACTAAGAGCGGGACAAAGGAAGATGAAGTATTTAGAGGTGGGAACCAGGGAAAGGTGGATGGAGATGCTGAAGCTATCCCGATCTATCGCCCACGGTTCAGATCAACAATGGCGCCGTTGGCCTAGCAACGCGCCCGGGTTGAGGCGTCAGGGAAACCAGCGCCCTTGGCATGGCCCCGTCCATTTGCGCTGCGTAGTGGATCGCCTTGGTTCGAGCACGGAGAATATCAAAGCAAAAAGTGGTCCGAACGCAATTAAGGCTGCGATCCGGCAGGTTAGTAACTCTGCAAGGAGCTCGTTTCTGGTCGCCCCCCTCGCGGTCCAGACAAACACCCTATCTTAATTATCGATGCTTGAAGAAAATGAAGCCCTGCCACCTGTGAGGGTTTGAGACACTATCGCTTCATGATACTCCCTTCCTTTGCAATAGCTTGGATAATAATTGACGCCCATCACGGATCCATTTGATCAATAATTAACAACTGGCCAGGGGGTGGTGACGGATTGACTTCGATTCTCTTCCAATCTGGATCGATTGAATAGAAACGAGCGGGTAGGTCTTTTTTGATGCCTGCCTTCTCAGGCTGCAAGCATATGACGTAGCCCTTGGTCCCGTGACTGTTGGAACGGGCCCTTGGCAAAAACTACCTGACCTATTGACGACGAGGACCCGGAGCGCCTGATTATCCGAGATTTTCCAACACTATGACCAATCTGGCGAAAGTGCGCTCCACGTGACCGCACAAACGATTTTAACGCACTAAGGCCTTCCGCTCTACATATTTTCCACACGATCGCAACGAAGGTTGAGGAAGACAAGTCTTGTCGAGGTTAGTGATGACCCTATAGATGCTATGCGGATGGACATGGGATCACAGTCGTCTGAAACGTCTTATCCTCCCTCTCTACTCCCAAATACTCAATACTGCTCAGTTGAGAGAAATGGGCGAAGAAAAGAGAGATGAGACGATGATCGACGAAATTGCGCCTATCCATCCGACATGATTCCCACGCAACCCATACTTACATGATTATATTAGGCCTTCTTCAAAGATGCAGATCTTCGTCAAGACCCTCACGGGTAAGACTATCACCCTCGAGGTGGAGTCTTCGGACACCATCGACAATGTCAAGTCCAAGATCCAGGGTATGCATTTCCCCTCATTCAGATGAAAACGAGAGATGGGAACCATGTGCTAACCTCAGCGTCCAGACAAGGAGGGAATCCCCCCTGACCAGCAGCGTCTGATCTTCGCTGGCAAGCAGCTCGAGGACGGCCGTACTCTTTCGGACTACAACATCCAGAAGGAGTCCACCCTCCACCTCGTGCTCCGCCTGCGTGGTGGTGGTAAGAAGCGCAAGAAGAAGGTGTACACCACCCCCAAGAAGATCAAGCACAAGCGCAAGAAGACCAAGCTTGCCGTCCTCAAGTACTACAAGGTTGATGGCGATGGCAAGATCGAGCGTCTCCGCCGCGAGTGCCCCGCCCCCGAGGTACGTTTTTCATATCCACTCTGTGAATGGCTTTTGTGGCAAGATGACTAATGATTTCTACAGTGTGGTGCTGGTGTCTTCATGGCTGCTATGCACAACCGTCAGTACTGTGGCAAGTGCCACCTCACCTATGTCTTCGACGAGTCCAAATAAGCGATTTAATCGCGGATCACGCCGCCTTTCTTGTTACCGGTGATGCATAGTTTGATATCTAGGCAATGACGGTGGATTTAGATGGGTGCATGTGAGGTTGAGGAGCATGGAATACCATAGTCCCGGTAGTGGCTTTGGAAATGAAATAAAAATTCAAAACACGGTCTTCTCGAGTATAAGCGATTCGTAGACCTATGTACAAGTATCTATAAAATCATAACAAAAATATGTAAGAGTAGCAAGAAACATGACAATGTCGAATCTGGGTATCTCAAATTAGGTAGGTCTAAGGGAAACCGGCTCGCAAGTTGTCGTACTTGCTTTCCGGGTATGCAAGTGCATTCGGGGTTTGATCCAAGGCTCCCGGTCCGCCGACACCCTCCACGAAGGTTCCAATCAAGCTTCCATCAGCTTTGTTAGCAGCCCTGCCTCCTCGATCAGCGCTTGTCTCCCACCACATGCCGCCAGCTAGTCCATGATGTCTGACGAAAGCCGCTTTGATTTCACTCATCCGCACGTTGTCGTACGAGATCATTGTGCGGGTCGTAGGGTCATAGCTCCACGATGCGCCGATACTGGGGTCAACATATTCCGTTGCCCCTGGTCTGGGAAGTGCCTTATAGTCCCAGACCCCATTCTCCCAGCTTCCCTCACCTACTCCGGAGAAACTTGTGCCAGGTCCATCGGTATTGGTGAAAGCGCGTCCATAGATGGGCATGCCGACAACTATCTTAGACCGCGGCACCAAACCAGATGTCTCATAGTATGTAAGTGCGTCGACCGTTGAGAATGGTGTCGAGGCTGGCCTGTCAGTAGAAGGATAAATATTCGCTTGGTGGCCAGCAAAGTTGTCCCAGCTGCCAGCATAGTCATAGGCCATTAGATTGTAGAAGTCAAGATAGGGCGTCATTTCACGAAGTCTGAGCTTGGAGTAATTCTCCCTGCCTACATGGACAAAACGGAGATATTAGCCGCTTTGCATCATACGTTGAAGGCCATTTTTCTGGCCTTGGATCTCATCAGGGTCTGGGTGCCTACCTGCTGGACAAGCAATGGTCAAGTAGAATTTCCGGTGTGGCCCAGCGGCCCGGTCCAGGGTCTATAGCATGTCAGCAGCAAGGAAAGATGAAGAGAAGAAAAGAACAGCTCACCTCACGACAGGTTCTCAAAAGCAGGACAAAGTTCTGTGCTTCGATATCATCTACGTTCATGTTAATATGGTCTCTCCTGTAGCTGTCTTCTCTAGCGTTCGCTTACTCTTAGGGTACTCCCAATCGATATCAAAGCCTGTCGACCTCATGTTAACTGGTGTCCACATACAGTACACTCGAGTTCAAATAAAGGTGACTTACCATCAAGACCAAGATCCAACACTAGCCTCGTGGCACTTTCAGCGAACCTAATGCGTCCGGCCTCCGTGCTTGCCGGCTGGGCGAAATTGGCGGAGTAGGTCCATCCTCCGATGGAAAGCAGAACCTTCAGTTTCCTATTCTGCTTCTTGAGTAGGAATAGCTGTTTAATGCAGCCATAAACGTTGGTACCAACATCATTCCAGGAATCTGTTGGGTAGTGCTTTTCGATGTCAGACCAAGTGTCTGTCAGATACACTTCTCCGGATTCGGGCCGGACATTGGCGAACGAATAGAGAACATGGGTCAATTTCTCTGCGGGGAGATCCTGAGGGTTATGATTACGCCCATAGATGGCCTTTATCAATTAGCGCCATCAGTCGAATCATACGCAGCGAGAGGCTCCTTACCCAATTGACAAAGTACGCGACGGAGTACAGTCCGGAAGACATGGCTGGAGGGGTAGACGGAGTCAGAGTGGAGTAATGCCAGAGGTATCGAGACAAAAGAAGAGCGATAACAATGCCAAGAAATGCGGTGAGTCGAGAAGGAGTCATAAGAACTCAACGAGGTTATAGTAATTGACGCTGACTTAAGTACTCCTGAAAAGACTGCAGCCTGACCAGAGTTGTACCTGCCTTAGGACGAAACTTATGACGCGGGATACCAAAATAATAACAAGGCGGGGAGTTGATTGGTTCAAGGGTTGACCACGCGGTGGCGGTGCCAGATTTTGGGTGTGGCGTCGGTGATCTGTGGCTGACGAGCTGTCACTGATTTAGGCCTGTGGCTTATGTCTTAAGTGAGACGGTAATGACAGACACCGACACGAAGAAATCGAGCAACTTTATATAGCCCCCATTCCTGTCTCTTACGCTGGCTCAGGAACTCCAAAATCACAACTCTTTGAAACATATACAAAGCATTCTGTGGCGTAGTCATTCCCTGCCTGACCTTTTCCTTGCTCTACTCAACTTCGATGTACCTAGCCCTTCATGTCCAGGTGACTGTGGCATTCCGCTATCCCTCCGCACGAGGCTTCCTTGCTAGAATTAATATAGCAGAAACATATGGGGAAGGTTCGCCCAAGAGGCATTGGATAGTATCTCATATGATGAGCACCTCTGGATCCCTTGGACTGTCAGAAGGACAGATCTATATTACGGAAGTGTTCCCTTTCTTCGACATCTAGGGTATCTCCTTGAGCCTCTTGAAACCCGGAGTAGTGAGCTAGGGACTTCTTAAATAACTAAAATCCCGGGTGACAGTTGAGGAAAGTCAACTAATATCATCTCACCTATCTTGGTCGGCTCCAAGAAAAATCATGGGAACTCTGGTTACAGTCTCTACCAATATGATGACCTTAGGTAGTACCAGAACCACAGAAACGGGCAGTGGGGTAGCACGACTTGTAGGTAATCAATCGCATGCGATGGAGAAGTGATCGATCTCAAAAGAGAGAACATGTCGAATATCAACGATATATCCTCCGAAGATATCAGTGCGCATGACAGATCTACTGTAATGTTTTGTCATGATGTTAGAGGGATTGCTCCGAGATGAGCGTCAGAACAATGTGTAACTTTTTTGATCGCTCAGATTAATCGAACTGAACAAAAACAAAGAAAAGGTAACAGAGCCTGTTGAAGATACCAAGTCTTCCAGACCTGAACCTATATCATAGCCGGTCTCCCCCGAATCATCGGACCCCCACCTGATATGGCAGAAGATGAAACGACAGGCTTCATGTCTCTAAAGCAAGAATATGTCGAGTCAATATACCTTGCGTAGGAGAACTCCGATCAAAGTCAATAAAGATCTTGTGCAAATCCCGGGATAATTCGATAAGCAAAGAGGGTAAAAACATCGAGTAAATAAAATAGTAGCTTTTTGCATAGGATAGACATGAAACAACATCCACGATGGTGCATAACCAGAACCGCTTTATCTGGATTTTTAGTACCGTGGACCAGTTTTGTACCTTCTCAGCTGAACTCTGATGCAAGTCGCCATTTCCGCCATCTGATTGGCACCCACGACTTTAAACTACTGCAGGGCTCTTCTGCACGGCCACAATTCGATCCCACACAGATTAATGGAAAATAAAAAAAGAAGTACAAAAATTAAATGCAAAGAGTAAAGTCAGTCTCAACTGCCGTGCATTTGGTGCTAAACTTAGTCCCTGTTCCTTTGTGCGCCCTTGAATCCACGCATCTTTTCAGCTGGGATGTGCTCGTCTATCGACGCTAACCATGGATCCACATGTGGTTCGGTATCTCCGATGCGCTGGTCGGCGTTAAGATGTCCATACTAAGAATGGTAGGTGGTATTATCAACTTGGAAATGGGTTTGATCATGAATACTACTCCGTACCAGTCAGCTAAAGAAATCAATTATCTGTTTGGCTCAATTGTCATCCAATCCCTTGGTGGATATGGGCATAATGATTTCTGTTGCCCTGTCTAAGGTGGTCTACTACTTCCTTAGGGCCTTAGGATTGGAATTCCACTCCCCACTCATACCCGCGGGTTCCACACTGCCAATCGGAGTAAAACGCTTGACAGAAAACGACGGGAGAAAACTAAAAAAATTAAAAAATTAAAAAAAGAGATAAAGAGAAGAGACCAAACGGTACGTACTACTATATACAATACTTGATTTTATGGTCACGCAAAGTAAACATTGAAGTCATGAAATCATAGCCAAAATAAATTGGAAAAAAATCTATAGTAAAATATTGTAAATCCTTTCTATTATTTTATCATTCATGCTTTTCTTGAATTTCAGCTAACCAGAGCCAAATTGATCTATCGGCCGAAATTAATGGGGAATCCCGTTCCCTTCTCTGACTGGTACAGAATGTGGTTGAACTCATAGCCCGAAATGGGAGATCCATAGAACCCCTGAAATAGAAAGAGAGCAAAGAGAAAAGAAAACAAAGGGAGGGGCTCGGCTGTCTCAAACGTCTAGCAATACGCAATCACTCGTGGGGATATCATGACCGTCATCAGCATCAAAGTAAAAATATGTCCCAATAAGAGGAGAAGGAGAGGTCCTTTGTGTAGAAGGACGGGTGTCTCTTTCTAGGCGCATATTAAGCGACCTGCGCTTAATCAAAGGCAATGCCATCAGATCAGTAATTGCCGTAATTAGGGGATCGCTTCATGGGTGGGATCGGATCCAATTAAGGATTGCCGGCAAAGATGGATCGTCGTTGAGCCAATGGCCTGCACGCATATCGGCTGCCCGGAGATCAGCCACAACGTGTTGATCTGTCACTTGAGCGAGCTCCTGTTCCATCGCAAACATTGCCGAGTCAGTCTAAAAGGTTCTGCCGCCGGTTGCATAGTGATACACCGACCTGTCGGAATGCCTCGTCTATGAGCTTCAATTGGGAAGCATGTCTTTGGTCAGGCCTTTGCCCTCGTAGGATGTTTTGTCGGTTGATAGACCATCTTCTTCCGGCTGCGGCGCGGAGGTAAATCTTGTGTGCTCGAAATCGACGAGCGCTTCCATCGAGTATGACCCTGTGGCGGGTTAAAATTATAAGAACCGTGATGTAGAGAGAGGAGCGAAAAAAAGAATACCTCTGAAGTTCGGCTTTCTCGGTTTCCGCATCGCTGCCTCCAGCCGGTGGAATAGAAGGGGTATAGTTCGATGCCATTAGGGCTTGCGCAGCCGCCAGACTCTCTCTGATCACCACATATCCTTGCTCCCAGCAGTCCTCTGCGGGTACCGGGACATCTTGTTGGGAAATGTGTACTAAAAGTGTACGATAGTCATTGAGAATCTCAGCCACCCTCAGGGCACGCGCTTCGTTGACTTCACCATGAATATGAGTTAATGTTGCCAACCAAGTTGAATCCATTGAAGACAATTGCTTACGTCTGTCGGCCATTGCTACTTTCTCTAGGAAGCAGTCTTATAGGCAAAGAAGAACTGGAGCCGAAAGAAGAAAAGAAAGCACGAGCAGATCAAAAAAAAAGATCAAGTGGATAACAAGGCAATTGATATATAATAGTCCGATGTAACCGAACTAGGTCTTTGTGAAAGAGTGGTTCATCTGAGGTATCGTTCCATGGTTGAGGGCGGGATATGCCTTTTAAACTCGATCCCCATGGCCACCGATAGAACGGCCTTGAAGTCCCATCCCCGTAAGCCAAGGATGAAGAGCCCTCAAGGAGATCATCATGAACGGTGGCTGGCTGCCCCAATGACTGCTGCTGCTGATGAGAGGATACGGATATCACAGCTAGGGACCACAGCTGGGCAATGACAAGTTGTGGTGGAGCTATAGGAAAGTAGAAGCCCCATACGAAAGCCATGTGTCTTAACCGACTCCAGCTTTTTAGAGGTCAGGGCTGATATCAAAGAGGGCGAGCGCTAAGCAGCTGGTACGGGAAAAGAGGATCCCAAGACTGGGTCTGCATGAGTATAGTCAGATGGGGAGAAAAAAAGACCCCACTAGATTTAGAATAAAAATAATAATGATAATTCAACAATTAAAACAAAAGAGAGTTAAGAAAGAGCAAAGGAATAGAAAAAAAAGTCTAAACTCCACCAGAACTAAATACAGTAGCAAAATGATACATCCAGCATGGATCAACTCATGTGTCAGTTTACCACAGTGGGAACATATCCACCGGCTGGATCTTAGAAAACTGGTATCTTAGTATCTTGCAGGTGCAGTTTCGAGTGGGACGCCCATGGTCCGATTCAACGCTAAACGCCGAACTACTACTTAGTAATTCACCAGCTGCGCTTCCGAAAAACAATATCGCCACACTTTAGTCCCGCGACAATGCACGAGGGTGCGTTTCAGGTTCGGAGACATCGACCGGTTAGGAAAAGTCTCAAGAGAAAAAGCGAAACGTCATGGTTGCTCCCTGAGACAATTGACTCCTTTCAGGCACGGATTGTCACTTTTTGCTAGGAAGAATTTCGCGAAAGCCACAGTACCCAGCTCAGCCACAGAAACCTGGCCACAATACGGTGTGATCAGCTGAATGGCGAGCCTCAGGTTGGGAAAGAAAATCCTTCCCGGTTTTGATAGTCAACTTCCGGTGGCGAATATGATCCTACGTCAAAGAGTATTCGCCCCAGTGCATGCGAGACAGCTATCCACTTCAACAACCCCTTTGGTACCAATTCCTATCAACTTGGGATTCTCTCCGATGTTGCTTGCAAGTGCATATAGCGCTCAAAAAAAATACTATGACTCAGTACATTTTACGGCGATTGTCACGTCTCACATATCGAGCTTGCAGGGCTGTGTAGTGTTTGCGTGAGCCCATCATATCCGCGAAAGCCATAAGTACTTCATACCGAGGTCCCGAATTCTGCAGGTCGCCACAAACCTGGAGAACAGTAGAATCATCGTCAATCCGTCCACTCATGGTCGCATCTGACAGCAAGGGTCCTACGAGTATATCATATATAACGGACCCACAGTAACAATCATAGAAAATGCGGTGCTATTAAATATCATTTGCGTCTGCCAACATGTATGCTCATAGGTACTTTCAACATTTAATCCTTTTCGGCAATCGCCTGCAGCCGTTCATCAATTTCCTCCTCCGTCAGAGCCCGGAAGTTGAGATCTGTGCCCTCTTGGCCATCCGTCCGGGGGCCACCAACGATACCGATCTCCAATTCGTGCTTTTTGAAATCGACGCTAAGCACATTGCTCAAAGCTGTGATTCCCAATTCGACCACATCCTCCCAGCTACCCTCGGCGTAATCCTTGTTCTTCAACTTCTTTTCCAGGTGAGTGATCGCCTCCTGCTGCTTTGGACCGGATGCAGTGGCTTTGTATCCGACGTAGTATCCCGCAGGATCGCATTTGTAGACCTGTGGCCCCTTCTCCGAGTCGACAGAGATTAAAGTCATAGCGACTCCTAGCGGGCGCATGTAAGCCTAGAGAGCAGTTACGTCAGTCTCTACCCCTCTTAATTTTAACCACGACAAAAGGAGACAAACCCTCTGTGTGTAGACCTGATTGATATTGGCAAGTCGCTTCGCAAGAACGTCACAGGGCATCTCATAGCCATATTTGTACCGGAATTCAGCCGCCTCTCCGCGGGCACGGTCGACGGAAGCTCTAGCATCCGCTATGGAACCGGTCATGACACAACCAACAGTGGGAGAAAGTCGGAAGATATGCGAAACGGAGGAGGGGTCGATCAATTTATCCTGCGGCATCGGTTAGACAAGGTCAGATTCCCGGGCATGTGCGGAGCCATGGCTTACAGCGACTTTCTTCTGAGATAGCACCACAGCGCAGTTCTTTCCCCTCACACCCAACGAGGTAATATTGGCAGAGGTGATGGCCTTGAAGGCATATTCTATCGATCACGTAACAGAGTTGATCAGAGATCCAGTTGTCTTATAGTTTTCGTACACCACATGTTTGGTCTTTGAACCCGTTTCTCGACGGGGGCGGTCTCCCACCGGAGGGACTCACCGACTTGATACAGACGACCTTGGTCTGAAAAGATAGTGATATGCCTGTCGTATGCGCTTCCTGCCCGCAGATGACTGTCAGTAATCGATGAAGTCATGGCAACAGGCCAATCAATTTAGCCGTGAACCCTACCGGACATGATGGCGGTAAATGTATATAGTACTCAGAAAAGTAAATAAGTAGACGTAGCAGGAATACAGGCAATAAAGAAAGTATCAAGGAGAAGGAAGATGGGAAATGGCGATAGAGGATGATGAGGGTTCGAGAGGACGCGTGCCAGAGGGTGCCTGAGGGCGGAAGCTCTGAGCTATTGGGTAAGCTCCACTGTCACCGCCTTTGGACAGCACATATCAATTGGCGGATATATGCATCAAGCCCTACTACTATCTCTACGTTATATTAAAGTATTGATCCTTCGTGAGTTCACGCTAGGAATGGAATAAGTTTTGAATGTACTGTTCTATCCGTATATACTGGGTATACAATGGCAATTAAACAACGGTGAATGTGCCATCAGTCTGACAAACTCCTTCATATGCCTTAGACCAGGTATCAAACTTTTCGCTAAGACTTTTTCGAACGCAATACTTAAAAACTTTTAGTAAAAATGTGACATAGTGCGAGAAAGGTAGCTGAAGAAACCACCTCGAGCGGAAGCGTAGAGGGGATTTGACAAAACAGCTCGCTCGTAGAGCCAACGCATTGGAAGTTCAAGAGGAAGAGGATGAAGACGAATCGCTCGAGCTTGTGCTATCAGAGTCGCTGTCGCTGCTTGAATCCGAAGACGAATCACTCGAACTTTCCTGCTTCTTCTTGCTGCCAGCCTTATCGTCGCTGTCGCTGTCGCTGTCACTTTCACTACTGCTCGATATTTCGATAATGGCAGTTCTATTCTTCTTCTTTTTCTTGTTTGTCTGGTTGTTCGCACCCTTCCCTTTCTGTGCAGGAGGCTTTGGCTTCTGGTAGTTGAACAACGAGCCATTGACAGCGAACAAAACGAGCTCCGCTCGCATCCTACTCTCCAGCTTCTTCAACACATCGCCTTCCAAATGATCGGTAGATCCAGTGGTATCCAACTCATCATGTTTACCGTGGTGCAAACACCCCCTAAAAGCGCCAACAGCGGTGTCGTAACTCGCCTTTTCCGGTGAGGGTTCTTTGGATTCGTCCGCGGCACTGTCCTCCTTATCAACAGACGAAACCTCCTCAATCTCTGCTTTCACAGCTTCCTCAGCGATCTCACGCAGCCTCTGCTTAGCACCCTCACTCTTCAACCCCTGGAGGTAAACCAGAAGAGCGGCATTGTATGCAGTCGGCACCTGCTCCAGCGAGAGAACGTGCTTGAAAAGTTGTGTTTCACGGTTCTTCTGAAACTTCCACGCCGACCGATGTTTGTAGTACAGATTCAGATAGGAAAGAATCGGAGCTTCATAGATTTTCGAAGACGCATCATTCGCTGAGTCTCCGGCTGTCGAGTACTCCTTACTCCTCTTCTTCTTCTTCTCTTTCTTTTTCTTCTGCTTCTTCCCTTCATCCTCAGCGTCAGCCTCGGCATCACCATCTACATCCTCCTGCGAATCGCGACTAGGTATCTCCTTCTCCTTCACCTCGGTCGAGAAAGACACCGTCTTCTTCTTCTTTTTTTTGGGAGACTCTTCGTCCTGTGCGTCAGGCTCACGTCTATCCTTCCCCTCCCGCTCCTCATTATCCTCATCGTGTCGTCGTTTCTTGTTCTTGCGCGACTTCTTGCCGTCTTTTTCGGCGTTGCCGTCGCGTTTCTTTTTCTTCGAGGACGACGTATCAACTTCCTCTTCGCCGGATTTTCCCTGGGCCTTTTCTTCTAATGGATCCTTTGCGTATTTGAGCTTCAAGCCTAGTTTCTTCCACGCCGGGACGTGCGACGGCTGAGAAGACTCTTCGTCCGCCATTGAGGCTGATTTTCGGGGTTGCCGCCGGGAAAATTCGAGTCGCGTTTATTTGGAGATCCTGTAGAATCGGCGGAAGAGATGGCACGGGAGGTATCGAAGTGGAGGGTGTGGGTTGTGCGAATCGATTTGGACTGTTGTATTGTAGAAAGTTTTGGGAAATTTTCCACGTGAGTTGCGGAACTTTGGCCAACACGGCGGAAATAAACCCAACTTTTAGTTCTAAAGTCCGTTTGACTGGAACCGAACCGATATCGTTATTATATTTGAAAATTATATATGGATGTTAGATTTAGGATATATTCTCGCATTTACATATTATCCTATGATATGTAAATATATATTTGAATGACCGTGAAAATTCGTCGCTTGCATTATTATTCATGCCATTAGACTTTGCCTTCCAGTTCCTTTTGACTCCGGTTTTACAATCCCAACTCTCACCAAAGATGCGAAACCACGATGCATGTAGGCGAAAGGTAGATTATGGCCCATTACCTGAGCCACTGGCGTTTTCCGCCCCATTTGAGTCCCTTTTCTCTCTCTTCATCTCCTTCTGCGCATTACCTTCTACCGCTTTCCGTCTGAGCCTTTCCCGGTCCCGAGAACTGTTTGCTGTCCTCCTCCTTCGCACTGGCTCATAGACGTCGTTGAAATTCATGACTACTCCAAGGAACCGCATGTCCACGTCTGGTTGATACGCCAGATCGCCCAGGAGGATGTTTAACCGCGACTTGAACTCCGCAGACAGATCGCGGAGCCGAACACGTAGAGACGCGAGCATGTGGTCATCAGCGGAAAGATCGTGGCCCATGAGGGATGACGGTGTCCCAATATCATCGCCAGAGTTTCCAACGTTTGGCGTAGATACTGAGGATACTGAATTCTTGTGTCGTCGGGAGGAGAGGAGATCGCGTTCTGTAACGCCCCAACGTCCTTGTGCGGTGCGCGTTTCGATTTTAGCGCTGAGTTCCTGCCTTCGAGTGAACTCGGCGACAGAGAAAGAATATAACCCGTCAACAGCATCCTTGTAGGCGAGCATAATCTTCAAAATCTGGTGTAGTTGGGTCAAGAAGCTCTCGTCTTGATGTTTGTTGGAAGATGAGCTCTTAGACGAAGATGAGGATCCTAGTAGGCCCTTGTGAGTGATTGAATTGAGATATTTGGTGTGTGCTTCGATCAAATCGTCCAGTGTGCATCCTGGCTTGGAGATGGAAGCTTGCAATTGATCCCAACTGGCCTCTATGACCTCGAACAAGATATAGTATTGCAGTTGACAAACAAAATGAATCATCTCAGCAATGGCGCATCTCGCTCGTTTCCAGTCAGGCCCTACTTTATCATCGACACTCCTCAGCACTCCTCTGGCCCCGGTCATGCATCGTCGCCAGGTACTGCCCAGTGCAAACTCGACACGTTTCACGCGCCATAAGAAATTGAACACTTTCAAGTACTGAGTAGAGCCCCAGGGTGTAATGACGACATCCACTGGAGCATCTATCTTATATTCTAGTGTGAAACAGTCCCAGCCGATCTCGCCATGACTGAGTTCTAACATTCGGGCATCTAAACGGCGAAGAACGTCTGGCGAGTCATATTGAGCGTTTGAAGCACGGATGGCATGTTCCAGCTGAGCCGTAAGCGTATGTCTATATTGGGAATTAGCAGGACGGTCGAGGTTTGACGCCAGCGATTCCATCAGCAGGGCGATGAAATCACCCTGTCCTAATAATAGGTATTTCTTCAACGCCCGAAGATGATCAAAAAGCTTGAACTTCTCATCCATGAGGTAGATTAGTCGCGCCATTGTGATCTTATATGCCTCATCGATGGATGTCTCCAGACTTGCTGTGTCGCCGTATCGCAATTCTTTCGAAGTCTCCTTTGAATAGGCTTCTACCCATCCCGAATCGCCGCAGCCGTACCTGATGAAATTCAAGGATTTTCCGATCAAGAATACCTTCTTCGCAAAATCCTGCGTAATGATTGACGGCACCAAATCGTCGTCAAGCTTGTATTTGTCTTCCCAAACGCTCGTAGCGATGCGCCGGGGATCTGTGCTTGGACTCATTTCTGGCGCTACCACAAAGAATTCCTTATATGGATCTGAGAGTTCGCCGTCGTAAATCCATAACCGTAGCATATTATAGAACGGCCGTGTGACGTGTGCGAGCAGTTTCTCAGCGAGCGCACAGACGAAAGGATCTCCATGGGAAGTGGAAAAGCCATGTATCATCGATATAAGTTGACCACCTTTCTTATCTAGAATACCGTTAGATGAATAAATGTCCATGTAACCTTGAAAGTACTTACTCTGAGCTTCCTCGACAATCAAGCTCATTAATCTCAGTGCCATTGTCGCATCCCTTGTCCATACCACACATCTTTTTAATGTGACGCCGGTTTTAGCTACACTAGGCGTATCTGTGGAATCTCCAGGAGCGGCCAGCGCCCGTCGAATCTCCCCTTCGAGTGTAGCGACTAGGCCCAAATACGAGCGAAGCTCGTTTGAAAGTGCCGCTCGCAAACTCTGGTTCAACAGGCCACCACTAGAGCTTTCAACAAAGGCTGACAACCCCTTGTATAACAGACAAGGCTCCGCCAATGCGTTCACAAGCGATATCAAGGGGATGGGCAGCGTTGGGGGCAGTTTGAGGGTAGAGGAAGACGAAAACTCAAGATTCGAGGATGATAGCCCCTGCATATTGAAGGGGAGCTCACGCAAAAGCCCATTCTCGGTAGGTCGAGCTACCTTCTGTTGGTTTTCTGGGACCGGCTCGGGTTGCACGTTCCTCTGCTCTTCCAACTGAATATCCCTCGCTACAACATCAGAAATTGCACGACGCCTCTGATGCTCTCGAGCCAAATCAAGTTCCTGTTCTGCTTCCGTGTTCCGTATCTCCCGTTCCCGTCGTCGCTGAGAAACTTTCCGCTCTAGGCGCGCAGGTAATTGCGATGCCGATGAACTGATGGCGGGGCCCTCCTCATCCGAGTTCTCTCCCATTCCCTGTCTTGCCCTTTGGCCCTTAAACAGTATGTTCTGCAAATTCCCTGGTTCGACCGCAGGACTCCGACTTCCCCCTTCTTCCTCCAGGCCTTCTTCGTTGTCGTCCGAGCTCAGTCGATAGAGGAGGTACAAGATAGCCCACTTCTGAGAAAGTACAGGCTGGGTCAACAGGCGCGAGTATAAATTGGAGAACCGCATCGCCTTGTCTGGACTCGCATTCTGACGTAGCAGCTTCCGCTTGATCAGATCCGACGCGTTGTTGATATTCTCCCCACCGGCTAAGCTTCCTCTGCGAGTAATCCCCAAGCCTGTCCCGCCATTTGGAGATGCTGGGTCATTGTTTGTGTCTGTGTAAGCGTCGAGTATGCGCCATGAGTGTTCGAGGTTCCCTTGTTGTCGCACTGCGAGCGCCTCGTATTCATCGTCAGAGAGTTCGTCCTCCGCGGCGACGTAAGAAAATCGGTGAGTGAGATTGTCAACGAGTTGGGCGAGGGCGTCCTCAATGCGACGCGGGCGCGTGGAGTGACGAGCAGCCATGATCCTTCTGTGACCCGATTTGAAGCTCCTCCCCAAGCTAAGTTTGTTCAGTTATGGGTCACGACGACCCGTGTGACGTCGAGGGCCGCCAGTGGATGCACGGGAATGTGGGATGCCGGGAAAGCAATGGGTGGAAACGCGGTCTTCGAGTTCAATGCGGCCTAGTCAAACAGCGCATGACGTCCTGTCACGAGTCGCATACCAATTAATCAATAAGTTTCATGTGCCTAGCTAACTTTTGAAACCTGGAGAGTTGTTACTAACCTTGTTATTGTTTGCCTGGTTTGAGTGATGGGGACCTTCCCGTGACCGCCAAGTTCTCCGCTACTAGATCCGGGCATAAATATTAAGACTAAAAATTACTCTCAAGTACGAAACTACAGGCGTATTCCAAGAATACCCAACAATATCTAGATCGATTCAATCTCAACATGCTTGGATTCTCTATACCTAGAGCCTTCCGACATGCGAGTCGCTGTAGTAACAGTGAACAGAGAACCAAATAGCCACCAGAACGCCGCCCGATTAACGCTGTATTTCGGGAAAAGAAGAAGGGGGAAAGACATGATCTCGTGTCCCTCGAATATTAGACAGCCGAATTGAAAGCCCAAGATCAAGCACGCAATAGAAAGTCAGAAAACCACGAGTAAACAATACACAAACCCTAGTCCTTGAGAAAAAGGGACTAGGGTTTAAGGTTAAAGTGTAGAAAAAACGACAGGGAAGAAGTGGAAAGAATCAGAAGAAAGGGGAAGAAATCGAGAATAGAGAAACACAGCCAAAATAAGCTTTTGCGCCAAGTTTGCACCCTCCAGAGATTCAATAGAATCCCTTATCGCACCGTCAGATACAGCCAGTCCAATTTTTGAATTCGTATACATCATTAACACCTACCCATGCCCAGAGGCCATCGTGAGGAAACGGAGGCCAAACGGAATCGAAACGTAACAAGAACCCGTGGAGATGGTCTGGGCTCTAAACAGAGATGGCCTTGCATTCAGATAAGCCGAGGAAAAGCAACGTTGTAAGTCGTAGCAACGCGATTAGACCAAGATTGGAAGAATATTATGATTGTGGTCTAGAGACTAATTCATTGTCTTCGGATCCCTTGCGCGGGGATAGGTGCACCTGGTTGCATTCCCATATTGCCAGGGATGTTGTACGGGTGAGGATCGAACCCTGTCGACATGCCGTTCATCATCAAAGGGCCAAGCCCTTGAGCCTGAGAAACCGGACAGTCCTTATGAGCCAGCAAAAGCGTCTTGAGATTGACGATCTCTTCACGCAATTGAGTAACGGTCGCAGTGAGTGCGTCGTTTTCTGAAGTAAACAGTTCTACCTTCGCTTGCAAATTGGCAAGCCACTGTTTCTTTCGCTGGCGACATTTCAACGCGGCAACCCTAACGATACCGTATCAGAGAGTGGAATAAATAGGCACCCAGTATAAGATTGTGAAACTTACCTGTTCCTCTCTAAGAAATTCTTTCTCTTCTCTTCGTCCGTCATCTTCTTACTATCCGTCTGCAACTTTCTCTTGTGTTCTTCCTCTTCTTCCGAGTCTCCGGCATCAGAAGGAGGCTCCGAGCTAACCTTGGCTTTCTTGTTCGACCCTTTAGCTGGAGCATCATCTGCTTTGCGCCTGCTGTTCGCTACGCCGCCAGTCTTGGTAGATGCATTCTTCTTCTTTCCTTTAGTGACAGGTTTTGTATGCTCGCCTGACACATCCGACACATCATCACTTGTCTCTCTACCAGCCATTGCACCGTTAGAAGCTCGTCTGTCAGAATCGCGAGCTTGATCGTTATTATTTTGAATGCTCTGTGGTGGTATGGACGACGGATTGGAGACAGCAAACTGATTAGGATTCGCCTGTCCACCTTTCGCTAGCATAAAAAGCCCGTTTGCGGCATCCGCGGCATCATGATGGCCGAAAGGGTCTACTCCCGCCGGCTGGCTAGGCTTCATATCCATACTTGTACTCTGAGTTGCTTGTTCAGGATCAGACGTAGGGTTAGAAGTTGGGCCATTCAGGGCATTTTTCTTAGCAGCGTTCAAAGCCGTACGATGGAACTCAATCGTGGAAGGAGTTGCGCCCCCGCTTTGCAGTTGCTGCAGGAGCGCCTGAGAGTTCGGACTAGGCGCCGGGAACATGGAACCTCCACCACCCGGAGTCAGCCCGGTACGCAGGGAAGACTCGTTCGGAGTCGGAAACCCTCTTCCAATACTGTCGAAATAGTCGCTGGAGCCCGTCGGGCCAGCAAGCATGGCCGGACTCAAGGGCCCCGAGCGCAACGAGTTAGACCAGCTATAACCACCGCCGGCCGAGCTAGTACCGGGTAAGGCAGGAGATGTGAGCGAAGCGACTGGAGGAAGGATCGACTTCCCCGGTGTCTCACCAGAGGAGCCACCACTTGTGCCACCACTAAAAGATTGCTCAAACGGGTTGGGCTCCAGTGAGAAGGGGTTATGGATAGAGTTAAAGTAATCTGGGGTATCCGTAGCAGATGTTATAGCAGGCCGCGGAGGAGGCGCAAGGGAGGTCTGGGGGTCTACGTCGGACTTTGGATTCTTGGTGTCTGAAGACGGCGCCTGAGTGTCTGCGAAACAATAACAGATCCTGTTAGTCGCCAAATAACACACAAAGCGACGCGATATAGACGCGACAGTGAGGTGTATCCAAAACAGGTATGGCCATGAGGCTTGACAGCGACAGTGAGATAGGTTCGCCGTCGCGTTATGGTGGTGTAGAGGACAGAGCCCCATCGATGACGCCAGGTGTGAGGTCATCCCGACGGCTCGAACACATCATCTTGGGGGAAGTAGTGGCGTAGTACCAAGCCAGAATGGGTCAAGGCTTAAAAGCAAGATGTAGATGTCGCCAAAACTCTCTTGTAACTTGACAACTTCACAACATAAACGAAACATGAAAAGTACAGAAACATAAGACACAAGAAAAATTGGTAAAAAAAAAAAAGAGTCAAGGTCATGTGCACACACAAAGAAGCTCAAGACTAGAAGGGCATTTTATACTAACCTTCATTTTCCAAAGCGTTCTTTTTGGCGTCCATTGGGGATGTCGAAAGACTATCAGCGCGATGTGTTAAGGTGCCTGTAACTGCTGATGCAACAGCTGCAGACATGATAATCTGGAGGTGGCTGTTATATTTAGACAAGCGAAGGGGCCAAGTGATCAGTAGAACCCCAAGACGGGCGAAGAACAGGGCAAGAAAAAAAATTGAGTGGAGGGAGTGGGTGGCAAAGATTGAGTATTTCCTTCACGGGGGAGAGCAAGAAAAGCGAGTATAATAGGGAGGGAAACAAGTAACGCTGGATGAGTGGTGTAGAGCAGACAATTTGTTGATGTCTCTCGTTCTGCAAGAATCCCCGAATAACTGTGAAGGGAAGGGAGTTGAGAAGTTGTGACGTAGTCGGACTCCCTGGGGAGTTTTTAGGGGAGAAAGAAAAGAGGGGAGGCGGTCGAGTGTCGTGAGCTAAGCGTTTTTGGGCCGGCCTAAGAACTCGACTCCTGTCACGCCAAAGTGTAATAGGAAAAAAAAAAAAAAAAAAAAAAAGTTGGTGGGTAGTAAAACTATGCAACCTTAGGGTGTGGCCAGTCTCTCTGTCTGTGTGTGTACAAAAAGGACCACGGGTACCGGCCAAAAGTGCAACCTCAATTGTAGAACAGCACTTTTTCTGGTTTTTTTGTCTCGGTATTGTCTTTCTCAAGAAGGTCCGGGGTTGCTTGCTTCCTTTCCTTTCTTCTTATCTTATCTCCCTTTTTCTTTTCTTTAATTTCATCCTTTTCGGTTTTATTATATATGGTATTTATGTATTTATCTGTTTATTTTAATTTATTTATTTTGCCTTCTCGTTGATTTCTAATCCAAAATCTTGATAGACAAGATGATAGGAGGGGAAAGGGAGAAACTAAGAAGCGAAACGGACCGACCTTACAGGAAGGGGACCAAAAAAGAAATAAAAAAATTGAACAACGATCAAGCAACGAATTATGCAGTCGAACGACCCTTACGGAGTACTACTACTACAAACAGGACAGGACTTGCAACAAGAACTTGGAGACAGAGTGGGGCTCTCGGCAATACTTTTTGACCAATACGAATGATGGTGAGGGCGGAAACGATAGGCCAACTCAAAACGGACACCCGTCACTTGGAGATTCACAGGAATGTTTCAACAATCCAGGGATATTCCAATAGGAGGGGAGGATGTCAATCTAAAAAAAAAAAAAAAAGAAAAGAAAAGAAAAAGAAAAGAGAGAAAGGGAGAACCAATATCAAGAATCCAGTCCAGATCTAGACGGGAAGAACAAACCAGATCCTATGAAATATTAACTATAAACGGGAAGGGGGGTTGGTGGAAAATAGTACAAAAAAAAAAGAGTCAAGGTATGAGATGAAGTCACGGTGACGACGACAGGAATTTCCAAAGATTTCTTTTCCTTTGTCGGACCAGCCGGGTGGCGGCTCCACTATACCCAGCCACTCACGGGCCTGATCCCGAGCCCCACGCCAGAAAGTGAACGAAGAAAATTCCATCTCACCTAACCTCCCCAGAGACCAAAACTCTTATGACTACTAGTAGTACCCGGTAGGATCTGCCGTAGAATCTGAACAGCGAATCACATTTCGCGCCATGTTTTGTTCTCCTGCAGGGCGGTGAGTATTCCCCGTCCGATCAATGATCGAACCCTAACAAGCGATGGATGCGATGAGATGGTCACTGGCAGGCCCTCAATCAGCAGATTTGATCTGAAACAAGGAATTGATGTGGTCGAAAACCTCTCTCAGGGGGTTCTCGCGCTCCGGAGAATGACACCTGGATGTCTTGATTGGAACCCCTGGTGATGACGCAATGCTACGGCCACATTTCGTCCCGTGGGTTAGTATCACGTGACCAAGATTCGCTTAATCTCATTGGTGCGCCAGACGAAAATGGTCGAATTTCTGGGCTTGCCACTCACAATCTAGACAAAGCACCGTTGCCTCCACCCCATTCAACACAGTCCAAGATGTGTCAATTGTTTGCTACGACTCCTTCCCCCCTCCCCTGGACCAACTGGCAGTAGTACCCGTCAATCTATGGGTATTGCTGCATTTACAGTCCAGTTGGCCATACACGATCCCTGCTGACTGATAAAGCGAATGTTAAATATTATGCATAACTTTGGGGGGGATTGCCTGAGTCATTTATCGTCTTTAGGATTTAATATGGGAGAAGTAAAACCCGTGGTTTACCGATCCCTCCATCCTTGTCTACCCATTGTTGATGAGCACATATGGACTGATAGATTCCAACTCAGGATGGTTCCCAATTCGTACAGTAAAAGCTGCCTGAGCGGAGATGATTCAGGCAGCCATTTTCCTCTCAATTCAGCCTCGTGGCAGGCTCACACTTCGTACTACGTAGTTCAACACCAGTATAAGACGGGGGGCTATGTTGTATCCTCCCACAACAGGATTTTGATCGTTTTTCTCAGTGTGATAGATATATAATATCCAAGGGGAGGAAAGTCCTCTCCCAAAATGGCGAAATTACAAGATATCCCAGAAATCACCCTGCTTTGTATGGAGGACAAGTTCATAACGGCATTCAATGAAGCCCTCCCAATTCACTGGCCGTCCTTTGCCGAGAATCCCAAGATCAAATTCACTGTGCTCAACTTCGGACTCCATGCGGTCCCCTCCACCACCAAGTTCCAACTAGTTGTCTCACCAGCCAATTCCTATGGCCGCCTGGATGGTGCCTTCGACGATGCCATTTCGCGGAAATTCTGCCGTCCACATCATCCGTATGACACCCTGACGCGAGCCGCACAAACAGTGCTTTACGAGAAATGGAGAGGCTTTGCGCCGCCAGGATCTTGCACACTGGTCCCTTTCCCCAAAGATATGGAAGGGACGAATGTTTGGGGTTGTAAATGGGTAGCCATTTGTCCGACCATGAGATCCCCAAATAAAGTCTCTTGGGACCGCGAAGTAGTATACGAGTGTGTGTGGAGTTTACTATGTCAGTTGGAAGGCTGGAACCGGGACAGGTCCGAGGACAGGATTGATAGTATATTAATGACCCCGCTGGCTACGGGCATTGGGGGCGTGAGTCCACAAAGATGGGCATCACAGTTAATTCTAGCGTTGAAGCATTTTGTGGACGCATTGGAGCGACCGGAGAGGTGGAATCAGTTGGGGTGGGCAGACATTGAAGGAGATGTGATTGAGGTTGAAAAGACATGGAAAGAATAAACTTGACGCATTGACACTTTCAACATACTTGAGGCTCTCGATTCATGACATCCATATACGTCATACGGCAGCCCATACCTCCACAGTAATCAAACAGTGATAAGATCCCTCAGGCGCTTTATCGATAGCCTCACGATCCGCGATAGGTTGAGTAATTCCAGGGTCCTAGAAGTACTGGCACATGATAATGCCGCCACCCCTCCTCGCCTTCCTGTCCACGCCCCTTCACCGTGAATTTCACCTCCACCTCCGGCCAGAAACTCTCAACCCCTTGCGCTTCATACCAGGGTCCAACTTCGAACCGTACTGACCAGTGCGTTTTGCTGTCCGCCGCCGGGAGGGAAGAGAGTATAGCAGGAACGGGAGGGGAGGCAGTCGTCACAGGCGTCCAGTTCTTGACTCGTCCATCTGCGTCGGTAGTTGCTCTGAAGCTGATGGGACTTTGACTGCTCGAAGGAGCTGACAAGAGGGTCAGCGTCACGGGTAGATTGGCCGCCGGGGTACCCGACAGAGTATTCAAGACATGGCAGGTAATAGGGTCGCGAGACATTGGCGCTGGTTCTTTTATAGTGATCAAGTTGCTGACAGCTATGGAAGACTCGGGTACTGAACGAAGCTGCTGTTGATAAAGGCTAAGTCGGTCTTTGGTTCTGCCCAATTGGTCACTCAATCTCAAGTCCATCAAGGGAGAAGGGGAAAAAAAAGTACAGGAGAGAGAGCGGAGGCAATGGTAGGAGAATAAAAGTCGTAGGGAAATATATCTTTCCTTTTTTTTTTGTCCCTTATATGTAGACCTATAGGGTTTTTGTATCTCCGCTCTTCATGCATCGGAGACCACCGACAAGTTTGATGGACCATTCCGGAGTATACCTTCAGTGGGGCGGCATAGGTGATATTCGACGTTCACATTGTCAAATTTTTGAGATATAATATTTTCTATCCCGAGTGCAATGCCATGGAAGAATTAATATCCACCTTGGGGAGGGATACTTTCGGAATAAGATCTATCAAGCTGGTCAAACATCATGTCATGTCACGATAAATAAATTGGAGCCTCAGGCCGTAAAGGTTTCTTTCCGCACGTGCCACTTGGGCCCCGACATCAAATAACGGGGAATTGCTTCTTTTGGCCTCTGGCTGCCATAGGAGATAAAGCACCCTATACAGGGATTAATCTTACACCCGAACTTGTCCCTTAAAATTTTCAACAGCGTTGTTGCTGACACTGTTCCAACTATCTTCCGGAAGCTTCGACCGCCGCCGTCAAAAAGTTTTGGGTCTTGCGGGGAAACCAACCTCCGTGGTAAACTCAACATCCATCATTGTCCTTCAAGAGTCACGGCTCACCTTTGATCTCTCTCCAGACCATTGAAACTTAGTCACCCATCTTACGGATCCGAGTTAATTCACACCAGCTTCCAAGATGTCTTCTACCGCCGTCGTACAGGCCGACGATCTCATGGAGCCTTCGCTCCAGACGATTATCGACCAGAAAACCCTGCGCTGGATCTTCGTTGGTGGTAAAGGAGGTGTGGGTAAAACAACTACATCTTGTTCTCTCGCGATCCAGCTGGCCAAGGCTCGCAAGTCAGTCTTACTCATCTCGACCGACCCTGCACACAACCTGAGTGACGCATTTGGGCAAAAGTTTGGAAAGGAGGCTCGACTAGTCGACGGATACACCAACCTCAGTGCTATGGAGATTGATCCCAATGGTAGCATTCAGGACCTGCTGGCCAGCGGCGAAGGGCAGGGTGACGACCCGATGGCTGGATTGGGCGTTGGGAACATGATGCAAGATCTGGCATTCAGCGTACGTTTGGTCAAGAACTGCCGAATATCTAAGCTTTGTCTGAACTAACCATATCAGATCCCCGGTGTCGACGAAGCCATGTCTTTTGCGGAGGTTTTGAAGCAAGTCAAGTCCTTGTCATATGAGGTTATTGTCTTTGACACTGCTCCCACCGGCCACACTTTGCGCTTCCTTCAATTCCCTACTGTGCTCGAAAAGGCTCTTGCGAAGCTATCGCAGTTGTCGTCCCAGTTCGGACCGATGTTGAACTCGATCCTTGGCTCCCGCGGTGGCTTGCCAGGTGGTCAGAACATTGACGAGCTTTTGCAGAAGATGGAGTCTCTCAGGGAGACTATCAGCGAGGTCAACACTCAATTTAAGAACCCCGATATGACCACCTTTGTGTGTGTTTGTATCGCTGAGTTCTTGTCTCTGTATGAGACTGAACGTATGATCCAGGAGCTGACAAGCTACAACATTGATACACACGCTATCGTTGTCAATCAGCTCTTGTTTCCCAAGGAAGGTAGTCAGTGCGACCAGTGCAATGCACGGAGAAAAATGCAGAAGAAGTACCTTGAGCAGATCGAAGAGCTCTATGAGGACTTCAACGTCGTCCGGATGCCATTACTAGTGGAAGAAGTCAGAGGCAAGGAGAAACTCGAAAAGTCAGTTCCCGTAACCCACTGGTTACAAGATCACTTCAGTACTAACTATCTTCAGATTCAGCAACATGCTTATTCACCCCTATGTTCCCCCTCAGTAAAGAAGCTCCGTGGCATTGTGGCATAGTTTCGTCGTGAGGTTTTCGGCGAATTGTTACCATTGGGATGAGTTATGAGAAAGAAATAGACAGTAATGCACCAAGCGTTTTGATGGTTGGATCCACACAATACCTATGCCTTGCACATTAAAATCTAGAGCAATTTGGTTATGAGGTTTTTTTTCTCTTCTCTATTTCCCGCTTTCTTTTACCATTGCTTCCCCATCAACGATCGTCTCGCTCGCCTCACTTCCGCCTCCTTCGGGCAAGGAGAGCTTAACACAATGAAGTGGTTACAAGATGTGGGTCTTTATAAAGCTTTATGAAAGTTCCCGCTCAACCATCGTTCGCTCATGAGCAGATCGATAGGCTGGAGTCTCAGTTGTGCATATACATGGTCTTCTCCACATGCTGCCTTTCCCGTTCAGAGAGTCTCGGGTTTCAGGATGATCCAAATGCCTCACTTCTAGCTATGGGACTAGCTTCATTTCTTCCTGGAAAACTGCCTTGACTAATGAAGGACATTTTTCTTTCTTTCCTTTTTTTCTTTTTTTGGCCATATACAGACACTCGGCTAATTGAAAACGCGAGATTATAGGCATGCCGAGTATATCAAACAAGGAATACGCTGCAACGACTCCATGCTTCCGTCAAGTGTCCTTTGAAGGCCATCCCGAGCTTAACGCTCACTAAAAGACACTTCAATGGTGGGCCAATTCATCTGAGCTTAACAAAAACTCGTTCATCGCCTACCAGCCAAATGAACGATGACTTGCCTTTCTAGTCATAGTTCTTGCACAAATATGCTGATCCATCACAACAGCTAGATGGGTATATGCTTGTTATACCGCTGTGGATCACTTGTATCGGTCGCATCCTTGGTACAGCACAGCACCACAGCCTCGCCCTGTGGTATTTCGCTTGGTGATCGAGATCATTTAGAAAAGCAAACGACATTTAACCCACAACGAGGCCGGCCATGCTAGGATACTCCGTGTCAAGGTCATGTAGCTGTTTTCATGCATGAGGGCATTCCTAGTGAACGTGGTTCCAGACCAAATATCGTAAATTCTCCAAGCGGGCAGTCCAGTCACAGCTAGGTGTCTATTAGCCCAGTTCCAAAGCGTCAATATTTCCTCCGTGGGTTCCAGAGAAAGCTAGGGACATGTAAGTCACTGCCAGCGCGTCGTAGCTTGTCTGACGATCGAGAATAATCTTGACCGTAGCTGACTAGTCATTTGAATTGCTTGGTAGAAACCTTCCTTCTATTGTGAATGGATTCACCAAACTTTATCTTCCAAGAAGACCGCGACATGAAGCATTCGCCTGAAAAGAACTTGTGCAGACATCATGTCCAGATCGGGGGTGGGAATTCGCGCCTAGATCTGACAGCTCGTCTCATGTACCATCACGGGGACATATTTCCCTAGAAGTTTCGATGATCACAGAAGCCAAATTCTTCGGATTGTACACACGAGAACTTTGGGTACGACTTGTGTTTCATGCAGGTGTCATCCCCTGGCCAGGGTCTTCTATGCTAGTCATGCAAGAAACTCTGAGCCGTAATAAACTTGTCCTGGTCTGATGGATCTACAGAACTTGCAGACGGTCACGGACACAACCCCTTGAATACTTACCCAGTCCGTGGAGCCACGGTATCATGCCCGAAAACAGACCGACTTGGATGGTGCATATTCCCTGCAGACTTGGCAGGGAATCCAGACGAACAGGAGTAAAAAGCCTAGGCGCAACAAATCCGGAACTAGTGGCGTTGATGGAGGTCTGCTCTATTTGTGTATGGCGTTAAATTTGGTGAAGGTTAAGCCTCACTTTTCCCGGCGAAATGGGTTGGATAAAAGAGTGAGGCGGTTTCCCGAAATCCGACATCAGCAACAGGTGAAGTGACCTCTCAACCGTGGCCCTTTTCTTTTTTCTTTTTTATTGTTTACAAAACTCATGATGGCTTCCTGAGTTGCGTAAGTGCGATCTAGTCTGGAGGTTTTCTCTTTGGCTGATCTCCTTACCTAGGTTATTGGCTAGTATAGCATTTCTCGGCGTTTCCACATTTTAAACGACATATACTCCGTACACAGTACATAAAGCTTAGGATCTCATACTTTGTCCACTTGGTATCCCTTGCAGGGTGGGCATTATGTTGGATGTTTTTAACCCTAAGTACCTCGTAGATATTGGAAGTCGTCGTCATCATCATCGCAGACGACTCAGCTCAACTCCCATCAGACATACTTACACATATACCACTCCACCCCAGACAAGGAGTATATCAATGAGGATGTCTCAAGTTCAGCAGTATTGGTTACCAGGATACGGTCTATCACGACATATCGTCCTCGGTCACATTCAATACTTCCTAGGACCAGCAGCATCTGTCAGGCCATATACATATCAGGTACATTCACCACCACGACTCCAGCACAAGACATGAGGCCGATGACCCTAACAACTGAATCTGAAACCAAAGGGCCGCGAGGGTTATCTTATAGTCGGTGTACCCCTAACGAGGGTCCGTGTCCCTTCATCTTGATCTCGTGACCACATCACTGACCCTTCAAACAGGAACAAATCGATGACCTTGCAGCCATGTCACGTGAATATGAACGACAAGAGTCTCTTCGAATGGCGAGCGATTCCACAGTCGACGGGTTCCCTAGGAATGCCGAACCCTATATCAACGAGATCGTGCCCGTTCGACCCTCAGGTCAACGCAGACGTCCGCTTGAGTGTGAAACTCGACGTGGTCGGTAATCCACCAAGGCACTCATTAGAAAAGAAAGAGGGACAAAGAAAAAAGAAAGAAAAGTATTTGCTGTTTATGTCATGCAAAAGAGATATCTTTAATTGCTTTTCGAGCGTCTCGCGTTTTATGCCACCACCGTACTCTTTGATGAGATTAGAATGACTGTTTACTATCTCTATTGTCATCAAAAATCACGCTATATGTCTATCGGATAACCATACCTCACTCTGTCCATGGCCTCGGTTGTATGCAAAGGGGAACGGGACGGGATGCTGATCTTCGTCGTCCATGCATCGGCTTTTCCTATGTTTCACTGCTTGAATTTACGTAGGATTTACTCATACCTTCGCATATCTACTAGTTCAGCTTTTCAGTTTAGATCTTTCTCATAGATAACAGGCTCTGTCCTTTCAATTTTGGTTTAAAAAACAAACAAAAGGTGATAACCTTACATCCACGTGAACCACTTCAACTGGGTTGGTACATTATCTCTATGTAGGATGGATGGTTCTCAAAGATCCAGTGAGCTAGATGTTAGGGCTTCCGATGTAGACCACCTCACTCTTACCGATAGACACTACTGGAGAAAAGAGGGACGATCTAGACCGATGAATCAAAACCACAGGATTATAATTCCACTCGTCTCTATAGATCATTCGTAACAGCATAGATCAATCACATGGAAGCAGATTTTATATCGTAGGAAAACATGCAAAGAAAAAAAATTAAGAAAAAGGAGGATCAGTCCGTTACCCCGCCCCCCCATCAATGAAAAGAAAGAAGAATACTGTACTGCTCGTTCTTCCTTCCCTTCTTTCTTTTTTTCCCCTTCTGTGTTTGCCGCTTCTCTCCTTTTTTCTCCTTTCCGCGTTTTAAAGCTCCCCTGGTATGTAAAGGTTTAACCGATGATCTTTCAATCGGAGTTTCATAACAAAGGTCACGACAGGAGGTGCCCAGCAACTACATCGGTGCAAGAGATTAAAAGACAAGTGGAAGGAAAAGAAAGAGAACATGAAAAGTGGACCACCTGAACGCCAGCCTGATGCCACTCTGCTTGGTCCCATCACTCAACAAACCCGCAGGCCGCGGGGGAATACTAACATGAACAGAACCAACAAGAGAACGGTAAAAGACGAATCCTTGTTCTAAAGCTTAGTAAGGGTTTTTTTATTTTATTTTGCGACGGCCGAGCTAAATTAACGTCAAAGTCAGTGGCCCGGTCAACAAGGTAAAAATGTACGAAAAGCGTGGACGAACCTTAAGACTTGTGTCCGGAAGAAGGCGCCCTTGGTCCTCTCAATGACCTGTTGATACACCGACTGAGGGGGGTGGTTCATGATCACTGTGCCTTCCTTGTAGTCGATCTTGGCATCGACCCTGGTGTCGCGAATGAGGTTAACAATCCACTTCTCGCCCTCATCCTGGTTCAGACCGAGACGGGTGGAGAGGTCCCTGCATCACGTTAGTTTCCTTTCTATCATCTAAAATCCAATGCCCGTTCTCAGTAACGTACTTGATATCAATCCGTTGGTGGATCTTGCAGTAGCTCTCGGAGATAAGGTGACGGGCAGCCTCCACGAAGGCATCGGCCGCAGAGACAAGGAAGAAATCGCTCCGCAACACATCCTCAGCCTCACCCAGCTTCCTCTGAGCCTCCTCGAAATCAAAATCGACGTACAAAGCCTTAACAAAGTCGGTGATAGGGTCGGTGTATTCGTAGCCCTCCTGGCGGACCACCCGGATCAGGTCCTTCAGCTGCTTCTGGTAGAGACTGCTGTTCTTGTGTGCACGGCTGCGGTTGGTGATAACAGCCGCAGCAAGGTACCGCAAAATCCAAGGGCAGTGGGTCTGAATGGTGTTGATATAGGCAGGAGAGAAGAAAAGGTCGGTCAGAACATCGCGGGCGGGGTCGTGGTTGAAGAAGGGGAACAGAGACCAGTGGATCAACCAGGAGCGGTTCTGCAGCTGACCCAGGGGATTGTTGAATAGCCGGGTTTCAATCGAATCCTTGACCTTCTGGACTTCCTCCATGGCAGCCTCCCAGCTGGTGGTCAGAATCTCGGAGGCAAGCTTACCCCATGTGGCCGAGGCAACCTTGTCATTGTCGGTGGAAAGGACACGGAACTGATACAGCAGTTCGGCGGCATTACCGTAGCTACCGCAACTGTACTGGAAGCGTCCGTAGTCGAAGAGGCTATTGACCATCTCAGTGGTAACCCCGTGTTGTTCCTCAAGGAATTTCAAGTTCGCAGCCTTGTCACTCCGCAGGTTGCCGACGACATCCTCATCCTGCAGCAGTTCGGTGATCTTGGCGCTCTCCTCCTGGTAGTGTTGCAATTTAGCGAGAACTTCCTCCCTCTTCTTGACAAATTCGTCGGGAATGGTATCGGAGTTGTTGATTTCCTTCCACAGGTTGGCGACATAGTCGGTCATGTTCGTATGCTTCAGCAACTCATACTTCGCCCGCACAATCTCCTTGTCATCGTCCTGCCCGGAGCTGAATTCAAGCAAAGGGAAAACAAGATGACGGTCGAGGAAAGGGATCAACTTGGGTAGTAGGTCATACTGATTGGCGATCTCTTCAGCGGTCTTGGGGGGGTGAGCGGCGGCACCGCTGAGCAAAGTCTCTGCGGAGGGGGGTACGTTAGCTGCCATGTTGAACAACTGACGGGGAGGCAGCGTCTCGAAGAAGAAGGTAAGGAGGAGAGGGGGGAGTAAAAAAAAAAAAAGGAGGGGGAAAGAAGTGGAGGTGGACCGGGAAGCAACAAGACTTGAAGTCAGTGTGCGGCGTTCTCTTTCACTTCTTTTGCGCTGGCGAAAAGTGTGGGCGGGAGGGCTGGCGGCCGCGCTAGGCCGCGTTGGGGCTAGCGGCGGTCTCCGCGCAAGAAATCGCTTTTCATGCAAAGATCGGAAGACATTCGATTCCTCCTCTTGACAGCTGCTTGCCCTCCAACGTTAGGGTGTTTAGGTGTTGTATTTCCTGTCCCGTTGTGTTGGATCAATCCTCCTGTTCCTCTTCCCCTTCCATAGAACCCTCACCAGATGGCATCTCTCCTGCAGGCTCGTCCAGTCTGCTCGGCCATTCGCAGGCAGTCGACGACTCTACCTACCTACCTCCAAAACGCTTCACAGTCCGTTGCTTCTACTTCGAGAACATGTAGCTCATTATCTACACTATCTCAATCCACTAGACTGATCAACTCTCGTAAGTGGTACATGGTTTCCGCCGATTCCACTCCTTGCCCGATGGACAAGCTATCCTATCATAGAAAGAAGGGGGAAACAAAAGAGAAAATTGGCCTATGAGCAAGGAGAACGGGATATATCTAACTGATTCGCTTCAGAATATTCCCTCCGATCCCTCCAACGCACCAATTCCCGCTCCGCAGTCCATACGCAGCAATGTCGGACTTTCCTGGTACAATTAAAACGGCAGTCACAGACCCTGAGGGAGAACGCTCCTTCAGCAACCCCAGCATCGGCCACTTTGCAACTCACAAATCTTCCTTATTTCATTCGTCGCACTGCCTCGAACCAACTCCCGGTATACCTGGTCACCAAGGCCGGCGGTACAAAGCAGCAAACCAAGATACAGAAGACCGAGGGTGACCTGGATGCTTTGAGAAACGATCTTGCGCAATACTTGGGTCTTGAATCCGGTGAACCTCGCACCCCCAAGAGTTCAGACATCACAATCAACCGTCTAAATGGACACATCATTGTTAAGGTACGCTTTGGTCATTTGCTCCCTAACGGGAGCATCGTATGATGCTAACCTTGCTCGCTATAGGGTTGGCGAAAGCCCGAAATTCAAAAATTCCTCCTGGAACGTAATTTTTAAAAGATGAAGAACAAGAAAAGCCCTAGATATGAGTATTGACTCGTTGCTCTCCATCTTCCTCCACCATCCGCTCGATCATCGATCTCCAATCATCTTCCAGGCGAAAGTTTAAAGCAGGGTCTCTATGTTGAAGTCGTATTAAGGCATCCGAAAACAATCATGCATGAGTGGGAGAGGAAGCAGATCGGAGAGAAGACAGACAGCAACCCCTGGGCTGATTAAGGTATTTGCTGATGATCGGCAGAGGTTGTTTTCCTTTTACTTTCTACTGCATCTCTTTCTGTTTCCTTTAACCTAGGTTTATTTTCCTTGTATTATTCTCTATGCGGGGTGTTCTGTCGCATTTTCAGTTTTATTTGTGTCGTCGGACGTTCGGTTTGTATTCTGGCATGTTTCTTGCCATTTTCTTCCTTCCCGATCTCACCTCTCCATGCCACTTTTCTGTATCTTTGTATATTTCAATGACTTCACGGTTGCTTTTGCGCTAATTCCTATGACTACTCTCGTGGGCAGAGTATAGCATGCGCAGACAGAATAATTAGGTCTAGGCACTGAATCTGAATATGTCTTGATAGACACTTGAGACGACGCTCTATTTTTTTTTTTGTTTCTTTATCATGCAAATAAAGGGAAAAGCTCTTTCTTAATCAGCGAATATGCTGCACCATGCAGGGGGCATGGAACTAAGTACGACCTGATGTCCTATAACTTGCATTTACAAGGGCATTTTACAAAGCTCACCATCCACTTCCAGAACAATGTTTTCTACACAACAAGAGAATAGCCAGGTCCGTAAATGGAACCCAATGACTGGCCAACATCGTAAGATAAAATGACCATGAAATGAATTTACCCATTGAGACATCATGCATGATCTTTCGCCCGAGGGTATTGAGCATTGTACAGCGATAAGCAGAGATACACATATCAAAAGGTCACGCCTCACGTATCTTTCCACCGGCGCCAGACAGAAAAAAAAAACACAAGGATAAATGGTTTACTCAATAGAAGACATGACAGAAGTAAACATCAAGGTGACATATTTGAAAGTGATGCTAGATATTCACCCACGCTATAAATAACCAAAAGGAAAACCAACCGCACACCACATATCCCGAGCCCAGATCATTCCGCAAGTCGCGCATACGTTATCAGTTGCCGCACGACTCCAGGATCCACATTGTGCATGAGTAATGCCCCGAGTAGGCTCTCTTTCTTCGGGATTATTCCAGACGGAAATCGCAGCGCCGAGTCCGAGTCGGCGTGTTTAGACTTCTCGGCTAGTCGCCTGAGAATGGCCAATCCTCGGTTAATGATGGAACTATAAGCAGCTGCTTCTGCCTCAGCCTGCCCTCTAGCAGCATGTGACTGACGGGGGTTGGTGTTGGTAGGAGGAACACGCTCTGTGCTCAAGAGGCAGGAAAGTCGGAGAAGATGGATGGCGAATCCGTCAACTGATTCAAGCCATGATTTTGCCAGGTTACCATCTGCAAACCCCGAAAGAATATCGGCAGCTAACAATCCTTGCATAAGGAAAACTTTGCGGGCATCAGCTATAGCCAAGGGCTTCCGAGGCTGATCAGGAACCGGGCATATAGCAAGGCCAAAGGAACGAGTAAGCAGCTCTTGCTGAGGGACACCACTTCCGTCCCCAGAGAAGATTGCCTTGAAAAACGTCCGGTTAGGTTCGTCGCGCGCCAAAAGCTTGGCTAAGCTGTCCACCGCTGCCGGTGTATACTTATGAACAGTGGCACTGTATGCAGTGAACATAACGCCATCCGGTCCTTGGTTCGGACCGGGAAATGGTGCAAATGACAGGAGGAAATGTAGGAGGGAGAGAGCTTCTTCTTTGCTTGGCAATTGGATGGTGTGAGCCAGGTTACTCAGATATATGACTGTATCCTTCATGAAATCCAAGGTATTTTGATTATTTCGTAAGAGCATGTTCCGAGTTCCCAAATAGCGGATGATGGTGGAGATAAACTGAACTACGGGTGACGTTGAAAGTACCCCGAAATTCGACTCAGTAAATGAAAAGTTGCGCAGTATTGTTGTGATGCAGATGAGTCTATCAACAGCTCGGTCTAGATCATAGTCCAGACTCCCAAATTCGGGGACATCGGCCAGTGACGTCCACTCGGACTGACAACCACGAGTGATCTCCTCATACGAGGGGAGAAGCATAACATCCGACACCTCAGCAGCATGTTCAGCGAGAAACTCAGCTTGCTCCTCTGCACATTCGACCAAGCTGTCGACCAAATCCTCACAGTTATCCAGTGAGATTTGGATTGCAGGTTCACACGAGATAGTCGCAAGGGTATCTAGTGCCAGGCGCATCTCCGCATGAATCCCTGACTTAATGCTCATCGTGAGTGCGTGTATATCAATTACACCAAGTTCAGAAAAGGCAGGAACATTTGGCTTGAATCTCGAGATCTCTTCACTCAGTTGATAAATTTCATCCACCGCGACTGGACCATGAAGACTACTCTCGGGCAAGACCAGAGGTTTGAAGGGGTCCTCGATGGGATGTTTTAGAGGCTGGTCAGGGTTCTGGTCAATCTGATCAGAAACCTTTCCAGACACTGACCCTGGGCCTTTGGCAGATGGCGCAGGTGACTGACCCGATAGTTGCCCAGTAGGGTCGTGGGGGGTTGTAGGCGGTTGAGATTGGCGGGAAACGCTGAGTCTATGCTGATGCTGTTGTTGCTTATTCGGCACCTTCACCGGCGTTGGGGTGGCGAACCCATTTGGCACATTATTTGGAATATTGCTTGACACTGACGCATTACTAGGAGATGTGTGTCCAAGTTGCTGTGAGGCCTCGAAACTTTGGTTCTGTTTTATATTGGGTGACTGGAACTGCATGCCTGAGGGGTCACTAGGTTGTCGTGGCAGCGAATTCTGCTGCATCTGGTCTGCAAACTGCTTCTGTTGCGTGCTAAGGAAAGCCTGTTCATAAGCAGCCAGATTCCGCTGGTAATGATCCCGAATCTCTTGAGCAGCCATTGGAAACTGCATCGGAGGATACTGAAGCTGTTGAGATATTACCGGCCACATATTTGTAGCGTTGATCTTTTTTGATCCGCCTAGTTTCATAACGGTAGCATAAAGCTGGACCAAATTAATTGGGCGCCCGCAGACAATGGGATTTGGGTCCAGAGGCAGATTTCGTGACATCATGAATTTATGCAACGACCTCATGAAGCCTTCCGGGTTGGGAGGTTTCGCCATCGTTTGTTGCATCTGCCTAATGGCCGCCATTTGTTGAGGGTTGGCCATGGCGTTCATACCAGCTGCTACGGGGCGTCCTGCCAGAGCCGGATTCATACTTATCGGACGGCCTTGGTTTTGCATCTGCATAGCGTGTATTCGCTGCTGCTGCTGCTGCTGTTGTTGTTGTTGTTGCTGCTGCTGCTGCTGTTGCTGCTGGGCAGCCATTGCCTGGTATCCCTGAGGGACGCCGCTAAAATGCGCCTGCATGGGAGCTTGCACAGCGGCGGAAGTCATCGTGGTTGCAGGAGAGAATTGCGCTGCCATACCCTGGTGGAATGGTTGGCCGGGAATGAAGGAGTTATTCTGCGGAGTGTTGACTCTACTTGGATGGTCTGACTGCGACGGTGATACGTGGGGTCCAACATGAGGGCCAGCAGGAGAAAACGGACTAGGGGAGGCTGTTCCCATTCTCTGTACGCCATGCTGATCAAAATCTTGGATAATCGGTGACTGAGTAACATTGGGCGAGGCTCCCTGTTGGAGGTGCTGATACTGAGCCGGATGCGGGGCGAACTGTGTAGCGCCATTTGCCGGTCCTTGGTATCCTGGGAAGGGCACTTGGTGAGGCGTCTGCGATCGCGACGCAGCTAGTCCCCCTGGTGCTTGTCGGGGCGACATTGAAATGCCATCCTCGGGACGTGGTCGCTTGGATGGAATCACCTGGTTTGGGTTGTGAAAACCAGGTGAAGCATTTCGCGGGACGCCATTGAACATGCGCTGGAATTGGTTGGGGTCGGGAGTGGGAGACGCATGAAGGAACGCTGTGGAAGGATCGATAGTCGCCTGGTGGAAGCCACCATTATCATGGCTTGGGAGATTCGAGGCGTCGGCTAGCCAGGCATTCATGTCGTGTGGTTTTACCAACCCATCTGCAAGATGAAAGCTGTCAGAATTTATGACACATCAAAAGGAATTACTTCAATCATCAATAAGCATCGACAAAGAATGCAATGTCGAAGCTGTCATGGCTCTAAACGGATAGATGACTGGCTCCAAATCGATATTTCGCCATTGAAAGGCTCTAGACGCGTCAAGTCGGAGTGTGAGGCAAGTCGCGCTTTAGTCCGCGGCACCGAACACAGCACGGTCCAGACGACATATAAGTGGAATAAGGGATGGGAAGGGTAGACAGGGGAAGGGAACTGTTTCTTTGTAGACAAAGGGACAGCGACGATGTACATACCGACAAGGCTGGACAACTAAAATGCCGACTCACAAGCGGAGGATGGAAAGCCGGTCCCGAAATGGTAGCGGTTGGAAGGCCTGAGAGAGGTTGCGAGGATGTGAAGTCACGGGACCATGGGCACCGCAGGCAGAAAAAGTACCTTGGGTGTGAGAGCGGACTGGCAGACAAAAAACCATTAGCAAATGGCAGGGGGTGGAGATAGCTTCTAGGCTAATACAGGAGTATAAAAAAATAACAATAAAGAAAATAAACCAAATAAAAAAGGAATAAGCCATCAATCAATCAAGAACTATCAGTTGTAGCGTGTGATAGACCCGAAGAATGGAGAGGCGGGTAGCAGTGCGTGGCCACAGTTGGTGCAGCGTGTGATAGGCAAAAAAAAAAAGTGCAAGTCCAATAACTTGAAGACAAGCGGGGGGAAGGGACCGGCATGACAGGCGTACCTAAACAATAATTGCAGTAAAGTGAAATGTCGTATTTTAATTTAGAATTTTCTTTTTAATTTTAATTCCCCTACTGCCTTGGGGGAGGGAGGGAAGATCGGTTGAAAGAAAGAAAAGTGGAGGCACGGGGTAGGAAAGGCAGGAATGGAGACAGGCGTGGAGAGAGCGCCTCAAGTGTCCAAAGGGATTAAAAAGACAAGAAAACGGGATAAGACCAGAGGGATGGATGGTACATACGAAAACTGGGCGTATAACTTTCCAGTAAGTTATTTTACCAGTGGGCAGCAGAACACAGGGAGAAGTCTCAGGCAGGCTGTCATTCGCATTGGGCGGTAAAAGGAAGAGCGAAACCCGTAGGCGGAAAGTGGCGGCAAGACGAGAAAGAGGCTGCGCTTAGGCTTAGGTAACACCACCCCGGTGGATCCCCCAGGTATGCACACTATCCCCCTTTGGGTCATCCAGCTTTCAAGAGGTCGCCATTTTTTGTTCCTCTTTCTTGGTGTTAGTAGTATTTTACTTGTTCCCCCCGGATTGTTGTCATTCATCCCGAAAGTTCTCTTTCTCTTTTCTCTTCCGTATGTCCAAAGAAAAAACATGGTTGTTGGTGGACTCGGTCGTAGACACTAAGCCAAGATCATGGAGTACTAACACGCCCTCGATCCTGCTGGTTAGTCCAAGAAAGTAACGACGCGAGCATGATGATAACCCGCCGAAAGAAACCGAAACTGTATGTTATGTAGATTTATACATATATAATATGCTCAAGGTAGTTCAGTCTCCAGTTGATTTGAGGGTATCATTGGCAACAAAAATCACATCCTCAATTGCCTGTACGAATGCGTATGTGGGTATCAATGGAGGGTTTGGGGGGAAGAAGCGTCAGCTAAAATCCAAAAAGCCGGCTTTTAAGGAAAAGATAGAGCGTGAGACAGGCAAGGAAGCGAGATAGAGAGACAGGGAAATAAAATGTCAATCAAAGAGGAGAAAGAAATCATTATGACAGGAAAATGAACGACGAGGGCGCCAGATTCCCTTATAACTGTGTTCCATCAGCTACTCCGTACTAAGCCCACCCAATAAATCCGCCCGATCTAAGTAGCTAAGGTATGGATGGACACTCTTACCGGCCGACCTCAACGGCACTCGTTATCTCCCAGCCCTTGCACGCATCCGTCTAATTAGGTATGTATTGATCATGCTCTCTCTCTCCCTTTTTACTTTTTCGGACAGGGGCCATTCATTGTCCCACCTGCCACGTCCTCACGGTTCTCCACTATAATAGACATTGATTGGCTCGTACTGAAGATGTGAATCAATATCGTGGTGTGCACTTGGGGGGTCGCAAGACAGCACCATGGTTGTTGAAACACTACGACCGTTTGATTTTGATCTAGGATTGGTCTGGTTCGACAGGATATTCGGTCTCTTCAAGCCTTTGGATACATACTTGGTTGTAGAAGGGATTAACCGTTCACTAAAATAGTAACGGAGCGATCATCGGCCATCCCTCCCCATATATATATCTTTTAATGTTACACACCATCTCAGCACTAGCATAATAGCAAACCCGCTACGTAGAGAATAAAGAGTACTAACCTATCTATGGGATACTACCCGATCGGAATGGATTAACCTTCCACAATATACATGGCGCGATGAAGTTTGAGAACATGAAACGACTTCTACCACTCCGTAGAATCATGAACAAAATAGCCTGTGTAGTACAAATTTGCAATTTAGAGAAGCGAACAGGATTATTTTTTATTTTTGATAGCCAAATAAGATACTCAAGCCAAACATATATATACATATACACATATATCATAATTCCTCATGAAAATGAATAGAAGATGTGATTGGAAATTCGATCTGTTTCTCACAGATGCGTTGCCACATTCGGGTACCACAGTCTTTCTACTAAAAGTTGGGGCCAAGCTCCCTCCCACGTGACCCGAGCCGTAAGCTACGTCGAGGCAGTTTGGTTATGATCAAAGCAAAAGCTCCGATTCCCTTCTACGCAACCCTGACCGCTCAGTTTCCCACCTAGATCCCCTCGCCAGCCTCCGTACTCCCTTGTTATCGACCCTCCAACTCTACCGCGAACGCTACCGCTTTTCGTCTCTGTCAGACTTTCACCATGGGAGACGTCGCCGTGGAGAACCCGGCGAACAACGTCACGCCTCATACCAAGCCGGCTCCATTGGATACCATCCCCAACATAGACTCCATCGAAGGTACAGGGACTGATAGTGGTGATGAATATGCCACCCTGAAGAAACTCCAGAGACATCTAGAGTAGGTTGGCATTCAACAACCACCGGAATTCATATTGACGCCCCAATAGATACATTCAACTCCAGGAGGAGTACATCAAGGATGAGCAAAGGTAACCTAATTCCATCCTCCTATCATATGGGCGACGCTACTGACTTCATTCTCGAACCATAGGAGCTTGAAAAGGGAGCTTATCCGTGCACAGGAGGAAATCAAGCGGATACAAAGTGTTCCCCTGGTTATAGGCCAGTTCATGGAAGCGATCGACCAAAAGTACGGTTCCAAAATGAATCCGATAGATGGAATCTTGCTAAGTGATACTATTCAGTACTGGGATTGTGCAATCATCAACCGGCTCGAATTATGTCGTCCGAATTCTCTCTACGCTCGACCGTGAGAAGCTCAAGCCGTCGTCCTCGGTCGCCCTGCATCGCCACTCCAATGCCCTTGTCGATATCCTGCCTCCAGAGGCCGACTCGTCTATTGCCATGCTGGGTGAAAATGAGAAACCAGATGTCACGTATGCTGATGTTGGTGGTTTGGATATGCAGAAGCAGGAGATCCGGGAGGCGGTGGAATTGCCGTTGACGCACTTTGACCTTTACAAACAAATTGGTGGGCAGATACCCTCGGGCCATCTGGCGATTTTACAGTGTTACTTACCATAGTAGGTATCGATCCTCCTCGGGGTGTTCTGCTTTACGGCCCTCCCGGAACAGGCAAGACCATGTTGGTCAAGGCAGTGGCGAACAGCACGACCGCTAGCTTCATTCGAGTAAACGGATCCGAGTTTGTGCAGAAGTATCTGGGTGAAGGTCCTCGTATGGTCCGCGATGTGTTTAGGATGGCTCGGGAAAATGCTCCGGCTATCATCTTCATTGATGAAATTGACGCCATTGCCACAAAACGTTTCGACGCTCAAACCGGTGCGGATCGTGAGGTCCAACGTATTCTCTTGGAACTTCTCAACCAAATGGATGGTTTTGAACAATCGAGCAATGTCAAGGTCATCATGGCCACCAACCGAGCCGATACTTTGGATCCAGCTTTGCTGCGTCCCGGTCGTTTGGACCGGAAGATCGAGTTCCCATCCCTTCGTGATCGGCGAGAGCGTCGTTTGATCTTTACCACTATCGCATCCAAAATGTCCTTGTCCCCCGAGGTCGACCTGGACTCGCTGATTGTGCGTAACGAGCCCTTGTCTGGTGCCGTCATTGCCGCCATCATGCAGGAGGCTGGTCTACGAGCAGTGCGGAAGAACCGGTACAATATCATTCAATCTGATCTCGAGGATGCATATGCTGCCCAGGTGAAGTCCGGTCAGGAAGCAGATAGGTATGTTTCCTCAGTTTATTTACGGCGCTGGCCTGTCTATTCGACCTGACTAACAATATGTAGGCTTGAATTCTACCGGTAAACCCGGGTATGCATTTTGGTTGGCATTAGGTAATGGCTAGATATACCGGATTCCATGGCGAAAGGTTGGTCATGAGTTGTAACGTCAGGAATTAGGCTCTTATTACATATGTAAGAAAATGATTGATATGTTTTGGGGTGTTGACCGAAAGTACATGTAACGTCGTTCACTTGGTCGAACGAGCGGTAGTGACTGGAGTTCAGCTCTCCGGCTACCTATCGGTGTAGATTACTAGATGTTTGTATTTAATAGTAGGGTCCACTCCGCTAAGATTGGAAAGATAGGCCGTAGTACGTGGACTGTATCATTCAGTACGTCTTATCAACCGTACCTATAGGTAACTAGCTCCCGGCGGTCTTACATCATCGTCATCGGCAGTAGTTTCCACCAGGTTGGGATGGAACAACATCATGGAAGAAAAGCAGTCCAAGGATATATATAGTATATCCACTCTAAGATAGATTGATGTTAATAGAATAGAGAAAAAAACTCTCCCTCTCCTGGAAGATTGATGAAAATAACCTAGGCAGGTTCCCCCGGTTCGGTATCCAAAGATACAGTTTCTGGTGGTATTGCCTAGAAGGAGATCAAGTGATCTCCACTCCCGTCCAATGACGCATCACACCTTCTTCATGATTGGTTGAGGGCATGTCGCTCCGCAACCGCTCATCCGCATCACCTTACTTCCCCCAGAAGGTACTCTACTCCTTCCTTTCTCTATCATCTATCCCTCCCCCCCAAAGCCCCATAGAGTAATAATCCATCATTCCTATCGTTCCGTATCAATAGAGTCATTGCTAGCTTTCTTCATATTCCATTCGTTTCTTTCGTCTTTCCGCTGTCTTCCATCATGAGGTCGACCTTGGTTACAGCCTCCCTCCTGATGGGATGTGCTTCCGCCGAGGTTCACAAGCTGAAGCTCAACAAGGTGCCAGTGTCTGAGCAGTTTGTGAGTACAACCACCCCTATCCCATCTCGATGCGAAAATCCACCTACCGGTTTGAAGCTACCTTTGTAGCTTATCAGTACGGATTGCTAACTAAATTATGTTTAGACCTTGCACAACATCGATGCCCATGTGCAGGCCCTCGGCCAGAAGTACATGGGTATTCGTCCCAATATCCAACAAGAGATACTAAGCGAGAATCCGATCAATGATCTGGGACGTCATGATGTTCTTGTTGACAACTTCTTGAATGCACAATGTACGAGACCCTAACTGTACCTGGGGAGCTTCCGCTGACACGTAGATGCCCTAAAAGACTTCTCCGAGATTGAAATCGGTACTCCTCCACAGAAGTTCAAGGTTGTCCTTGACACTGGTAGCTCAAACCTCTGGGTTCCCTCCTCAGAGTGTGGCTCCATCGCCTGTTACCTGCACAACAAGTACGACTCATCCTCGTCGTCTACGTACCAGAAGAATGGCAGCGAATTCGCTATCAGGTACGGCTCTGGTAGCCTGAGTGGATTCGTTTCTCAGGACACCCTCAAGATCGGTGATCTTAAGGTGAAGGATCAGCTCTTCGCTGAGGCGACCAGTGAACCTGGTCTTGCTTTCGCTTTCGGCCGTTTCGATGGCATCCTTGGATTGGGATTTGACACGATCTCTGTCAACAAGATCCCTCCTCCCTTCTATAGCATGCTCGACCAGAAGCTTCTTGATGAGCCGGTCTTTGCCTTCTACCTTGGGGACGCAAACAAGGAAGGTGATAGCTCTGAGGCGACATTTGGTGGTGTTGATAAGAACCACTACACCGGCGAGCTGGTCAAAATCCCTCTGCGTCGTAAAGCCTACTGGGAGGTTGATCTTGATGCCATTGTCCTTGGTGACAGTATCGCTGAGCTCGACAATACTGGTGTCATCCTTGACACTGGCACTTCCCTCATTGCCCTGCCTACCACCCTTGCTGAGCTTATGTAAGTTGAGCCTGTAAATTACATATGCCTAAGAGTATTACTGACTCGGCTTTGAAGTAACAAGGAGATCGGTGCTAAGAAAGGCTTCACCGGCCAATACTCGGTCGACTGTGACAAGCGTGGCTCCCTGCCTGACCTCACCTTTACCTTGAGTGGCCACAACTTCACCATTGGACCCTACGACTACACTCTAGAAGTCCAGGGATCTTGCATTAGCTCTTTCATGGGCATGGACTTCCCCGAACCTGTTGGCCCCTTGGCCATTTTGGGTGATGCATTCCTCCGGAAGTGGTACAGCGTGTATGACCTCGGCAACGGCGCCGTCGGCCTGGCGAAGGCTAAGTAGAACAATGATTAGTCTACTATGTCATGTCCCCACTGATTGGTTGTGTATGAGAGACAATGGTACATGAAAGCCCACCTCAGTAGTTGGTTGGCCTTTTTCCCCTCCTTTGTGGAACCTAGGCAAAGAGTTGTTCGCTTCTGACCTTTTGTCTTTCTTGTTCGTTATTGTTTTTCGTGACGCAGTCAGTCTCTGGCTATACTCTAATGACATTCAAATTGGATGCCGTTAATTCTTTATACAAGTGCCTTTCATATCTAAGCCTATCATTAATCGATCGGTATAAGTATCCCCTTGATATACTCGCCAAAGATGGTCCAACTATACGGAAATGTTTCGAACTTTACTGTGAAATTGTCTATATGTGTTGCAGTGCGTCTCCAACAGTCGAGATGATCAATACAAGCTAGTAAGCTTCGTCCAATAGTGTCTTAGGTTTTTAACTTGGATGCCGACACCCCATCAGCCAACAAGATTTGTGGAAGGCAATTCTAGTCAACCTTCCTGGAATTTAACCCGGCCCTTTACATTGGGGAATTCTCACTCAACCACGCACGTATGTACGTACACTTGTGTAGAGCAAAAGCGGTAGAATTAACACTAATATATAATACACTAATATATAATAAATATGGAATATAGCTTGGAACTTCTAATCTCTCTAGTACCTGTTTTCAAGGCGTGAACCTCTTCTCTATATAGGTACTGTGTCAAGGACGGATATCCGCTGTGCTCACTACTAGTAGTACGACCGCACGGTACGTTCCCCCCCTCCCATTTTTTTTTTTCAAGCACATCGTACAGCGTCACATTTGACTCATAAGAGGCTCAAATAGATGTCAGAGGGATGTTGTGCTACTTCAAGCTGCTAAGACTGGTAGGCTGCAGCGTGACGTTGGGGATTCTCTTTGTTTTCTGGGCATTGACAGAAAGTCTATGGTATTTACCGGAGAAAATTGATCTGACAAGAATGCAGCGATCTCACCAATTCATGGTTCTTCCCCGGTAGACAAGAGAAGACCACGGAACTTCTAAAAGGATGAGAGGCCTTTCCAATCAATAAATGATACAAATGCAAAAAGAGGGTCTAGCCCCGCACGGGCTCCCGAACAACCTTCATAAACAGTCGAACAGGTCAAGGGCCTTGGCAGGCTAACCTTAACTTCTCACGCCTTTTCTTCTCTCTTTCATCATCACCTTTTCCTCACACGATCCCTCCACCCCCCCCGACCCCATCCATCCTTCTCTCAATCTCAACCCTGATCAACTAATCTTTTTCTTGCGCTTGTTGTGGCGCATTTGCCTATTACTCCTACCTACCCGGTAGATATTATCTGTTGGTTGTTTCCCAGTCGCGTCAGCTGGTGGCGACGACCACCTGCGTACCTGAGCTACCTGAATCCACATCCCACCCCAGCGAACCCCATTAAACATATCCGTGTCGCTCTTGCTGTGAATCATCCACTCTACGAAATATCGAGCTTCACATAGGATCGATTCAAGCTCGCCCTTGTCGGTTCTCAGATCCGCAGTTAAAGCGCGTCGGGTATGGCTCCATAGCTACCGGGACCGGGTTTCTACTCGCAATTCATGCACCTTACCCCTCTTTCAATTGCTCTGTCAATAGAGGTAGGGGTCTTCATTGAATATTGAATCAATAAAAGAAAGAGAAACGAGCCAAGTCGTACAGGAGCATGCTTCTTCGTTTACCGCCCAGCCTCCACTACCCGATCACCGTCACCTCGCTGCTGAAACAGCCCGGCGACTTGGTGGAGCGGGACGAGGCTCTGTTCTGGTATGTTTACCAAACGACCGTCACCGAGGGTGATGGGCTGGGCAACAAGATCGAGGTCCAGCGCAGGTTCCCGACCAAGTTCGAGTCGACTGTTGATGGTGAGGTGGTCCAGTGGAAGATCGCAAAAGGGGATATCATCGATGAACCGTAAGCCTTGTCGCCTTTCCACAGCACGTCTTTGAAGGGGGCTGCATTGTTATGATTTGCTGACTTGGGTGCAGTGTCGAGGTCATTGAGATTGATGAGCCATGTGCCCACGAAGTCCAGTTTGGGGGTCTATGTGCGGAGTGCGGCAAGGACATGACTGAGTAAGTAGTGCAAGATATCATGGCTACCATGCTACCTCGTATAAGCTCTAACCTGGCCATCTACTACAGATCTACATATAACACGGAGGTGACCGACTCGATGCGCGCACCGATTCAGATGGTCCATGACAACACCGCACTAACCGTCAGCGAGAAGGAGGCTGCACGAGTGGAGGAAGATGCGAAACGCCGGCTACTGTCAAATAGAAAGCTTTCTCTGGTGGTGGATCTTGACCAGACCATCATCCATGCCACGGTTGATCCAACTGTTGGAGAGTGGATGCAAGACAAGGATAATCCAAACCACGAGGCCTTAAGTGATGTTCGAGCATTTCAATTGGTAGACGATGGACCGGGAATGCGCGGTTGTTGGTATTATGTCAAGCTACGACCAGGGTTAGAGTCATTCTTACAAAATGTCTCAGAGCTCTTTGAATTGCATATCTACACCATGGGTACCCGAGCATATGCGCAACATATTGCGAGTATCATAGATCCAGAGCGCAAGCTTTTCGGTGATCGCATCCTCAGTCGTGATGAAAGTGGGAGTTTGACTGCTAAGAATCTTCATCGCCTGTTCCCTGTGGACACGAAGATGGTGGTTATTATCGATGATCGTGGAGACGTCTGGCGGTGGAGCCCTAATCTTATCAAAGTGTCTCCGTATGATTTCTTCGTTGGCATTGGCGACATCAACTCGAGTTTCCTCCCTAAGAAACAGGAGTTAGGGGCAGTCGCCAAGACTGGAGACAAGACAGGCACAAATACATCAAAGTCGCCTCCACTTGAACATCATGTCAACGGCTCAACAACGAAACCAGGGGGAGAAGTGTCGGCGTTGGAGCAGCTTGTGACTATGGGTGGCGGAGATAACCCCAGACTGCTGCAAGAACAGACCGACGCTCAGGAAGAGACAATAATGCATCAGGTTGAAGATCGCCCCCTGCTGCAGAAGCAGAAAGAGCTAGATGCCGAGGAAGACGCTTCTGAGAGCATCGATTCCTCTTCAAGCATGGATGAGTCGCAAGACTCAAGCAAACACCGGCATCATTTGCTGGAGGACAATGATCGAGAACTCTTCCAGCTGGAAGAGCGGCTTGAGCAAGTGCACAAACAGTTCTTTGAGGAGTATGATCTAAGGCGGACGAGGGGGTTGGGTGGACGAGTGGCCGCCCTGAGAGGCGAGAAGATGCCATCGAAAGAGAAGGATGTTGATCTGAAACTAGTGCCTGACATCAAGGACATCATGCCACAGATCAAGCGCCGGATTCTCGGCGGTGTGGTCTTAGTGTTTTCCGGGGTACTTCCTCTCGGGACAGATACCCAAAACGCTGACATCTCTCTGTGGGCGAAGAGTTTTGGTGTCGCCATTTCTCAGAAGATCAACGCGAGGACCACACATCTGGTGGCCGGCCGTAACCGCACAGCTAAGGTTCGAGAGGCGACGCGGTACACTAACGTCAAGATCGTCACGACGCAGTGGCTCTTGGACTGTCTGACGCAATGGAAATGGCTGAAAGAGGAACCATATTTGCTGCCCGTCCACCCTGATGACCGAGGAGAGCCAATCTCGCCTGGTTCCAAGGAGATGGAAAGCGGATGGCTTTCGTCATCTGAGGACACCGGTGGCTTTTGGACTGAGGAAGAGGATGCTTCGGAATCCACCGAAAATATTCTCAAATCCACCGGACTCGACGAGCATTCGCCCATCGGTTACGATGAGGACCAGCAAGCCGCTATCCACGAGGAACTGAAAGAGTTCCTCGGCAGCGATGACGAAAGCGAAAGTGACAGTGAGATGTCGTCCTGGACGGAGGAAACGACCATCAACAAGAAACGTAAGCGCGATGAAGGCAAGGAAGGGGAAGACGACGAAGAAAATCAAGATGAAGAAGGCGATCAGCCAGGCTCGCGCCTGTCACAACGTATCAAGCGCTCCTATGAGCGGAGCACTGGACTGAAAGAGGTAGCGACTGCGGATCCCTCTCAAGAATTACCCGTGCCTACAGAATCCAATGACGAGGACGCGCAGAAGCAACCGGAAGAGCCACCATCCCAAGACCAAATTGCCAATCTCCCAGAAGACCCAGCAGACGACGACGACGAGCTAGAGCGGGAGATGCTGGCCGCCTTTGAGGATGGCGACTTTGACGATAGAACGGAAGAGGACATAGCGGCGGAGAATGGATGATTCGTTTCCTGATGATTTTTGCTCGACTTCTCATTCTGTTGTTTATATTGAGGCGTTTGAGGTGTATGAGACGTTCCTGCAACTGGTCCGACGGCAGTTGTAGGGCGAGCACTATATTGTTGTTGATATCATTTGGTATTCCAGATTGGCTGGGCATTATTATGCTCTCTCATTTCGTTGCAATTGAGTGCGATGCAATGATGGCATAGCGATGGCGTTGGGCATCTGATTGTTGTGTCTGATATGTTTTAGTTAATCAGGGTTACCGGTGTTTGCCCGTGTCTTTTTAGTATTAAAGAAGAAAAAATGGTGAAGAATCTCAAATTTTGGATATCATATGCCACACAACGCCCGTATTTTCATACAGATTATAATAGTCATCATATCCGGTCATAAAAAACATAGAAGAAGCGAAGAGGGGAATATAACAATAATTGCAACAAAAAAGGAAAGACATCAATCATATACATCCCGATTAACCTGCCACGACAAAATCATCATCCAGAGAAAGAAAATCGTATTCACCAGCTCAAACGCAAATGCCGCTTTCCAGCAATCACCTACAGACTTTCATTAGTATCCATGAACAACTACCAAGATGACCAGAAGCAGGTGGCGAAAGAAAAGAGACAATGAAGAAAGGAAAAAGAACTTACAAATCGTCTTCTGCGTCAACCAAGCCAACGTCTGCATATTATTTCCCCCGGCTTTATTGTCAGTAACATAGATCCGACAATTATCATTGACGTTGGCCACCACGCCGTACAGCTGCAACGAGGTCTCAATCAACCCCGTCAACCAAAGGACGAAGAGGATGAAGCTGCCCAGGATGATAATACCGGGGAGAAGGAAGCGCTGAGCGGCCAGGATGAGAATGAGAATGATGAAGAAGATACCGAGGGCGCCTGAGACGACCATGAATGGGAATAGCCTTTTGATTTCCATCCCCATTGTTAGTATACCATGGCCTATTTGGTACATACAGAGACAAAATGAGAAAAGAGAGACAAAAGGCATGGGGGGAAAGGGAAATTAATTACCACGGTGTACCTAGTCGCATCTCCGATTGTACGGACATAAGCCAGGCAAAGATTCCCATGCAGATAGCTGAGGACGATAACACGATCAGGATCCAAATGTTGAGTTGGAGTTCGGGCCAGTGATAGCGCCTGCGACGGTAGATGACTGCCATTTTGCCCTAATTGAGGCTTGCGACGTATGTGATTGATTACGTAGGAGAAATTGAATGAATGGATGGATGGAGGGATGTATGTATGTATGTTTAGATTAGATCATGGACGATCTCGTTGGGGGATATAAATTCAAATCGAGGCCGTCTGCATGGATATAAATGCTGCTTCTCCACAGTATTTTTCCTTGTATAGGCTATTTTATCAGGTACAAGTTGTGGGGAGGAATGAAACTGCGGTCACTCCTTTCCACCACAATTAGGGGCCTGTCGGGCAGAAGGTAAGGCGACTCAATTGGTGGCGAAACTGCAGAAGCAAGAAAGAAGCGCAACAAAGAGACAGCGCATCGACGCCGGGTTGGCGTTGGGCTGTTGTTTCGGGGCTTCTGGGGAGGAGTGGGATAAGATTGGATTGGATTGTGAGTCAATCACCACGGTTATGTAAGCGGTGAGAGGTTCACCGTGTGATAGATTCTTTATTTAGACCGTATAATAAATATGAATTGAAAAAAAAAACAGAAAAAGAAAGGAAGAGAAGACTGATCGTATCACCAGGGGAAGTGGAGTAAAATGAGGTGGCCGGTGGAAATTGCGGTGGCAGGGCAACTAATCTGATATCTCACTTATACTTTCGAGAAGTACACATATGTCCTCGTACCCTATCCTATTACATTGCACCAACAGAAGTCATTGGAACATAAAATATAAGAAAGTCGTATCAATGTCATTGTACACATACTAATAATGCCGTTCGGTCATGTCTAAAAATAATAAGGAAAAAAAAGAAATTCCCATCCAGTAGCCATCCTCCCCGTCTATAAATCTACATTAACTCACAGGAGAGTATCACCCAATGCACTGCGCACCAACGAACACCCGGTCCGAATGGTTTCAGAGGCACCCACAGACTCAAGGCTAGGGTTGACCTCCACCAAGTCCATGGCCACCAGGTTGCCCGTCTCATGCACACACTCACAGATAAAATCACCCTCGCGGAGAGTCAGACCGCCACGCACGGGAGTGCCGGTACTGGGAGCCCACTGGGGATCCAGAGCATCCACATCAAATGAGAGGTGAATAGGAGTGTCATTTCCAATGTGGGCCAGAGCCATCTCGACCACACGGCCGATACCATACCTGTCGCGGTGGTTAGCTTAATATTCTTTTCTTTTTTTCTTTTGTCCCTTCAGACATCCCCTAAAGCGAGACAGAAAAGAAAGGAACATACCGGTCAACATCGTGCATGCTGAATGCCTTAATACCGTGCTCCCGGAGCAATTGCTTCTCGCCGCGATCAACATCGCGCAGACCAATGTAAACCAGCTTGCGAGTGCTGATGATGTGCTCATCCTGCAACCAGCCAAAGATGTCCTTGCGCTCCTCGCGGGCCAACCGGGTCAAGAAAGCCATGGGCATGCCGTGAATGTTTCCACTGGGGCTCATTTCAGGAACGTTAATATCGGCGTGCGCGTCAACCCAGATCACGGCCAGCTCCCGACCCAGGCGCTCGCGGGTAGCCTTGGCCGATCCGGAAATGGAACCGATGGCGATCGAGTGGTCACCTCCCAGAGTCAAGACCATCTGACCCTGCTTGGCCTTCTCGTAGACCTGTGTGCTTAGCGCTTGGGTCACGGCGCTCACGGCGCGGGGCTTCTTCATGCCGCGGTGGTCGGGGTCCTCGGCGGGCATGTGCTCCTCATAGTGGTGGACGGTGTTGTCATAGTCCAGCTTGTAGCCGAGGTCGTCACGGAGTTGATCGAGGAGACCCGCCTCAACCAAGGCCATGGGGGCAGCTTCAACGCCCATTTTGCACTGTGATTATGCGAGAAACGGGTTAGTCTTGATCTTGAGATCTAAGTGATCGACACAAAGTCATTTCATACCTGGCCGCCATTGAAGCCGACTGCTACCACACCCAGGTGGTCGGGCTTGGACAGGAATCGTTGAGTGATAGTGGAGGGTTGAGTCATGGTGAGAAATGTGAATGGGGGAAGCGTGGTGATTGATCTGATAGTAAGAGGGTTTCAGGAAAGAAAGAGGGATTCTAGAAGCGGACTAAAAAGATAAGATCTTGCAAAAAAAGTGGGGAATTTATAAAGTGATTTGGTCTCTTTCCGACCAAAAGGTGTGAACAACCACACACAATGAAAGAGAACCGACAAAAGGAAGTAGAAGAAGGAATCAAGTTCTTGAGGGATAGAAATAAAATCTAAGAAGAAGAAAGGGAGATTGAAGGATATTTATGTTCCTGAGGCATCGTGGGGCGGCCACCCGTAGATTCCTTGGATGATCGCTAAGACCTGCTTTTAGGGAACGCGGACTTCCCCTAAGTACAGGTGGAGGAGAGATGCCCGCGACGGCGTCATTACTCCCACTCCACCCCGAATTCTTATTAGCAATTGTATTGAGATGGGCCTTGGATCGGTTATCTTTCACTTCGAGGGAAAACAAGTGTAGGAAACAGAAACGCGGGGGTATCATTTGAATGGCTATGACGCTATCTATACATTCCCCTGAAGGATCTCCACCTACAATATAGGCTCTCAACTACTACTAAGTCACTATCCTTCTACTTAATCTAGAATAAGTTCCCGGAGAATCGCATCCGCCTTAGCCGCTTCTACTCGGCCTTTTTCGCCCATGCGCATCATCTGTCCGACAAACCACCCTAATTTCCCCAGCTGGTTCTTGGTTCGAATCTGCTCGACCATTTGCGGATTCTGGCTGATCGCCGCTTCTGCCAACGCAATATATTCCTCTCGAGAGAGGGGTCGAAGAAGCAGATTTTCATCTTCCAGTAGCTGGGGAATTGCCCGAGCGTCCCCGTCAAACACCATGGCTAGCACCTGCTTCGCCGTAGGTCCTGTGATTTGCTTTCGCTGAAGGTGGTCAATGATCTGGGCCAGAGATAGCGCAGGAACCCGTTCTGCATCCCAAGGAAGGTCCGCTTTAGTCAAGAGACCCCCAAGCTCGTGGAGAACCCAATTGCCCGCCATGCGCGCAAGACCCCCACGGCTCTTCGGATCTTGATCTTGCTGCAGATCGTGCAGAATGTCCACCACGTCCTGGTAGTACTCCAAACGAGCTCCATCCTCCAGCTCAACCAGCGGCTTGGCGTCTTCGATCGAGAGTCCGTACTCTTTACCCATTAGCAGCCCAATCAATTCGTCCGAAGACGTCGGCAATGTATTTCGCAGCTCCGACACGAGATCCGATCCGATAACTAGCGGTGGGAGATCCGGATCTGGCATATACCGATAGTCTACTTCGCCTTCCTTGCCTCGAAGCTTCCGTGTCTCCGTACTCCCGATGCTCCAGCCACGGGTCTCACCCTCCACGACACCTCCACTTTCCAGGAGAGCGATCTGGCGATTCTTTTCGGCAATAATGGCATCCTCCACAGCCTTGAAGCTGCTAAGGTTCTTGATCTCTGTGCGCTGACCGAGACCGCCGATTCCGCCGTACTGATGCACGCCCGCTGTGTCACCCCGCTGACGGATCGAAACATTGACATCGGCTCGGAGGCCTCCCAGTTCCATACCGGTGGTCACTGCGCTGCACGATTGGAGGATCGCCTGGATCTTGCGGACGCATGCTGCAGCCGTGGCGGGCGTGTGTATCTGGGGCATCGTAATGATTTCGATGAGGGGGTGGGAGACGCGGTTGAAATCAAGAAGCAGCGTCGAAGGAGGATATTCCTGGGATTTAGCGGTGTCTTGTTCCATTTGGACTTGTTTAATCCCAATGCGAACGTGGTCTCCATCTTCTGGCGCGATCCCATCGTAGCCGAACAAATCCAAGTAGCCGTTTCTCGCAAAAGGTTCTATCGGTGTCAACTCATGGCGCCCACCCTGGAGGAAAACATATAATTACCGTAGTATTGTGTGATCTGATATCCGGCCGGCTGGTCCTGATAGAAGTAGTGTTTCCGATCGAATCTGCTCACGGGCTGAATATCACAGTTCAAAGCGATCGCAGCGCGGAGGGCGGGTAGCAATGTCGGAACCTGGAATTCCTAGAGCGGTTCAGCCTCCAAACGATTGTTGACAACCTGGTCATGTAGACTAACCGGCTGGCTTCCCGGAAACGCAAGATCGAAAAGAGCAACATTCGAATTGGGGAGATCGGTGGATGATGTGGGAGCACCTAAGGCAAACGAGAGGTTAGAGGCATCACAATTGCCGGCCGGAAAAGGAGGTCGTGAACCCACGAGAAAACAACTTATTCTCGGTATTCAGCTGTGCATGAATCTCAATTCCTACAGTCAGCTCCCATTTCTGTCGAGAGGCTTCCTCACTCTCCCTCCTTTGACGTTTTTCAGCCTTCAGGGCCTTCGCATTTTGTTTGAGCTGCTTTCGCAGTGGTACGCGCTCCTGCGAGTCGGTGGTTGAGGTTTGTAGGCATCGAACCGATTGGGAGTGCGTGGGCGAGAGGAAGTTGTATGACAGTCGCGAGCTATAGGGACGAGTGAGCGAGCGGGCTGCTCGGGAGGATCGGCGCAGCCATGGGCGGAGCATGTGGGAGAGAGAGAGAGAGACAGAGAAGTGATGGGTTTTAGCGGATTGCAGAGTTGGGGAAAGTATAGATTGTTTGCCTTCAGGAGGTAGGGGTTACAGTGACTTGGAAGGCGGAGGACAATTGACTCCAGAAGGAAAATGATTTGAATATATCAGATGGCGATAAGATCTTTATCATGAAGACACCACCCAAGGAATAAATACCCTCTGAAATATCGATACATGTAAGTACAAAATTCTGTTTTCACAGGGTATAATAAACCAGTGCTATTGTCCTCTTTTCTTTTCTTCTTTTTAAGAAAATAATAATAATAATAAAAAAACTAACAACCCAAGGATCTCGCATTGAAACATAATGTCGGTAAGGACAACCCGAGCAGGGGAGCCCTAGGATAGGAAAACGAAACATGGAGAAAAGATATCCAAAAAAAAAGTGAAAATGATTTACACTGCATTTGCTTACCATTCGGAAAGTTTGGAAGAGAAGTGATCATTTCAAATCAATTTCTTGCCAGCCAAGCAACCTTTCCCACCCAATGCAGTGCAGCCAGCACATATATGGGATTGAAGAACTGCAGGTATGACGACGATATACTTCTCTTCGCCCCTCCATATCCCGGAATAAATAGGATAAGATATTCATTTCTCCCCTCTTTTGGTTTTATTCTCTCCTTTTGTTACTTCTTTTCCTCCTTGTTACAATGTTAAATACAAGGTCCCATGCGGAGAGTTTTGGACTCATCCCATGATCTTCATCCCAAACCCCACCATTTATATCCAGAAGTAAATTTATTGCCCTCCAAACTTGTCATTCGCGTGAGCCCCAACATGATACTTTGGCCCCGTCGCACCATGAAAGCCCATTTCTTGGCCCGGATTTTGGTATCCTTTTAAATTCGTTTGATGGTTGCTCACTGACTACCGCCATAGTTGAGCGGATCTACAAGCAAGGGCTTCATCCGTTGGTATGTATACATAGGCCTATTGATAAACGCCCAATACGTCGCCCATTTGACGCCACTTTTGTTCTCCTTGCCCTCTTGCCTTTCGTAAACTAGAAAGGAATTCAGGTTTACATTCTATCCTACATTCTTTGAAAAGTGACATCCGAAAGAATCCATACTGAGAGAGCGATCCTTTCCTCTCCCTTGATATGTCTTGCCTGTTGGCCCCTCCGAACTACTTCCTTGGAAGGTGCCTGTCTCCGTGACGTGGGCCATTCGATAATTACAGGGCAAGCCCTGCAATGAAAGTTCCCTTTCACATTGGACCTGAACCAATCTCTGATACTCCCGCTTTGAATCACCATGCTGCTCTATTCGGGATCTAAACGTTCCAAGGGAGCATCCAAAGACGGCGGCAACCGAGCATCTACGGCCTCCGTCGTATCCACAAAGTCCCATGCTACTTCTAAAAGCTCAAAAGTTTCTGCCGAGAGTATCAGGAAAGGGGGTTCACTAGGACAGCCCGCTGGGTCAAAGAGCAGCGGATCAAGCCCCAAAAAGACGCACAAAATGCTGGGTGCGATGGATCCCAAATCTAAAGCGATAGAACCTGAGAAGAAAGTTCCTAATGTCTTCGAATATCTTGAATCAGACTCCGACGCCGAAAATTCCTCTGTAGAGGATGATGGCGTTCCTAACCATACCCCAAGTCCATCTAACGTTTCGTTCAAGAGCCCGCATGTAAGGCTTGCACGCCAGGCAAATTTTACAGCACATGGAGCAGGCGCACCGAGCCGAACATCATCTGTCAGGCCGAAAACTTCAATAGACTCTCACCAAGCACCTGGTTTGCTGGAACTATCTACCCGAAACAACACGGCCCAGCGGAAAATGTCTATGGAAGGTTACCTGACAGAGGAGTCGAACAATTCCGATCAACAGAACTTCTACAATTACTCTCGAAATACTACATCATTCCACCGACCTCCCCTCCCCCCGTCTCCGCCTCAAAGCCCGGAGGAGGATCTCCACCGCATCAACAGGAAGTCGAGACGGAATACCAAACCCTCACCTGTTCCTTCAGGCTATGGACTACTCACTTGGAGGTTGAGTTCATCAGTGGACAAGAAAGAGCCCGGTCTTCCTCCACTTTATCGTCGATTCGAAGGCCTAAACCATCGCGTGCTCCTCTATCTCCAAGACGAGATCGCACAGATGGAAGAAGAATTGCATCTATTGGATGAATACGAAGAAATGCATCGTGTTGCAACAGCAGAACAAGAAGGGACAAAGGTTGTACCCGCTTCGAGACGCATGGATACCCAAGCACAGGTGTACTCATCCCTTTATTACCGACGGGAAGAGGTTATGACAGCGTTGGTACATAAGACGGAGCAATACAGTAAGTAATCCAAGGTATAGCAAGAAGTACAACCACAGGCTAAGCAAACAAGACAATGCTCTCAACGCATATAGCAAAGTCCTCCAGACCCTTCCCAGCGCCTCGGACAAAGACGTCGGCATCTATCGCACCTGGATGAAGGAAAACTCCCCCATTGCAATAGCCGAAACTCGTTTCCTGGACCACAACAAAGACCTCGTCTCTCTTACCTCGCGGTCCACCAATTCTACCTCTGCCTACTCAGCCATCATCATTGCTTCCGCGGCAATCCTCCTCCCATTACTAGCCTTTAGCATGATTTCGGAGTTCTCGGGGCGCCTCCTTGTCGTCGCACTGGTGGGCGGCGCTGCATCTGCCACTGCGTCTAATTCTTCAGCCGGTGCTGAACACATCGTTGCTTCTCAGGATGGATGGAGGATCGCTACTTTGTATGTCCTAACCCTAATGTTCCCTATGCCTAATTAGAACGCTAACATCTATCTATCTGTAGATATTTTGGTTTCATGACCATGGCCGCGATGTTCATTCCTTGATGTGACTGTATAATGAGTTACGAGTTTCCTTGATCCTGCTGTTCATTGCCGTCTGTTATTCTAAGTAATACCATTATCGGTGGAAGGGAGACTGGTCGAAAGGAGGCGTTTACAGTTACGAGGCTGATTAACTGCTCTTGGGTTCTCATTGACAATGTGATTCGATTCTGTATAAGCTTTACTCTCATTGCAAGAAATACAACCCTCACAGTAGAAGCCGCAGACAAACCAATACATAGGATTTCTACGCGAAAAGCGTGTACCATTAAAGTAATTGAGACACTCCCCCCACCGGATAACCAGACCAATCTTGAAATCAATTCGCGCCATTTCGCAGATAATCATCTCATAAGGAGATGGTAACAGTGTTGAAAGCAAAGTAATAAAAGGAAAGGGGCATGGGACAAAACAAGGCGCGTACACACCAATCGATAGTGGTAGTAATGTTGTTGTTATAGATGAGATCCAGAAGAGGAAGTCAAAGCTTCTCTTCCCTTTTCTCATCCTTACATCTAATAACCCATAGCTTCGAGGAAAAAACGGGGAATACCATGAAATTAGGAAAAAAGAAAAAGGACAAGGTACAAAAGGTCAATACAAATCATAACTGTGTAATACCATAACCGAGCCTTCCTTTTTCTAAAGACAAGGGCGACTGTAAGCGCGGAAAGACAACACTGAAACCTCGACTATACTTGTTCGACTCATGAAGGGACTGGATTGCTGTTCTGGTTGTTACCGGGCGTTACACTCCGATCCTGAGAGCTACCTTCGTTTGTGGGTTGTGGTGTCGAACTCTGTCGCGCCTGAGCTGCAAGTTGGGTTCGGTTTCTTTCCATCAACGCGGCTTGTTCAGCAGCACTCCGCGCATAAGTCATGGCAGCTGCTGAGTTGGAGTATGTCCCCGATGGCGGAGGAGCTTGGTTAGAAGGATAGTTGCCGTACGGGGGAGGCTGTTGCTGCGGTTGAGGCTGCGGTTGAGGCTGCGGTTGAGGCTGTGGTTGAGGCTGTGGTTGCGGTTGCGGCGGTTGCGGAATGAACCGTTGCTGCGGGTTATTAGAGCCCGGTGTCGCGTATGGCGTCCTTGGTGCTGCATATGATGCTTGCTTTTGGGGAGAAGCACTGCGCCCAGCTGCGTAAGAGGCATTGTATGCTCCTGGCTGCGCGGGTCGTGGCGTGTATGGCTGTGGCGAAGCTTGGGCGACTGGCGCTTGCTGGGTCGAGTAAGAAGCATAGCCATTTTGTCCCGGACGTTGGAACTGCTGGCTGTACTGAGGGGTGGGCTGCGAGTATCCGGGAAGATACCCGGGCCGCTGCGAAGGAGTTGTCGGCGGTCGAGCTCCTGCATATTGTTGTGGATGGCCTGGGGTATACGGCCCCGAGGTCGAGGGCTGCCTTGCGCCATAGTATGGCTGTTGAGGGAAGCCGCTTTGTGGTTGGGCCCGAGAGCTAGTACTATATGGCCGCGCATTGTATCGCGACGGCGTTGAAGTTCGATTTGTGGCACTGCTCATTGGGGCCATGGCTGCGCTCCGCTCCTGCTGCGCTGTGAAATCATCCTTCTCCATGGTACCGTGATAGTCCGGGTTCTCGATCACGATTTTCTGGCTTATATTCAACTCGTCTAGCTGGTTCCCGTTTAATTTTGCGACAGCATATGGTGGCAGACTGGAAACAAGAGCTGCCAGACTGGATCTTAGTGTCTCATATATGCCTAGTTCTTCTGTAGAAGGGGTTTCGGGGTTTCTTGAGTCTGGTCTTGTTTCCTTAGGCTCGGTACCTTGGCCGTTCGAGACTGGGGTATCGAGATTGCGGATTCTCTGATACGAACTCAGAGTTTCCAGTAGATCAGAGACGTCACGTAATAGCTCATCCACACCCTGTGACTCCGCATCTTCTTCCTGGTGTGCTTTAGAGGTTTCGGAATGAGAGATACTATCTGCGAAGTCCTCAGGCTTGAAGTTCTTTACCATCTCCTCCAAAGTACTTTCATCTAGTTCACCGATGTTGCCTGGCCGTTCTGACGGTTGCTCCTCAACCGTTTCTTGATAGGGTATTGAGAGCAGAGTTTCCAAGCGTTTTGCTCCTCGTTTGCTCCACCATACCAAATCCTTCGAGTCGGCCTGGACAATGGCTCCGGAACTGTCGAATGAAGGAGCAAACGATGAATACACACCCTGCAACACATCTGAGTCTCCATCAACCCACAAAGAAGTGTCATCGGTAAACTCCTCGTCACTAAGATGTTGAGAGGGCTGTTGTTTATCGCGGCGGTTCCAATAAGATGGGGAAGAGGTGACTCCACCATACTGGAGCCATTGACCAGAAGGTAGAACTGCAAGACAGTAATTATTCCGCTCTCCTCGGAAAGCTTTGAAGTCTGTGATGACCTCAAATGGGTCGATCCAGCCGTTAAGAGCATTCCGAGAGGAAGACCTTGCTTTGCGTGGTGTTTCTAGCTGAGGCAAGGTCGAACGAGGCGCAAACACTTCCCCAAAAGTCCGTTTAGCCTCCATTGACTTATCCTCGAGATTGTACGGCTCGATTTTCGTCGTCGTAATACCGTTTGGTAAGCCGACTTCACGTAGTGGCGCTTGTACTTCCACATACTTCTCTGCCTTTGGGTCGTCAGAAGGCAATGGAACCCTAACAGACTTCTGTAGACTCGAATATAGCTGCTTTGGATTAGATGGGTTGCCAAACAGCGTCAAGACAAGATTTTCATTCCGGGCCTCTACATTAGAGGTGTTGGTTTTCGCCGGTGTTTCTGCATCCTCTTCGGATGCTTCTGCTTTGATGTTCGATGGGCTTACGTATGCCTGACGAACTAGGCTGTTCAAGAGCTTCTTGAATGCCGCTATACGATTAACTGTTTCGGTCACAGGCGATCCGTCCGCCTGGAGCCCGCTTGCTTGGGCTTTATTCCTCTCAATCACCGCAGCCGATGCCTTCTCGATATCACTTAGAAATTCTGACAGAGTGTTATAGCGATTCGAAGCGACTCGGGATTGGATAGTGGTAGGTTCATCTTTCTCCCCCGAAACTTTCGCGCGCTTTGAACGGGGCTTCGCTGGGGAGGACGGCAACGGGCAAGATAGGAGTTGAAGATCCGTATCATTTCTTTTGTGGGTTAGCATCTAAATTTGGACGCGAAAGACTATACGGAGAGAAGTGGGTGAACATACTTGCTCAATATTTCGACAAGGTTACGTAGAGTTTCTTGTAGCTTGATCTTTTCCTGGGCTTGCGACGCAGACGAACCGGTGTCTTGAGTGACCTTGTCATCGTGACTTGATACACGCTTTCGCTTGGCGGGTGTCGCCAACGAGGGCGGATCGGGAGTGGTAGCATGGAGGTCGCCATTTGTGGCCGGAATGGAAGCTGTACCTCCGCCTTCGTCTGCGCTCATGGCTCCGGAGTCGCGCCGTTATGGCAGTATTCCTTTGACGCGAGAACGAAGGGTCTTTTCTAATGTTCAGCGGATCGCACCCGAAACTGCAAGCGCGCGGACTTAGTCTCAACTTTCTCAGTATGAATTGGATTGGTATACTCGAGAAAAATAGGGAATTTGACCCCGAAAACCTAGGCCGATGGTTGAGAGTTGGTAGATTCCCAAAGCGGATGCGCGAAGTAGTTACGAGACCAAGTAGAGGAGGGTGCGCAATTTTCAGGATAAAATCACGTATATCCGACACGACAGGGGTGAATTGCAGTGAGCGTGACTCTTCCCCACGCCTAAAATAAATCCAGCCGGGGGTAAAAGAATAAGATCCAGGAGAAATAAATGTCGGCTCCCGTAACAATAGCAAGGCGGGAAGGCAGGCAAAGAGGGAGATGTTCATGCGCGCCATGCCAAAAGCGCAACTCGTGACGATTGATCACGTGATATATACTTTTTTCCATATGGGCGCGGCCGACTGGCTGCTGCTCCGGATAGACCTTTATCTTGCTCTGGAGCGAAGATTCACCTTGGCCTCCCGTTCCCCGGTGTCAGAGTTCGTCGAAGCTACTCCATGATCATCTCTATGGATGTCATCGGTCTTCAATCATGTTCCGAGCCGCTCGAGGGTTTCCTCTCTGAGAGCGGCGCACTTGCTCAGTAGCCGTGTATGGCCGAAGGTACCGATTAAACAGTCCTAATAGAAATCGAATTAGTACTGTTCTAATACTTGTCTCCTTTCATTTACTCTAGGAATTATATTTTCATAATACGTCGTATCCAGGATGCTCAATAGCATTCTCCAGATTGTCCGTGAATGTCTTTCCCGGCCCTCGAACGTTGTCTCAGTCTCTGAGCTCCGTTGGGACCTTGATCTCTCCTCGAAATGAATCCACGCGTGGCCAGATCCATTGGGTCGAACATGATGACCAATATACACCTTGTGAATTCTGGTGTGGGATGCGGCTTCAATCTCAATTAAACCAGTCTTATACCCCCCCTGGACCAGATCATGAGCGACAACGGAAAGAGCAAAGCTCCAAATTACAAATCTCCGAGCAAATACCCTCGGAGTCAATACCCCCCGAACAGATCCCATCCAAATCTATCTTTGTCGAACACGCGACCTCCAGATCAGTGCCATTGCCTTTGGCGAGGAACACATCATTGAGCCGAGATGCGCACGGCACACGGCAGCGTGAGAAACCATCCAATGAACTGCATAATCCCCGAAGAAAATATAAGAATCTCGCCGGTTCTTCCCACCCAACCCCCACAGAGTACTTGATCGATACCCTTCAGAGTGTTGTTCACTGTCCTGATAGCGCAACACGTCAAAATTGGGTGTTTACCTCAAGAAATTTTGATGACCGCCTCGTGTCTCCTCTAAACAGGAGACAAAGAATAAGGTTCAAAGTTGAGCACAGGGCCTCCCTACAAGAGATTGCTGCAGAATACATATATCATGTGGATCGTTTGTTAGATCGGTCGAATACAGAGAGAGATAGGGGAAACCCTCATGGAGCGTTAGAGTTGGATGTTGCTCTGCGAAAGGTTTTTCTTAACAAGAAATACCGAAAGTACCTTAGAGCCCGACAATATTCTGTCAAAGATGTGGTTGCATGGGCATGGGTGCTCAAGAGCAAAACCCCCTACGAGGCCATCATCCGGATTTTCATATTAGAACTACAGTCAAACCTAACGAAAACAGAAAGCAGCGTTGCTCGAATTGTCCCCACTTTCATACCACTTCTTCTATTACGGCAGAGCCTTGATGCGAAAACCTTCCGCTTACTCCTCATCTATTCACTGCACCTTATTAGCGGTCAACCACACCCGAAACTAAACCCTTCCATGTGTGCGACGAGAGACGATACGTTTTTCAACGAGATTAAACTATCCGATAACGCAAAGCCCTTGATAGATCCCAATACTTGTGCTACATTCGTCGTTCGTTTGCTTCATCATGCTCGCCAGCTATGGCCACAAGCTCAGCTTCCTATTGTGCGTACCTTCGCATTCTACCTTACTCTTCTGGAACCAGAGGGGTCTGGTACTATGGCGTCAGCGACACCACGGAATGTTCAGGTGTTGGCTGGGAAGTGCAACACATTTCTTCGATTACTCTCACTACCCTGCAGACAGGGCCCCTTCACATCAGCTTCAGTACAGCAGCAAGCACAATTTGAGCTCCTCAAGGCGATGGCTAAAAACCGACCCGTTTTGCCTGTCACGCGTCGGGGGTATCAAGGCATCATCGCGGTACAGCTAGCCCATAAGAAAACACCAGCTGAGCGGCAATCTGCGGAATTAAAGGCTCCATCGTGGCCGCCTTGGAAGGAGGAAAAGCTTGGCATTGACACTCAGAGAGGAATCGAAGGATTGAAGAGCCGCGCCATGAGAGTGATGTCTCAAATGAAAGAAGCAGGCTATGCTCATAGTCGCTGGGAAGAGGTGTCCAGTATCCTTGCCGGTTGGGATACGGACAAGAGCCCAACCATTCAGACGAGGACTTTGGCGCGCCAACCATGGATGCTGCGTGGGCGGATCGGAAATGCGGACCATCACATGGTTTGGGAAGCTCGCATCAGGGCCACGAGGACTGTGCGAGAAGCCTGGGCCTGTTTTCTTTCATACCGCGATCAAGGCCTACCCCCACGCGGGAGCATCTACACTGCAATGGCCGAGAAGTTGATATATCGAAGAAGCGCTCTCCAAACCAATTTTGATCAAACAAGCCATGCTCTGCCGGGTGATGCTCTCGAAACCTTCCCAGAACCCATGTCTGCGCGCGATTTGATATATGTGCACACAGAGCCACCCACGTTAGATGAGCTTCTTAAACAAATGCTCTCCGAGGGGATCCGACCACAGGCTAGATTTCTCTCCTTGCTTCTACGATCCGCGCCGACCTTTAGCTCTGGGCTGGAGTATCTAAGCTGTAGTGGTTTGTCCAATGAACAAGTCAGAGCCTTGTGCACAGTTTGGAGACATAAGTGCGTTTACAATGAACAAAGCCGGGATGTTGTGAATGAATTACCCGATCATCTTTTCTCTGCCTTCATTAACTTCTTGTGTAAGTTTTCCACCTTCGATAAACTGTTAGCTAGGCATGACGCTCGCCTGAGTGATGCTTTTCCTATCATAATGGGCAGTACATCAGTGGCCAAGGAAAAAACATCAACTCTTTTCTCCTATGCTGAATACCTTGGAAATGGAAATGAGTACCGGCATCCGAAGGCGTTAGCACACGCCATTGAGCTGCTCAGAGTACGGAGCTCCCGATCCCCCCAAGCATGGGTATGTGTATTGTCAGCTCTGAACAAGGACCGCATCGTTGGTCTGTCTCATAAGATGAATCGAAACACGCAACGTGTTCTGGCTTGGCATGAAATGTTGGAAATGGCAGGACGGATGGAACATTACGATATCCCACTTGGTCTGCAGGGCTTCCTGACCCTGTGCAGCGGGTTTTCAAGAGCGGTAAGTGCAGGGGTCAAGAACCCGGATGCGGTAGAAGCGGCCCTAGAGCTCGTTGGTGATGCAGCACGTCGGGAGGAGGTGGCATATACTGCGCAGGTCTGCCCTCGGTTTGAAGATATGGTCTATAGTGGCCTTCGTGCCCTTAAAGACCAATTTGACCGACTTGTTCTCCCAGATTCTAGAACTCCGTCCTTGTTTGGGTGTGGCAGATCCTCCGAGAATGTCAGCGACACCCAAGTGATTCTGCCACCCTTACTTCATGTGCCTTCTCCTGCCGTCCTTCACGCATTCGTTCGATCATTGGGATTGGCCGAAGACTACGATGGCCTCCTAAGCCTTCTGCGATGGATGTCTCAGTATGCTGCAACCCTGAAGGAAATGTCTGATGAGTACCTGAACGGTGATATGATGATGCGACGCACCATGGTGGCAATGCGCTTGTTTCTTGAGGGATATCGGGAACGGCAATCCTGGGGATCACTCCGCCGGACAACCTCAGCTGTACAAGCGCGTGGGTTAAGGGAACCTGAATATACAAGTGAGATTTCTCCTGATGATTCTGAGAGGTTGTCGTTCTCCGATCCGAATCTGCAAGAGGCATATGACATAGTCACGGCAACGCGCATTTGGGGCCCCTGGCCCAGCGACGAGGAAGTTCGGGAATATTATGCTGTTCATTGGGAGGAGTATGAAGCGCAATGACGGAGCATCCAACCTTTTTTGTACATTAGCTGTATATATACATACTATAGATTGTGTGGCGTTTGCATGTCATCAAATGATACCCTTCAGTCCGTGGGAATTTGTACTGTGATTGGTAACGGTTATCCGCGGTAAGAATTGGGGACTTTTCGGTCGATGGTTTCCCCGCAGTCGCAGAACAGCTTCCCCACACTTCAAGCTTCCTCCATTCACCCTTCTCGTTACTTACCATTAATTCTTCTGGAGTTCAAAAAGAGAAAGAAAAAAGTTATAGGTTACGAGTTTTGTAGGAAACATGCCGCCACGCCTGCCACTCGCATCTACGCTGCGACAGCGTCCTGTCTTGTCCGTTCGCGTCACAGTCACAAGATTCAGCACCAGTACCGATGATGCCGTGATCAAGACCCAGCAGGTCCCCGCTCCTGGCTCCGGGAATATTCGAGTCCTACTTCTGAACAGACCCAAAGCCCGGAATGCAATTTCGAAGAGTCTTTTGGACAATCTGGCTCAGCACGTTAAATCGATATCTGCCGAAGGAGGCGCCGGCCCTACGAGAGCCTTGGTCATTGCGAGCAATGCGGACGCGGCATTTTGTGCGGGCGCAGACTTGAAAGAACGAGTAAACATGACTAAGGAAGAGTGGGTTCTACACTTGCATCATTAGTTTCTCTCTCGACCCTTGTGGCTAATACTCTTGGGCAATTGTCCTCAATAGGACCAATGAGTTCCTAACGAAGCTACGGAGCACATTCCGTGATCTTGCCGGGCTACCCATACCCACAATTTCCGCGGTCTCTTCCACGGCGCTGGGAGGCGGGCTAGAACTTGCCTTATGTACTCACCTCCGTGTCTTTGGCTCATCAAGTATTGTTGGGCTGCCGGAGACCCGACTGGCTATCATCCCTGGGGCGGGAGGTACATACCGCCTACCGGGTGTCATCGGGGTGAACCGTGCCCGAGACCTCATTCTCACAGGACGACGCGTGTCGGGTCCCGAATCATACTTCATCGGGCTCTGCGATCGCCTGGTCGAAATCCTCCCGGAAGAGGAGCAAAAGGAAGGCGTTGCACGCGATAAGGTGCTGCGGGAGAGCATTAAACTTGCCCTCGATATCTGTGAAGGTGGACCTATCGCCATCAAACAGGCGCTCCAGGCTGTGAATGGATTTCAGAAAGGTGAGGCGGCAGAGAATGAGGCTTATGCGGGCGTGATTGAGACAGAAGATCGCTATGAGGCTTTGCGGGCCTTTGCAGAAAAGAGGAAGCCTGCTTTCCGGGGACGGTGAGCGTGTCAAGTGTATATGTACGAAAGCAAAAGCGAAATAATCCTCGTTACTGTAGCCCGAGTAATTTTATCCTGTTGCGCAATACCATTTATACTCACTATACTCGTGTAGATGGTAATTCACCATCACATACTCTATCATTGGCAATACCGCCGTAGTTTGTGGTTATGAGAACATGAACTGCATATGAAGGAAAGTCGCCTCGAATCTTTGTACTTTAAGTTTGATTGGATGTCACTCTATGCTGTAGTACTGAGTATGACTGCTTCGTAATTTAGTAAAACATACCTACCTAGTTCTTGTCATGGACGCTGACACTTGACCAACGATCCATACAGTTGGGTCCTGACCTTATCTACGTCCAGGCATCCATAGTGAAGCCTCAAGGAACGAGTGGCGAAGCATATTATCATCCATGGAAAGTCGAGTCTCAAGCAAGCCTTTTGAGAGAATCTGACTCTGGATAGTTCAAGTAGAACCATCCCTGCACAATAAATAGATGCCAGGAAGATTGCCCCGCCCTGCATGAGTCAACCGACCTTATTAGGCAAATACTCCGATCTAGACATAATTTGAGTCATACTATCCCCTGACTTCTGCTCGGATGAATACATTCAAAACCCTTATCATGTGCGTGGATACAGTAACTGAGGTATGGCGGAAGAGTAAACTCTGCGTTTCTCAACTGGACCTGTATACCAAGATATAAAACATAAGATTGCCACCTCATTGCATCAACGCTGCAAAAGAGTCATGGTACACATGGACTAAGGGTAAACGTTCTCTGAACCTTAGGGTATGTCAAAAACAAATGGCGAAGAACCCTGGCACGCCAACGGGCCGCGTTGCTCCACAACCTTGTTTGTATATTATTTAATTGATGATTTATTTATCAGGCAACAAAGAAAAAAAACCCAACCTATAGGGGCTTCTACACGACATTTGAGGGATAGTAGTACGACGATGCTTCTTTTTCTTTTTCTTTTCTTTTTTTGGGGTGGTTTCTTCTTATATTTTATTTTTCGCCTCACGAATGGGACACAGCCCTTTTGACAAGGCATCTCCTTTGCCCCATGTCCTTACAGGTTGTTCTATAGGTAAGACTTTTGCTTCAAGTAGTAACTACCAACAGGTTGTTAAAGGGGAGAGGGATCTAAGAGAAAAGAAAAGAAAAGAAGAAGAAGAAGAAGAAGAAGTCCAAGTAAAAGAAACTAACAACCATTAAACGGGGGAGGGGAGAAAAGAAGGAAGATAAGAGAAGATGAGGCTCCGGAGAATTACTTGCATTACGATGTATCGGAAATCACAGCCACCGGGGCAAATAAAAGGGAGGCTGTTCTGAGTCAAAAGATGCAAGGCTGACTGATCGGAGATTCATGGTTCCATGATATTGGTGGGAGTACTCCATAATATCATGTCTCTTTGATAACTTTCCTAGTACGAGAGATCTCTTTTTTTTTTTTTTTTTTTTTTTTTTGGCCCTCTACTGGCTAGTTAATCCAATCAGACTACTAGTACTTGGGTCCTTCCTTACTTTCGGTAGGCTTGATTCCTGCAGAGAAAGATCAGGTACAAGTGGTACAAGAGGAATGCCGATAGGACTCTTCTTCCCCGCGATCTGCATCTGCACAGCTTACTTCTCTGGAGCTAAGGAATCTAGTGTGATAGATCCTCCTCATTTGCGTAATCATCCTTAAAAATGAAAAAGAAGTAATGGGGGGATTTACTCGGTCCTATTGATCATCTTGCAGTCAAGAAGATGACTTCTCTCCTCATGACCTCGTTTGGTTGGTCATACCCATGGGAAGAGAGCGATGTGCACGGGGACGTTTCCTCATAAGTCTAAAACACTACTAGAGGTCAGGGCCAGCTCTGCCACACCCGCAGGCACCAGGAACTGTATTACTAGTATTAAATTTACTAGTAATACTACTAGTAGTAGTACTGACTTCTTGTCATCTGCTCTACCCCACCCCCAATCACAAGAGGTTTTTCCTTTCTCTCGTATAAATACTGGGCGGAAACCTCCCACGGACCTGTACTTTCCCTTCTCTGTGGCTACTACTCTAGTACTACTATTTCTTTCCGTCCTTTGTTTGGGACTCACCTTCCTTTTATTCAATTCAGTCTTAAATTCTCAACACACCATTTCACCACCCGGCCCTTGGCTATCTTCACCTTCAGGGAGCTGTTAATTCTCCTGACCCTTCACATTGATTGAACTCTCACCAGTCAGCCCGAATACACCTACAAAACCGGTGACCAATTCGCCATCTGGCCTGGAAACCCACATTCAGAGGCTGAGCGTCTGTCTGGACACCCTCTCGGGGGTGTGGTTGCTAACTTTTCATGCCGGACCTTGCCTCCCGAGTCAAGCAGATTGGCTTGACTCAGGTCTACTGCTCCAAGGAGAAGCCTTTGGTTGATATTGTTTTTGTACATGGACTTAACGGGCATCCTTATAATACCTGGGCCACCCAGTCACCCGACGTCTTCTGGCCAGCCGACCTTCTGCCTGAAGTATTGGAGCCTAGCCGAGTGCGGATCTTAACATATGGATATAACGCGAACGTGACAGCTTTCACCGACGGAGCGTCGAGGGATCGCATTCACCATCATGCAGAGACACTTGCCTCGGGCCTTGCGGCGAATCGAAATGTGAGTGATTATTTATTACCTCAGCATGTTTTACAACTCTGACGGCTAACCTCTTCTTCTATATAGCTTCGAGGTTGCTCGGAGCGGCCGATCATCTTCGTCTGCCACTCACTAGGAGGCTTGGTGCTCAAACGTACTTTGATCTACTGCAAAAACGTCTCGGATGAGAAGATCCAACACCTTCGGTCGATCTATGTCTCCACGTACGGGATTCTCTTTCTCGGAACGCCTCATAACGGGTCGGATATGGCAAAATGGGGGCTGTTGCTGCAAAATATCTGCAGCGCTGTTCTGCCAAAGAAATACATGGAATCATCCTCACAGCTTGTCAAAGCCTTGAGAACGAACAACGAGACGCTCCAGAATATCAACAGTCTTTTTGCGAATATGACGACGAGATTTCATATCTACTTCTTCCATGAGACCCTTTCAACCGATGTCAAGGGGACTCGTGAGTTAATCGTGGACGAGAGCTCTGCCGCACCGTATATAGACGGCGTAGAGCGCATGGGCATTGAAGCAGATCATCGACATATGTGTAAATTCCAGGACGATAATGCGCCGGGATATGAGGCAGTCGCAGAAGCGCTTCTACGATACTCCCGTGATGCTCCAGCTACTATCCTGGACCGATGGGCTGAGGAGGATCAAACTCGAAGAGCGGCAACACAATCCAAACTCAAGGATCTTCTTAGGGGTGGTAAGCATATCTAATTTCTTGCCCAAATATTGAATTGTGATGGAGCCGCTTGTCTACAGTTGTTACTGAGCTAACAAGAACCACAGGGCCAGACAATATGTCGCACTTAGAAAGGAGTGAGCCGGATCTGCGCAGAATTGGTAGGACACACCTTCTCCCTGAACATACTCCGTCTTCCGTTACTATGAAGGATTATGAGATAGAGGAGCCTCCGGAGTTCTTATATGCTAGTAAGCATATTTAAGATCCCGTCATCATGTTTAGGATGCGTACTCGAACTGGATGGCCAGTATGATGGGCAGCGAAAAAAGAAAAAAAAATTACCTGTGTCGGTGTACATTGAATTTATGCTATCTCTTACGTGTTTTGGTTTCTTAGAGATGCAATGTTATGTTTGACGAGCTCCTGTATTATATAGTTCTGTTATACAAGGCAAGCCAACGAAATGTCAGTCAGATCATGCTGACTTCTCTGGTTCTTAGGTAGTACCGTTCCTCCTCTGATCAGTTTACCCCCGAACACCGGAAGGCAGTCCCCTGCATCAGACATGGCTACCAGCGTAACTCTTCCACTCTCCCGCTCTTTGCAAAGAGAGCTATTCGTGGTACCACCAGGATTCCACCCAAATGCAACCTTTTTTGGAATGCAGAAAGAGCTTGAAATTCTGCATTCTAGACTATACAAGGCAAAGAAGCGACCGGAGCGCCTGATGGCTGTTCTTATCTGCGGAGTTCCTGGTTCAGGAAAGTCACACCTCGCACGCCAATATGTCTGGACCCAACGTAAAAGCTACCCTGGTGGCATCTTCTGGGTTGATGCAAAGTCGCGCGAATCTACAGCCAAGTGTTTCTGGGATATTGCACAAGCTGCTATGTTGACCGAAGGCCAAGATTTTCAGCAACCACACTCCAAGTACGGCCAGCAGCATGTAGAGGCAGTCCGAAACTGGCTACAGGAGCGAGAAGAATGGCTTTTAATATTTGATGGGGTCTCGTTCGATCACGAGGATGACCTCAATCATTTCAGACAGTTCCTCCCATTCAACAAGAATTGCAGTATCATCTACACATCGGTGGACAAGACACTGCGGAAGAAGCAGCGTTTATATGAGCCATACTGCCTTCAGATCAGCCCTCTCCTGATTGAAGATGCATGTAAGCTTCTTTTCAACGACCTCGGTATCCGGAAACCAACCCGGAGCCAAATTCGCAAAGCTACTGAACTGGTGACTCACTACGAATGTCTCCCTTTGGCCATCCACGCAATTAGTCACCGTCTTAGCGCTACCTCCAAATCTATTGATAGATACCATGTCAACTCTCATTTGACAGACGAAAAACTCGCAGAGCCCTTCCTGAGCATTATGCATGATCTATTTCGGATGGAACACTTCGAAGCCTTGAATTTGATCAACCTCTTGTCATTCTTTGGCCATCATGTCCCCGTTGGGTTGATTAACCTGGGAAAGGCTGCATTGGAGACATGGAATGTTGAAATACTGACCGGGAGTAGACCTGGTGAGCAGAGGGATATTGACACTACTCTGGGAGTTCTTATCCGGTACGGGCTCATCGAGAGAACCAACGATGCATATGCGCTATCAGCGATGGCGCTATCTCCACGATCTGAAAAGGATGCGATTCTAGACATGAAGGCAGTTGCCCCCGACTTATCTGAGTCGCAAACAGAAAGCAGCCAAGATGCATTCTTCTCCGTCTATCAGAATTCTGGCTCTATTGACCTGATTAAAATCCATAGCGTTGTTCAAGGCTTCTGTCGAGATGAGCTAAAAATTATGGATGAGGAACGGAAAAAGTCCTTTGCTGCTAATGCGACCAACTCAGATGCTGGCTACTATGAGTCCTGGCTTGTGGTTGCTACCCGCGTCTTTTGCCTGTCTTATGAGAATGCAAAAAGACGGATGGACCGCGTCGATGATTATGGTCTGGTCAAAGACTATCGGGAATACGAAACACACGCGTCCAGGCTGTTTGGTAATTTCCCCAAGAAAACCTCGAAGGAGCCAAAGATAGTCCGTGAAGCTCGAGATGACCTCGGACAAGTGATGAGGAGTATCGGTACTGAGATAGAGAGGATCTCACCAAGTTCTTCGCAGGAAATCGTTCGCAAACAGCGATCGGTTTTTGACCGTTCAAGTAGCTCTTCGTCCTCTGTACCAGACTCTGCAATAGATGAAGGACCCTCACGGCACCTGACTTGGGAATTTAGTGATATGGTGGAGCCAAAGGTTGAGTCGCCGCAAGAGATGCCGCCGTCACCACCCCATTTCAACTTGAAACCATTCCTTCCCCACATCTTCCGATGGTCCAACATTGATGACGAGAACGGATACGAGACTGACGGTGAAGGGTTACACGCTGTCCATCGAACCTCCCCAGTGCTATCGAATCTCAGTCAGGCAACAGAGAGACCAAAGTCCTCCCAATCCTCCAGTCCTGGACATAACACAGACGACCAGGAATGGCATGTAGTAGAGAAGTCTCCCAGGCTTAAAGCAAGCAGGGAGAGGCGTTCGAAACAGAGGCTAAAATTATCACGTAACGCTTGGGGTGGTAAACCTGCTGCTCCTCTCCTCAGGGTATTTCCGGTCGAGGGTAGAAGCGCATCGAGTAGTATTCTGGAAAAAGGAAGTCGGAGCAGCTCGATTGTGTCTGCATCCGAAGCACTGATTGCTGTCCATAATGCAAGCCCGCCATTTTCTCTCGACAAGATCGGAAAGGCAGCGAACGACAGGCTTGTATTGGGTAAGGAAAACGTACCAACGTATGCTACAGTGGCTGCCCGGCACGCACAGGCCTCTTCAAAACAGCGGTCATCATCGACACCTGGTGGACGAACACGTCCCAAACTTTTGAGATTGAAAAGTAAATCGTCCGGTGATTCACTGCAAAGCCGATCGAGCAATGCACAGGCACTACCGTTACCCCCTGAGTTTAATGCAGACACAATGAGCCGATCAACTTACAGTGAACCAGACCAAGGATATCTTAATCACCAATTGAATGCCTTGGACCTGAGGACAACACATGATTCACAGTACCGTTCTCGCCACCTGCCTACCGTACGGCCGATAGCACCCATGAACATGTCTGCAAGCACTCCTTCAGTTCTGACCTACGTCCCTCCCCTGCCGTATGAAAGTAATATCGAGGTTACTTATTCTCGTCGGGTGAGCGCGGCCACCCAAGCCGTGCCTATGAGTCAGCCAGTCTCTAGCTTTAGCCCAATAATGCATCCGTCTGCTATCATGCCCGGTGCATCTCCACCATCTGCAATCGCAGAGGCTCCTACTGGGTATGCATCCGATCCAGCACCCGAGCCAATGTCGCGAGGCGGGTCAGCACAATCCCATCAATCTTGGGCTACAGAGCCCGTCCGCTACCCACCCAGGCTCTCTCAGATGCCGTCAAATGCGCAGACCGCAATGCCAACTGGAATGTCTCATATCCTGCCACAGCAACAAACTCTGTCCCACGCGGGAGGCTGGATACGAGATGCTCATGCACAAGTAACTGCGAGCACGATCCAAGCAGACACCACCGGTGCTCCGCCAACGCAAGCAAACTTGAGACCGTTCGCACCGTTGGATGACCGTCTTGCTGTAGGTACCGGTTGGGACTATGAGCCATCACAAACCTTGCACTTTGGCGCTCATAGAGTAGATGTACGCGACACTCGCCAAAGGCTTGGGTACGGGGTCTATGGGGCTCAAGCGGTGCCGCAGGTTCTACCATATAATCTCTACCACGCGAATCGATCAGGCCCCCTGGTTCCTCAAGAGATCGGCCTACATCCACAAGAGCTGCACGGGATGCGTGCTCGAAGTGGTAGTTCCCCTACTCGCCCCGGACCCGACGGGCTAGGGGTGAACTGGTGACTTTGCAGAATAAAAGCTGCATACACAACACACGCTCTGGAAGCGAGTACTTCAAAAAGAGGCGGGTTAGGAAAGAAGGAAATGAAAAATAAAAGAAAAGAGAGAGAAAAGAGAGTGAAAAAGAGAGACAGAGAGTTGAGAAGACAAATACCCTCTTGATAATGGATAGATTGATTTTAGGCGTCTGGAGAGAAGATTGGAATCTTCATCATTCACAGTTGCATTGAGGATGATAACATGAGATGGCGTCTACGGATAACGAGTAACGGTCATGATTGTAGATAAAACTAATTGCGCCTTTCTTTCTTTTTTTTCTTTTTCTTTTTTTTTTTTTTTTAGGAGCCTGGGTTATCACGTCACGGCATATATACTCGCCATCAATATAGACTTAATTGATAAAACAATACACATCTTGTGGAATTGCCAGATCTTCTTTTCGAATGGTTTAAGAGGGCAATTTGCGCATTGATATAATTACATATCTAATAGGATATCAACATAGAGATTTCCAGTAGATGGCATTTATGTAGCCCCATCTCTCGTGCACGGCAGGTCACTAAAAAATATTCATTTTGTACAATTCAGCTTCCTAGAGGCTTCCCAGATCTAGAGGTCAAACGGCGGTTACCAGCTCAACCGAAGATCGTATTCCAATAATCCTCGACCTTCTCACATATTCCCGTCTGCCCCTTCCAACTAAGACACTTCCCCTCAAGCGCACAAGCAGTCCAACGAATCTCCAACCACAACTTGCGCTGAAAATCCGGACCAAGCGACTCGATCACCTCCTCCGGAGCCGTCCAAGCAAGCGTATAACTGCCATCCTCCTTCACCACGGGCCCATTATCCGAGAACACCGTAGCCGGATTGAACTTGGGGAAATTAATATGGACGAAAAACGGACTGGGCGCCGCAGCGGTGGAGCCCTTGATCCGCCATTCCCCCTTCGTGGTCAAGGCATAGTCCTGTATCGGGCTATACTGGACCATGGTCGACCCTGCGAATCCATCGTTCGTATGACGGCCCAGGGCACGAATCGGCTCACTGACTTGATAAAATGGCTCGTCGAAAACAGTCGCAGCTGCGATGAAGGTCTCCTTGTCTCCTTCACCCGCCGCGCCCTGGGAGAGTAGCGGATAGTAATGAGAGGGCCCCCAGTAATTGTAATAGGCGCAGAGAAGGAGGGTCCGCAGATGCGTGCGCTTGGAGAGGTACACCTCCCCCGACTCGGTGGACTGTCGAATATTCGGTGCGGGTCTCTCCTGTGACGCGATGATATAGTAGAGGGGGGACGCCGTGGAGCCCCAGAAATCAGGCCAGGTGACCAGCCCCCGTGACGTGAAGGGCTCACTTGTGAACACCAACTCCGGCTTCTTCAGCGGGAACGCATCCGCGTCGAGGAAGAGGATCTCCTCGAACGAGGAGAACAACATAGCGAAGGGTTTGTACTGGTACTTCTCGATCTTACTTTTGCTGCTCGGGACCCTGTCCAGAATCTCGGACAGCACGACGCATTTTGCATTCAGGGACGGTAGAACCATCTGGCAGATGTATCCGTCGTACTCTTCCCAATCGGCGAGGAACACTTCCATCGGCAGCTCCGAGCCCGTTTGGCGCAGCATCCGCAGGGAGATTACTAGTACGGGTAAATACGAGCCGCCCGCGGTCGAGACTATTCCGCGCGTGCCTGGCTCATATGCAAGAGTTGGGGGCGTCGTTGTGATGAACTGGACAAATCTGCTGTGTGCGTGCTTCATTTTCACGACATCTTCGTCGGGGATTGAGGTGAGGTTGGGTGGTTGTTCGGTGTTTTTGGGGTCGAATCCGACCGACTCTGCTTTGGCGAGCCGTTCTGGGGGATTGCAGTTCGGGCCCCATTGGGTTAAAAGGGGTTCGAATTGTTGCCAGAACTCTCCTTGTGCTGTTGAGCTGACAGGATTGCGTCTTGGTTGCGACCGATAGTGGGAAAGAAACCAGATGAAGATGGCTACTAGTCCCAGGGCGATCAGCACGGGTCGCCGTCGTCCGTATGGGCGCGAAGGAGCCATGCTTGGGGTGAAAGAGGTTATGTTCTTTAGCGACTCATGATTTCTTCAGTGGATTGCACCCCGAATTAAATTCTGGGTCTCGTGAGACATTGGCGGCGTTAAAGAGCTGGTAATAGATAAAGCTGACCCTGTCTCCACCGAGTAAAGAAGTCGGCGTCCAGGGCCAGACTCCATTCGTTTACATGGCGCGAGCATGTTTTAAAAAGGCGCTTAAAGAAGGGTCCTTATCCAACCATAGGTTCGGTTCGTATAACAAAGACCATTTAGTGGCACGTGCTAGTTACTATCTTCCTAAATTAAACTTAAAAGTCAAGTTTGCCAACGGAGAGAGGTACGCACTTTTCTATCCCCTATGTCTCTCTTTCTGAGGGTATCTAATCATTGTAAAGTGAGGTAGTACTTACCTATTGGATACCACGTTATGATTGGGATTTGCTTCTCGAATTACCCCGTCGGTAATGACATTGGGCACCACCGGGAGCTAACTCTTTAGTGCCGATGTCAACAGCCCTAGTTCAAGGTAGTGACATACTACCATTAGAGGTCTTCCCTCCGTATTCTATTAATCAGATGCATCGTCTCCAAATAGCCATGTCCGTGCAATATACGGGACACAGGGGTTGGGTGAGTAATAAATAATCTGGTTATGGAAACATCCTTGCAGAATTTCAGTGTAACCTTGATCGTTCACGGGCGTGTTATTTCGGATGCTAGAGACAGTTGGTCGTGTGTTATGAATGGCATAACTTCTCTGAGAGTCTCCATGGCCGGTGCTGTTACCTATATCGCGCATACCGCGGTCTACTCCTAGCCTCTGCTTAGCCTCGCTAGCCTGGTACGCCCTACTGGATCAAGCACACATCATGTCCACCTATGGCTACAAGGACTGCGTGGCCGGAAAATTTATGGGTTCGCAGACACTGAAAGCAATGAGTTTCATCCCGGCGACACTTCATCCTTAAATGGGGCGCCATCGATCATGGAGACCTCTCTCACTAGACATCTCCTGGGCACGTCCCGGAAGGCCTCTAATTGATCAAATTGCTAGTAAACACCCTTTCAATCGCTCGTGAAAGCCGGCGAAGATGGTACTGATATTCCGTTCGTCTAGTTCATGCTAAATTCAGAGAGGTTGGAGCCCTATACCAACTAACCGTTAACAAAAAGGCGAACTGTTCGCTAGAGAAATATAACTAGGCGATACCCCCAGGCTTCAATACGACAGATTCCACCAAATACTAGATTGGGTTATTCGATAGCACAGCGAAACTGGGTGATGCTGGGGCTCCGTTGTTTGGATGGATAAATTGGAGTCCGTATTTCCACGTCCGGCCAAAGCCAAGCACTAGCACTACGACTACAACATCGCCGGCCACAACTAGCGTTTCGACTTCTGCTTCTTCCATAGCCTCTACTGCCTCTCCGTCCTCCGATGACAGTCATTCTACAAGCTCGAGAGAGGTTGCTATTGGCGTTGGCGGGCTCATTCTGCTTCTTTCACTCGCTTTCTATTTCGTTCATCGCAGAAAGAAGATCAACCAGGTAATGGAATGCGACGCAAGCTAGAGTATCTGCTCCCAATTCCCCCTACCGAGCTATCTAACGAGACAAAACCTCGGGGTCTAGCCGAGCTACCAGGGTAAAGCGTACTACATTGTTAAAAGTAATATTGATAGAGGGTATATAACGAAGAGATGGCTTTTATACCACAGAAAGAGTAGGATGTATAAGGTAAGTATCTCCCTGCCATCTTCCTTGCTACTTTACATCACACCTCCCTAACACTTCGCTTGCCTAGTACTGAACGAGGGTTTCTCTTTGCACTATTTAATTGCTTATACGAGAAAAAGCCCTATAAGAGTTTCACTGCTCCCTGTACCTACTGTATCCGATCACTTACTGACTCGTTATTCTAAAGTGGATCTCAAGTTTATAGTCCCTGACTCGCTCAAATCTACAACCCATACTCTTTAAAAATGAACATATGTGCATATGCAGCCCACCTACACTTCCCAGAGATCCCACTCTACGAACATATCTAGGCATCACAATTAAAACAAATCCCCTTTACCCAAGCGCATCCCAAAGATCCGAATCCTCCCCAAACAGCTCCTCCTCCCACGCCTTATCCGACGATATTCGATACTCCACCACCCCCAACCCACTCACCACAATCCAATCCAAGAATTCCGGATCCGCATTCACAAAAATCGAGAAGGCCCATGCCTTCTTCTTCTTAGACCCAACCCGCTGCTGCTCGGGCAACTTCCACTTGTCAAAGCGGGCCAGCACAGTTTTGTTCGAGTCGATCAGCTTGAACCGCTTCTCAAGGAAGTCGCTTTCCTTCCACTCCAGGGTGCCATAGCGGGGGTGGGAGAAGCGGTGGCCGGAGGCGAGGAAGTCTGGGCGCTTCATTTTGAGTTCCGGGGTGTTGTGGATTGAGAGGGTGATTTTTGAGGACATGGAGGAGATGGTGACGGTTCCGGTTGTAGTTTTGGACGGTGCGGGTGGGATGCCGGAGTACTGCTGGGGTGGAGGAGGTGGTGGGTAGCCGTAAGGTTGTTGCTGTTGGGGGGGATAGCCGTAGGGTGGTTGTCCATAGTTTTGGTAGGGTTGTTGATGGTAGTATGGTGCTGGTGCAGGCGATGGGGCATATCCGTACTGGGGTGGTTGCTGGTATCCGGGCTGGAGGCGGAAGATAGTGAGGTTTGGGGAGGAGGAGGTTAAGGCCTCGTAGATGGGGGTTGCGGTGCCGTTTGTATGTTGGAGGGAGATGGTGAAGGGGTTTTGGGATTTGTGGCGTTGGTAGGATAGGATTTGGACTGGTTGGGCCATTTTTATCTCCGATAGTAGAGGGTAATGAGATAGAGTTATGGTTGAAGTGACTTGTCTACGATGTCTGGTCGGATACTTATAGTAGTGGGGAGATATATAGACTTGACTGGGCCGTTATAGTAGTTGTACTATATCGCAGTGGCTGAGGCTCGGGGCTTGGGCGGATGTGATTGGACGCCTTTTGGGGCGATGAGTGTGAAATACGAGGACCATCAGAGGCGCAGTCATCGTGTTACTCAATTGATTGCAACAGAGGGCTTCTCCAGGCCTTCTTGTAACATTCCATGGTAGGACTAAGCTCGGAAGGATTTCCTTCCTCGCCTTAGCGGTCGTTCATGAATCAACTTGGAGTATCATATAGCGTGCATGATACCTCAATGGTCTTCTGTGGTTGCAGAATCAACCAAAAAGAGACGGTTTAAAGACTCAATTAGAGATTTTATTATTACCTTGATGATCAGGTTGTATTCGTCTAGTGTAGTAATTACTTCTTTCTGCCTTTGGGCCGGTTGGTTTGCACTACACTTTCCGGGACGAATTTCCTCAGGCACCAACCCAAGTATATATTTCCTTCCGGACTAGGCAGAAACAATACTCTACAGAAACTCACATGATCAATGTTTAGTAATCGGGTACAGTAACTAGTCAACTAAAAGGTGAAGAATATTGGGACTGTAAGAAAAGTTGGAAGCTCTAGATTCCAACCTTGGAACACTTTACTTGTTTGGCCCACCAATCATAAAGACCCAGTACCACTAAACTGCATCGGGCAAGTTACTGACCGTTTATCGACGTCAGCAGATGATGACGTCGCCAATGACGCTCAACAATAAGTTTATTGAAAAGAATCTATAAATGAGGCGAGTATGACTTTTAAACACTCTCCAATATATCATTGAATTCTTTCTGTATAGCAAAACCTTGCCATATACCACATTAAACACCAATATCAATCCATTGTACCATACCAACATGTCCTTCCTCACGCGTGTCACTCCCCGTCTGGGCTCCTTGAACTCCATTGTCCGCTCCACAGCTACCCCTTCACTTGTTGTGGGAGGCGTACGGTCGATCACTGCCACGGCAGGAAAGCAAAAGGGTCCCGTGGAAGCAACCAAGGATACTCTGAAGAAAACGGATGAGATTCTCTCCGGTGCAGCTGTGAAGGGAATTGAGAAGGGCGGTAAGTACCACCACGGACTCTCTATCCGGCCACCCTCGACCTTAATTTTAATGTATAATCTTCCCATATAGAGCAAGTGGCAGACGCGATCAAAGGCACTGCCAACAAGAGTTCCGGTGAACTCAAGGGGGAGGCATCCGAGCTGGCTGGCCAGGGCAAGAGTAAGGCCGAAGAAGCATTGGGTTCTGCCAAGGGTAAGACCGAGGAGACCCTTGGTGAAGCTAAGGGCAAGACCCAAGAAACCCTAGGCGAAGCCAAGGGCAAGATCAAAGACAAGGCGGGCAACTTGTAAAGGTTCCAAAGAATGACCGGTATGATTAGAATGATGGTTGCACACATGTATTTGTCGTCTCGCAAAATATATCTATAATGTACAATATCAGTATTTTGATTTCGTTTCCATGCTGTAAAACTCGAATCTGTATGGAGGAGCTTTCAAAAGACAGTGGACGATGGCGTCTTGATGTTGGAGTTCAGTCCGTTCGAGCGAGCATGAGAACATATTCTCGAGTACTCAATCCAAATTTGAGCACATCCTTGTCTCTCAGTTCAACATATCGTCCTCCAGGAACGGGATCCCCGTTCACCGCCGAGCCATTGGCGCTTTCAAGGTCAATGAGATAGGGCTTGACACGTCCGATCCGGTCTCCAAACTCATTTCTCTTATCGACGTATCGAAATTGGAGGGCGGCATGTTGTTTGGAACAACTCGGGTGCTCCAGAGGGAAATCGACAACTAGTTGCTCTCTCCCTATAAGCCAACAGCTGCGCTCATTTAATTCTACCACCTCAAGAAGATCTTCGCCCTTGAACACGTAGAGACGCCAGGGATCTTTGGCTGGAGGTTTACGCGCTTCAGGAGGTTCATGGTACTTGAGAACCACCTTTCCTCCTCCACTGACGTCCACAGTATTGCTCTCCGCTGCTAAGCGCCCGGTGTTGGCAAAATTGGGTTTCTCTTTTTCCGGCGGAAGGGCAGACGAGTCCTGCTGGGATACTTCTGTTGTGTATGCATCCTTCTGGGAAGGCAGGGCATTCCTAGAGCGAACGGGGTCGCGCGACGATGGGCTCCGCGAGCGCCTCGAGGCTGAGCGGGACCGGGACTTAGTTCGATGGTTTTTAGACGACCTTTCTTTATTGTCGTGTGCATCCCGGTCGCGATGGCGTCGATGGCGACGTTCTTCCGGTGAACGATGTTGGCGTCTTCTCCGATCATCGTCTGAATCGTCCGCTCGTTCCCTGCGCTCCCGGCGGCGATAGTCATTATCCCTCCTGTGGCTACCCCGGCCTGAAGGACTGCGGGAGGACCATCTTCGGGAATCCTCTCGTCGAGAGCTTCGACGATCGTCGCGGCGTCGCGAACTGCTCTGATTGCGCTCGCCGTATCCTCGTCGTCTCTCACTTTTCGCATCTTGGGGACTTAATGGCGATCGATGTCGCGACCGATCGCGGCAATCGTCTCGTGATTCAGGCATGGTCAGAAGTGCTGAGGGAAATTGGTCCAGCTGACCGGGTGGAAATCATTGAACAATTTAGTGATTTTCATTTCTACCCGAACGGCTATTAGATGAAGCTCCGGACACGTGACGGTCGGTATCGCCGGTAGATCCGGAGTTAAAAGCGAACTACTACTAATTAAGTCTTTTAATGCCTTCTCTTCCCGTGTCAGATCATATCCTATCCATCCTTTTCCCACTCCATGGTTTTTTAATCTTCTGGGGGGAGTATACCACGTCTCTCCTCCATTGAAACCATGCGGCTATGTTTAAGAAACCTCAAGTCCTCTACTGTGGCGGGTTACAGTTACTGAATCTGTCATCGTTATGCCCCTCATCGCCACTTTCTTATCCGTGCCTCTGGCAGTCCTCTCCGCTCCGGAGCTATGCCACTGCTCATAGTTCCCGCGACGATGACCTGTCCTGGCCATCGAGTACTTCTTTTACTCCTTACGATGTGTTCAAGCAAGACCGAAATGCTCCGTACTCAAAGAACCGATTTTATGAATTGGTCAAGGTCTACCACCCGGATCGACCGTGCAACGACCATCCATTATGCCGAGATATCTCACCCGAAGTGAGGATTCAGAGGTATCATATTGTAGTAGCAGCCCATGAGCTTCTCTCCGACCCATCCCGGCGGGCAGCTTATGACCTGTCCGGCGCTGGATGGAACCTCAACCCGCAAGACTCACACCCCCCCTGGGCTAGGCCAGGCTCTAGTGACTGGAGCCCAATTTATGCCAATGCGACTTGGGAAGACTGGGAGCGCTGGCAGAACCGTTATAACGGAAAGCAGCAAACTATGGTTGACCATCGTACCTTTGCAAAAATGATTATCCTTTTGACTCTGTTAGGGGGTGCACTTGAAGCATCCTGGATTAATCAGCTGAGTATTGGACATGAAGATCGACTCCAGCAACTTAACGAGGAGACCATGCGGCTCTTGTCAGGTCGTCGGGAGAATACTGTGAAGCAAATGGTATCTTCCGAAGCCAAAGTTCAACACTTCCTAATGCGGAGAGATCCCACTGGGGTCGGGTTAAAAGACGGAGAACAGCAGGTCTATCAGAAGGTTCTCTATTCTCAACAGTCCGACTCTGAACAACAAACCGGGCCGGTCAAGTCTCAGGAAAAGACAACCTCGGAGGTCAAGGGAGGTTGATCAGACTGCTTAAACTGTTTTATACCGTGGCTATTCGCAATGATATTCTAGTATGTATGCCGGGGACAAGAATCTACACGTAATTCTTGTTATACTTGAGATGGTCTATAGTTGAATATATTAGTCTTGAAGAGTTTGGATAAGTGATCCGATTAAGGTTGCCTTTCGGTTGGACCCATACCTAACAATAAGAATTAAATGCCGGAAGAGTACCGAGGTTCGTTCCTGAAGATTAGAAACAATTCTGTCCTTCCAAACCCCTCATTCCATTTATTTGCTTTTTTCCTATCGTCTTTCTTAACTCCTCTTTCTATGCGTACAGATAATTGTCTCTCGAATTTTCAGTCATTTATTATTGTTGCAGGCTTCCACTTGCGTCTAATTATTGGTGCTTGGGGACAGGCACAATATCTGAGTCGCCACCATGAGTACTCTCGGGAGTCCCATCGCTCTTCTCAAGGCGATGGTTGTGAGAATCCCTCTCGTTATCAAAACTTTGTTTCTCCATGGGATTCGCTTGTCGCCCGTCACGGGAAAGCAAGACCTGCGGACAGAGTTAACGGTCGCCATCATCCGCTCGTTCATCTCTTTCGCCACTCCGATCGGCAAGCAACAGAAGGGTAGCATGCGTGATCCCGGCATCAAGGGTCACATGTGGATCTCAAAGGTGACATTACCTCAACCGGAGGATGACGTGCAAGTAGCGGTATTCAAAGCTTTTGAGGACTTGAAACTAGGCGGCGAGACCTGCGATATCCCGGGCGTTGTTCCCGTCGAGGCCGAATGGACCGGTTATCGTAATGGTGTGAATAAGAATGAACCGCAGCCTGAGATTTCGGAGGAAGAAAAGTATAAGGAGCTGCGAAAAGAGGCGCAAGCGGATACAGTCATTCTGTATCTCCACGGAGGAGCTTATTTGTATGTGGTCCTATGTTCTCATTTCCATACTTGTTTGCCGATAAGTTAATTATTAACAGCCTAATGGACCCTTGTACACATCGTGATCCAGTCGCCCAGCTTTCCAAGAAAACTGGTGCCCCCGTTTTGTCGGTGCGATACCGTCTTGCGCCGCAGCACCCTTTCCCCTCCGCCCTAGTCGATGCTTTGGTCGCGTACTTGACTCTCATCGCTCCGCCGCCAGGTTCTTTTCATGCACCCGTTCCTGCAAGCAAAATCATCCTTTCGGGTGACTCTGCGGGAGGGAATCTATGCCTTGTACTTCTACAGACAATTTTGACGCTGCGCCGCGTCTCCCCAACTGTCCGCTTCCATGGGCAAGAGACCTTGGTCGAACTCCCCGCCGGATTAGCCATGAGCTCACCATGGTGCGATATCACGCGGTCTATGCCCTCCGTCGTTGATAATGCGCTATACGACTATCTTGCGCCACCGTCCCAGGTCCCTGAAACGCTCTTCCAGCCCCCCAGAGTTCCTGCCGACAGCGTCTGGCCCCGCAACCCGCCGCGAGTCGATCTTTATGCCAACGCCGACGCCATCATCCATCCTCTAGTATCCCCGCTAGCTGCTCGCAAAGAACTCTGGAAAGACTCCCCACCGATTTACATGAACATGGGAGAAGAGGGTCTTGCAGACGAAGGCCTCATACTTGCTCGCAAAATGCACCAAGTTGGGGTTCCTGTTGTCGTGGAACAGTTCGAGGGCATGCCGCACTGTTTCGGTCTCATCATGATTAAGACGCCGGCTGGAAAGCGCTTCTTTGACGGGATGTCTAAATTCTGCAATGATGTGGTTGCCGGTCGTGTTGGGTCACCTGGCAATTTGACCTACATCGGGTATAAATTACGGTCGACTCGTGAGATCCCGTTGGATAAGGCCGTTTCCTTGACGGACGAGGAGGTCGATGAGCGGTTACGCAAGACCGCGCAATGGCGGATTGAGGGGGAGAAGGAGCTACAGAAACAGTATTCGGAGAAAGCGAAGTTGTAAATTGTTCGCTTCTCATTACTTATATATATGGTCGTTGAGTCTCATTCTCGATCTTGACTCTTTGGTTTGCACATACCCCCCCCCCCGGCGGAGTTGTTTGCTCGTTTTGGCGTCCGAGTGTTTTCTTTTACTTTCTTTGCTTATATTTTCTCTTTTTATTCTCTATTTGATAAAGTCCATATGTGATCCACTTATATAGTATGGATGTACATACCACGTGGGTGACGCTGTGTCGAATGTCGTATCTCGTTATCTCGATAAGATTAGATTAAATGAGCCACTACATACTTTCTCCATAACATACTATGGCCATTCCAATAGACAGGCATGTAACAGAAGGAAAGAATTTATATTGAAGAAATACATATAAATACTGAACAAAGACTCGTTACATCCACTTTCAAATAAAATGCTTCACCAGATTGACTCCCATCTTCAACCCCACTCACTGCACTCAGCTCTAGACGACTTGGAATCTACCCTCTCTGAGAGATGATTAGCTAGCATAGCTGAGCACCTGCCACATTACACGGGTCTATAAATTACTCAATAAAACTGATCCATCAAAACAAAGCTATGCAACTTACCCTCAACATAGTTATATGTGAGCTCTCCATCATCGACATTGTTGTTTCCCTGGGGGTAGTAGTATGGCACACTACCGCACTGCTTGCATCTACACGTTCAAAGATTATTAATCACTTATCTTCAGATCCCAAAAGAGCACCGAATGTCTTGGAAACATACCCATGCTCCGGGATATAATGAGCCAGACTCTTGATCACACCACCATTCGTTCCCCCAGTCTTTTGCAGGAAGGCACAGTAGCCACCACCATTACCGAGCTGGTTGCCGACACAGGCGATGTGTTCTCCATTCATATACCTATTTACGACAACGAGTCAGGGATGCTTTGAGGCAATTGATAGACGGTTTGGGACTTGCCATCTGTTAGTATCGATCTTTTGGATGACATTGGTGAGTTGCTGGGCAGCATCAGTGGGACCCCAGAGGGCACTGCACTTTGCGGAACCGCGGCAGTTGATGCCAAGTTTGGCATTCGCAGTGAGAGCAGTGGCGAAGATTAAGAAAGCTGTAGCCAACATGATGAACGATGTAGCTGGGGAAGTGATTGAAGGTAGGTGTTTAGGGAGATTGTTTCCAGGAATTGATGGTTGTTGGAGACTTGAATCAGCTGGTGCTATAGCCGGATTTATAAAATCCATATGTCTGCCTCCATATTGCATTCTCGTCAAATGACGAGGGATATAGTGGATGTCTTTTCATACTGCCTTTGATGGATCTCCTGGATTAGGAAAATGGTTATTTGAAACTCATGTTTAGAAATGGGGTCCCAAACACTGCATGCACGCGATGTCACCCATCTGTGTAACACTGCGAGCCTTTGAATAAGTCGGTTTCAGCTGGCGAGGCTGGAATACGAAGATCAGGCAATTGGAGGCGTCAATAGTTAGTGTAAGTGGCGGGGGCGGATCGCTTAGGGCTTTACCGCAATAAGCTCAATTAAGCATCTGCGCTCCCCGTGATCCCCAGATCGACTAACCCGAACCAGAATCTGCTCCAGGTCGTGGCCAATCGCTAGCCGGCGCTAAGCATAAATCAGGAAAAGGCCGTGATCTTCCTGGGGTAGTTTATAGGCTACTTTGTACTAGACTAGAAAGTACTAAGTCGAGGGATAATGTGGTATTACAGTTACTAAGTATGTCAGGTAAGCATTACGAGATTTATCCTTTGAGGCACTTTTCTTGGCAGCCGGAATTTGAATATTATGGCTCCCTTCACCACATTCCTAATCAGGTAATCCACGGGAGCTGTGCCTTGTGGAATGAACGAGAATCTTGTATTGCACAATGCCTGTATACATGATATGCTAGAATAAACATGCATGTGTATACTATAAATTAACAGCCCTTCAGAAGTATAAAACGCACCCCTCCACCCTAGAACAATAACCCCGGGACATCAAGTATAGTCCTTCTCAAAACCCATTCTATCCCCAAGGAAACCCATCAACCCACCATGTACACCCCATCCATCATCCAAGGGCTCCTCCTCGCCATCACCCTCGTCTCCTCCTCCGAAGCCAAGCTCGGCATCAACTGCCGCGGCTCCGCAAACTGCAACACCTTCGGCAACACCCAGATCGCCTTCCAGCTCAAACACGCCATTGACGGCATCGACACCAACCGCTGGTACAACAACGGTGAGCACATCGCCTGTGTCGGGACCGGTGCCCCGATCACCGGCAAGGGCGGTTTCTGCGCCTTCTTGCAGAAAACCGGCGGGACGAATGGTGGTGTAATCAAGAGTCTGGCTCATTATATCCCGGAGCATGGGTATGTTACTTTCCAGATGATGGGTGTGATATCTCGTTAAGGAGGGTTACTAATGCACTGGTGTAGATGCAAGGTTTGCGGTAGTGTACCGTACTACTATCCTCAGGGGAATAATAATGTGGATGATGGGGAGCTGACCTTTAATTATGTGGATAATTCTTGTTCGCAGGATGATGCGAAGCTTTGTTGATTTGACTGGTGAGACTGTGACTGAGGGTCTCGATGATTTATTTCTATGTTAGTGCAAATAACGATAAAGACAATGTTGATTGTGGAATGCAAGGGTGATGGTTGGGTTCTATTCGCTTTTGATTTCTTTTTTTCTTTCATTCTTTTAAACGTGAATGTAGTGTTTTGATGATGGCCTTATAGCCTTGGACTGGCACTTGACGTTGCCAGTAGTGAGTGGTTAATTACTAGTTATTCATAATAACATACAGTCTGGAACATGGTTCAACTCTAGGCGCATCTGCCCCAAAGATAAGAAGGACGTCCTTGACACTAGAATAAAAGAGACACAGAAGGTTATTCAACTCGTCGGAGAGCCAAAAAACACCCGTATTTCATTGCTAGATAAGTTCATCATCATCCATGGAGTCATCTTCCCAGTTAACCTTCCCTCCCAGGCGTGCACCCTGTCCTAGATCTAATTCAGGCACGGCGACCGGAGAGGGTTTCTGGGTCTGTGTCTGCTGTTGCTTCTCAGGTGCACCGAAACCCGACGTTGCAAATGCAGGGAAACCTTCCACACGGGTCCCACGTATCCGAACTTCACCGGAAAAGTTGAGCGCTCGAGGAGGTGCATCGTCTACATAGCCATCCGATATCCCAAGTAGCTGCGTAGTGAGCCTGAAGAAGGCCACAGTCATGGCCCAGAGCGGAGTCCAAAGGGCGGATAGGTGCAACCATCGCCAGAGCATTGTAGGAATGACGAACGGAAAGCGTGGTGCATCGGGTAGCAGGCAATTCCCTCCACAGGCTTCAGCAATGAAGGGATGGCAGTAGTAATCACACATGGTCAACTCTGAGAAGTACCACAGGAGTAAGAGTGCACTGCACCATCCCAGCAGAGTGGGACGGATACGGGGCGAGCCAGTTTCACGTCTCCATAAACGTGGGAGGTAGATAGCATAGGTAGAACCGTTATGGTGGGCTTGACAGGTTTCGCAGTTGTCACAGGAATGGCCTGAGGATGATTGTCCTTTCGTAGAAGCTGGAATCGAAGCCAGAGTCGCGGCATCCCGTAAGACTTGATCTTCTAATCCATGAAGTCCTTTCTTCACCTTCTTAATATTCTCGGTTAGAGACTTGAGTTTTTCGTTCAGTCTGTCAAGATCGACGCTCTCAGCGCTTCTTGGGCTTTCGAGTTCGAGTTTCTGCAATATGGATCTCTCATACTCAGCATCATCCTCTGATTCAGTCTTCGGGTCACTTGGCTTCTCGTCAAGGATCTGTTGGAGAGATTCGAGCGTGTCATCGCCAACATCCAAAGAATTCTTGTCGGCCTTGAAATCCTGCATGACCGTCTCCAACGCACTCTTTGGTAGATCGGGTTTGATCAGCGGCGGCCTTTTTTTCTCTTTCGATTCATCTGCTTGCTTTTCCGCCTCCTCCTTTCTCTTATCTTCCGCTTGGCTTGTTTTCTTTGGCCTCACATTACCCGCGCTTTCCCTTTCCTGTTCTCTCTCCTTTGACTCACTTTCCCTCTCATTCTCCCAGGTTATTTGGGCTTCTTTCTCTCCCTTGTTAAGCATTTCATCCTTATTATCTTGCTGCAACTCAGAGCTGCTGGGCTCTTCAATGATGGTTGGAACTCCTAGCCCGGGAGGCACATCAATGCTATTGTTTTCGGAACTTGGGGGGTTGAAATTGTTCAGGCGAGGCTTCGGAAGCTCTTTCATCCGCTCAGTCATCGGCGTATCAATCCATGCGCCTGTTACAACCGGCGTTTTGTCGTAGATCCGCCTCTCAGGGATTTTGGGGTTTTCCGGCGTGCTGAACTCGGCCTGGCTTTGCGGCGGGCTTTCTGTCCTTGAAAGCTTGCGAAGAAGATCATGAGAGTCTCTTTTCGTAGGACTTCGTTTGTTAAATATAGAATTCTTGTATACCATAATCGGCGTGTTCGGAATTTGACTTCCCTCCCCTAGATTCTCATCTTTCTGATCTGAGAAAGGCTTAATGCGCGCGTCTGTCGGAGGAATCCTATTATACCTATTGGACGGAGGCTCCCCTAGCGCATTTCGGTTCCCTTCATTAACTCGATCTTGCAAGCCGGTATGCGAGCGTATGTCGGGTTTGGAAGGACGCGGAGAAGCTTCTTTGCGCCCTTCATCAGTCCGCCCGGACTCGGATTCGGTGCGTCGGGTGATATTCCTAAGCCAATCTCGACGATGAGTGCCCCGGCTACCCCAGTTCAAGGGCACGTTCAACGCAGGCCTCAGATTATCTTCTTTTTCTTCTTCTTCTTTTTCCTCCTCAAAAACAGCCTGATCCTCCTCATCGCGCCTCTGTAAGTTCTCCGATGTCAACGCCGCTGTTATTCCGGCTTTGCCCAACACAGGCGAACGAGTCGCGGTAGCCCGTTTTAAACGTTGCTCGTCCTTGATGTGGTCGGCCAGTGTTCGACGGAGGGACTCATCTGCAACCTCATTCAGAAAGTCCGCATCCGCGGTGCTAAACAGGCTATCCCCCCGGGTCCTAGATCCAGATGACGAGCGAGAACTTCGATTGTCACGGAACCGGTTCGTGGAGAACCCGAAGTCCTCCTCATCCTGATCGACTAGATTGCCTGCGTCATCAATCTGCCTATATGTTTCCGCCAGCTCGTTAGGAGGGTTAGAGTCGGGAGATAAGTGGTTGAAGCTCTGTTTGCGTCGGTTGGGCGTGTCTAATGTATACGGTTCCGTCGAAACGTTTTCCGACATGGTTGGGTACCCCGATACGGCCTCGAAGGCCCCTCGCAGGGTACCTGATAGGCTGAGGTTCCTCTGACGTCGAGCGCGATACTCACCTGTAGAGATAGGTGCTTGCGACGCGTCGAAACGGTCGGGGGAGTGCGATTCAAGGTATGCTCGATGGAAAGGAGAGCGTTGCTGTTGGTCGTAGTTGCGACGCGATAGCCCTGTTCGCACGCTTCTACGGTCGGGGTTAGACATGGTGATGTGTGGGAGGCCCCTCGGGAAATATCGTTAATCCACCCATTCACTAATCCATGCCAAAGGGGAGAGGAATGCTGTTTCGTCAAGGGCTTGCAGTGAATGCAGAGCGACGCGCGGGTATCTTTGGAGTCCCCAATCGGGTTTAGCAGGGCGGAGGGAAAGTATAAGAAAGTCAACCTTAACCATGATTCTACTGTAAGTACTTATACAGGAACAGATCTCTTGTGTTAATATAGTCAGCCTTTTTTTCCATTAATTACTAACTAAAACACCAGTATCTCCAGGTCACGTTCAGACACTTGACCATGGTGTCCAAATTCTTATCATTCAACCTCCCCTCCGAATAGAATACTGCTTAGCGCTGAATAAGAGCTCCGGCCTTGGAGTTTATCCCATGAGCGTCCGTGGAGAAGCTGGCAAAACGCCCGGTTTCCCCTCCTGATCCCACTCTTGTTTCTAATCCAGTACCTCCTACACGATCCTTTCCCCTGCAGTCTTTCGGCCCAGGGGCAGCAGCTGACTTCTAACCACGACCAATACAAGAGGTAGACGAGGAAGCCAAAACAAACCCTATAACCTACTCTGGTAGAGAAACTGTTTATCCTGGTATGTCTGGATGCCTTAATCTTTCGCTTCAACCAACCGGGCAGCTTCTCGAGGAAGTAGAGGCATGAGAGGCGATTAGCTGGCGAGACGACGAGAAAGTTAATTGTGACCAAACCTGGGGGTTCTATGTCTTTATTACTTCATACTCCGAAACATGCCTTGCCAAAATCCCAGAAAGCGATAGAGAACTAGACCCGTGCCGTGGAAGGTACTCTTAAGTACGCGTGTCGTGCGGCGTATGCCGACGAGGCTTTAGAGAGATCTAAATTTGATGTGATTCTGGATGAGTCGATACTAGCCAAATGCATCTGAAGATCAGGTGAGGGAGGAATTCCGCTCGCCCATCCGAGGTCTAGATCTCCATGATCCACCAGAAGAGCCCCTTGGTCTTGTAGGCCACAGTTGACTTTATGGTGCCGCCTGCTCGCAATGCGGCTTGTTTTATTCTGGATGAGGCTGATATCTCCATGTCGGCTGAACTTGAATTCTCAGAGAATCCAACACAGGACTTTGGGATATGTGAAAAGAAGAAGTTTCGATTGGTTGTGGCGCCGGCCTCAATTCAGCGACAGGCAATATCGAGGTGTTCGACATTTATCCCGTCAACTCCCTAAGTCGCATCTAGCAAAGTATCACCTTTGATACGAACGTCTTAGAGGATGGTTTGAATGCTTGATGAGTTAACGTGCATATATCTGGAGGAGCAGCGAGGTAGGAACCTCTAAATATCTTTTCCTGGATAAGCTATAATACATAGCAAGCTGCGTTATCCAGCCAAAGAGGCCTACTCTACAACTACGTAGTAAAAGCTGAAATACAAACTTATTGGCTCCTTAAGGAACTATATATAACGTCCATAGAATCGGTCTAGATGATCAAGAGCTGACTAATAATGATACGAGATGCTATTGGCTAAAAAGGGTGCCTAAACGCCGCGGCGTCGACAGGCTGCCGTTTTTAGCCACCAATTTATTTTACCGTCAACCAGCTTTGGGTTTGTATTGAACATCCTAACATTAAGTGTGGTGATAAGGGACTCGACAGATAAAAAGACCAATTCGACCGGTTGCTAGTTATAGTCCGCCGTACTATGCGAATAGTTCCTGTCCAGACAAGTCGCTCGTTCCCCTCATTGATCTTCGAATATCCAGGCCAGCTGGGTTCAAACTCCAAACAGATGCCTTTCGGTTTCTAGAGACCATCCTCTAGCACAGTCACTTTATAAGTCTTCACTTACATGTGTTAAAACTAACGACAAGATACTCCTACCCCATCAGACGAGATGGCCAAGTCTGCAAGACGAGCCGGAAAGGCAAAGGCTTCAGTTACCCCCTCCGTCTCGTCATCAGGCGCCTCAACTCCAAGCTCACAATCGGGCCCTCTTCCTCCCTTCACCAAAGCGCTCGCCTCCCTCCAACCCTTCCTCGAACTACTCTCCCCGGAAGAAGTGTACCTCGTCCACATCGACACCTCTCCGCAAGACCTCAAGAAACAGACCTTCGTCGCTCCCGCCGTACTCAATGCCGCCATCGCAGCTCTCCTGGTCTTCCGTGTCTACATGGTTCGCAACATCTATCCGGCACTGTTGGCGACACTGATCGGGTTCACCAGTACCATGACGGTGGACACATCCGCCATATCGTGGGGGGAAATGGCGAGCACGATTCTGCGTCGAACGGGCACGATCCTGATCGACTATGTCCTAGCCACAGTGTTTCTTTCGTGGCCCATCGGCTTCGTCAAGGGTCCCGTGAAATGGCGCTCCAAGGTCGGCTTCCGTGGTCACGAAATTATTGTCCGTCGCAGCCAGCCCACCCTGAGCCAGGGACTCGAGCGCAACTGTTGGATTCGGGACAACGAGGCAATGAGGGACAAGATTGTCGCTGCTGTGACTCCGGACCGCATAAAGAAGACGGGATACCTGCTCGTGGATGCGGACTGGAATCTTGACTACGACGCGATGATTAAGGCACATGAGCTGGTGGACAGGTCGAAGAAAGACGACGGAGTGCCACTGGAGGAGTTCCGGACAGCTGTGATCGTGAACACCGATGCCGATGGCTGGTTGATCTGGCATGTTGAAGATGAGGACACGCCTGAAGGAAGAGAGCGGTCGAGCCAGCGAGACCAGATTCTAGCGTTCAAGGAGAAATTGACAGCCATGGGTAAAGAACATCTTTTCTTCCGATGGGTTGAATTAATCCAGTATGAAAGCACACAACCCGGAGGTTTTACCCCAGAGAGGCAGCAGTCTGCTATGGTGCAGGCAAAGAAACTTTTTGAAGATGAGAACGTTGATTTTGCACGCTTCTGGCAGGAAGTTGGTGGGCTGGAGGGGTTTGCTGATCAGCTTGATTGATATCTATATGCTGTTCTCCCTCTCTTTGTTTTGATTTCATTTATGGTTAATTTGCATCAACACTGTTGATTGGCGTTACATTTCCGTGAGGATCATTTAAAATTGGCGTCAAACCTTTAGGATCTTATGAACATATTCGGCGTCTATTCTTATAGTGCTATTGGTTTTTTCTTTAGTCACAAATCAGTACCGTTGCAGATTCAACGGGTGAGGATACCATAATTCTAAGCTAAAGACATCCAAAACGAAATATATGGGCAAATATATTCCAGGTCGACGGGTATCATTCATGCAATTTCATGACGTATAAATCTGAAGCTCTAGCACAGCTTCCTGAAAGTTACTCATACTGTTGTTCGCTTGAATTATCGACTTCCGCCCTCCAAGCGATAGTCCACAGACCAGAGCTTCTCCCACGGTCGATATCGAGTAGCTTGCCGCCGGCTCGGTGTTGATTGTGACGAGGATACAGCGCCAAGATTGTCAAACCGCGAAGACAAAGGAGATCTTGCACCATCTGCCTGTCGCTGCTGCCCAAATCCAAGAGCGCTGCGTGTTCGTGCCAAGCCCTATGACGGATCGTCAGCTCCTTTCAGCAATTCAGCGCAGAAAAGGAAAACGGTCCGTGTGTTTCACGGGCCCTGGAGCTGGTCGCGGCGAACCTCTCCTGAAGTAAGGGCTGCCTCCCGTGGCTGCGAGCCTGCAGTTGCAGTTGTAGATTCTATTTCAGCTTGTCGAATAAGGTCAGTTGTAGAATCATTGCCCCGTTGTGACGGCGTGGCCAGGCCTCTTTTAGAATTAGAGCTGTTACGTCGACTATCCAGGCTCTTGCTTAACGTTCTGGCAACATTGCCTCCGGCCGTCGTGCGCTTCAATCGAATGCTGCCCCGCGCATCTACGTGTGCTGGTGCAACGGTGCTCTTGCCTAAGCCTGGCGTTGCTGGTGCACCTGGTTTTTCCTCGCTGGCATCCAAGAGGTACCAGCGAAGGCCGTCAGACAGCTCGAATGGATTCTCATCGTCGAAAGAGGTGCCATCGCTAGCCTCTCCAATTGATCGACGGTCAGGATTAGCAGCATTCATTGATCTAGAAAGATCCACAACCCGTTCCTCGATCTTCGTGATACGTGCAAGCAGCCAATCTCGGGTATTGAGCTTATGGGCATCTTGCTCGCGCAAGAAGTAGTGTGGTGCTCCGACGTTGAAGGCAGCCCATGATCGGATGGCTTGGTTTCGCGTCGGTAGAAACAACGCAAGATCCCCTTCCTTGAAGGAACGGTAGGCAATCTTGTCATGGGCTTCACTTTGAGTCCGATGATATTTATCCCGGTATCCTCTCGCTTCCTTCTGCCATTTGCGAGCAAGCACCTCAATGTCTTTAACACGCTTGACAATCGCGTCTCCGAAGATATCCACATCGAACTGATATAGTGATTCCATGAAAGCCATAAACCTATCGGTCTCCTCTTCGGCGCTATTGGCGTGCATCCAGTCAAGAAGTGTTGGGTCGGGCCTTACAGATACCACCCCAGACTGGCTGAGGGAATCCGCAGTGCTCGAAAGTGCATTGACTTTGGAAGACCTGTGGACAACAATATCTCCATTCTGCCGGACAACAGTGAAGCCCAATTGCTCCAACATATGCTCAAATTTTTCAACTTGCCTGAATAGCTGCTTTGAAAGCTCTTGAGACCTTGTCCCGCAAGTCTCAACTTTACCAACAGCGTGCTGCTCAGTTTCAGCCATGGCCTCCACCCTTGTCTTCCAAATCAGGATCTCGTCCTCAGCCTGCCGAGCCTGAGCTTCGACTTCGGCTAATCTTTGAGACAGGTCCGCCAGTTTTCGTTCTTCCTCTATGACGCGTTCCCGAAGTGCGTCAGAGCCAGTCTCGCCTGATGCCAATTTAGACTGCAGAGCAATAAACTTGGTGCGTTCGTCATCCAGCTCGGATGTAACAGTTTCCAGTCTTGATCTCTCTTGCACCAGCTCCTTTTTGACTTCGGACAGCTCTGATGCGCGCATTTCTGATGTCTCCCTTAGTTCTTCGGCTTCCGACTCGACTTGTTTCAGGCGCTCTTCAAGCTCCTTGGTTTCGGCTACAGCTTTGGCGGTGCTTTCTTCAGCATTCTTCGCATGAATCGATAGCCCTTCGGAAAGTACTTCAATGGCCTTGATAATGCTAGGAATCTCCACTGGGACGGTGCCGCCAGGGGACAAGTTCATGAAAGCCGCTTGTAAAGAATGAATATTCTCTCGATCCCTACATTTTCTTTCTGATTCTTGCTTCTCCAGATCTTTAATTCGAGTTTGCAAACCCTCTTCCGTCTCCTTAAGAGACTGCACGTATGCCGTCAAGTCAGTCACCTTTTGTATCTCTCCTTCTGCACGGGCATGAGCATCTTGGAGCTCCATCTCAAGCTGGTGAATCCGCTCGTCGCCATCCTGTTTCTCATGCTCCCGGCCCTCCACCATTCTATCCAACTCCTCCTCGAGCTCTTCGGCTCGAATCTTACACCTTTTCATTTCGTTTTCGAGGAACCTCCGCTCATCATCAAACTCACGCTGCCGGGCTTCAAGATTTCCAATCAGATCTTTTTTCGTGGACTGCGCCTCCTGTATCTTGTCAGTGTTGGATTGACGTTCTGCATGTGCTTCCCTTTGGAGCTTCTGAACTGTCTCCCGTTCTGTAGCCAACTCAGCTTCGAGGTGGACAATACGCTGCACTAGGGCCTTCTCCTCTGAAGATTGGTTCGAGGACATCCGTCTTGAAGAGACAGAAGATCTTCGCGACAGTGTATCGGGGTGCGGCGATGCAGGGGAGCTAGGAAAGTCAAGCGAGAAGTTCCCACTAACCGGTCGCCCCATGTGACTCTGGCGATGTAGCAGGTCTTCAAGCTTCCGAATACGGCTTTCAGAACCTTTAATCTTCTCTTCTAGTTTGGACTTCTCATCCCTCAAGCTCCGTACCATGTCATCACTGCGAAGCAAAAGAGAGCTTCGGCTGAGGTCGAAGACACTGCCTTGTTTGAAGGCCTTTGCTTTGCGGCGTTGTAGGCGTGTAGGAGCGTCCAATTCTTTATAGAGTTGGGTCAACTCCTGGGCTGGGCTGGCCATACCAGGTTTAGTCTTCAATTCTTCAATGTACGATTCGATCTCCTTCCTACTGACTACCGGCCATTCATACTCTTGGCCTCGTAGGTTAACTTCGATCCCCGGTGCAGTAGTGTCGGAAATAGAAATGAATTCACCCATATTTTTCATCCATTTTTTTCTTCGGCGTTGCTCCTCATCCTGAAACACGGACATTTCCTCCGCTAAAGTGAGCGAATCGCTCTTCATCTTGTCGCTGAACTCGCGGCGTCGAACAGACTCAATCAACACAGACCCATAAACCATGGGCATGTGGAAAACTGTGTACAAGATGTCGAACGCATCGCTTTGAAAATTCAGATTGTTTATCTGAGACTGCACATCAGCAAGTCGTAGCTCGAGCGATGATATTTGTCGCATATGACTAAAAGCGGCTTTAACTGCAGCATTGTATTGCATGACGGCCTCCTCCAAGTTGGTCTGGATCTCGGTACTAATGTCCAACAGCGATGGTAAGAGGTCCTTGGTATGACTTAGGGCAAGTCTAGAGACGTTGGCTAGCGTTTTCTGGTTGTTGGGCAAAGCCAAGACATGTTCATAGTCGGATTGTATCTTCTTAGATATGGTTTCCACTTCTTGCAATAGGCCTTCAATGCCGTCCACACCCGAAGGGACCGTAGAATCTACCAAGTGCTGAGTGTCTGCAGCAATCCCACCAACAGCCTTCTCCACAACTTCAACCTGACGAGCAATACGCGAGGATACATCCGCTGCCTCTGAGCCAGCTCTGTGCACTTCTTCTGTATCCAGATAGTCACGTAACGTCCCCGTGGATCTGTCCTTGCCCTTCGTTGGAGTGGATGGACGTCCTAGGAAAGTAATGTCCTTTCGAGCTGGAATGTTCTCCAAGGTCGCGAGAGTTCGTTTCCATCCGTCAAGAGCTGCTTGTTGTTCCTTCAAGAGATCATTTGCCCATGCCTGGGCTTCTGTGAACCGATGTTCCAAGGCGCCCACGTGAGTTTTCAAGTTCTCAAGAGCCACACTGATAGCGCGGTTGATAATGTTGGTCCTCTCGTTGTGCTCTTGTATGACCTTATCTACAGACTTGCAGCGCTCCAGCAAAGCCACGGCCCACGTTCGTCTGGCCATGTACAGGTTCCGCCAGGCCTGTAGGTTATTCTGATCGGCGAGGGTATCGGGAGGGTTTTCGAGGTTGAGCGGTTGTGGAGAGGGGAGGACCGGGAGGTCTTGGTCGTTCGGTTCACTAACATATCTACGGTCATACACGAAAATCTCATCCTTATACGAACAGTGAGCTTCGAATCTCCAGAAGGTGGGGGGGCAGCTGGCGGAGCCATACCTCAGTAGCTAGTGTCTGTATCTTGACGTTCTTCCCGCGGGCCGTCATTAAGATCTGCCTCTGTGATGGGATTGAGGTGTTTCGGGTAATCCATGATCGAAGCGCATCGGGACTAGTGATCAAGAATGATGGCGTCGATTAGCATTCCCATACCAAGACCAAAGGGGAGATAAAGAAACGGGGAACAAAGGGATGGTCCGGGCACATAGAGTGGAGGTGAAGATGAGCTGAACATACGATGCGAACGACACCGGATCGGCAAGAAAATGCTCACCGGTGTGAGCGATGTAGATGTGTAAAGACATCCCCACCTCACCGGCCGAACAGAGCGGCTCAAAAGTGACTTCCTCGTGAGGTGAAAGGAATCTGGAGGAAGAGAGATAAGGGCGTTCATATAAACGCAAGGCATCCAGACCTGAAGAAGCTCCCCGGACCTAGGCCCGTTTTGGGTGACTGACATACACGGAACCACCCAAAGCAATTCTCCACCGCCCGACCGATGGCTTGACCACTACAAAAAAAGCTTCTTATCACGCGATGCTATTCTAAGCTGGCCACGAGGTCTCGTTTGATGGCATCGGTGAAGGCTCACTCCCTACCTCACCTGGACCCGGGTGAGGTTTCCTTGGTGGATCTCGCAGAGGATGATCCCAGAGATGTCGTATCTTTCTCCGACAAGGAGGCATTGACCCTACAACTATATCACCAAATTCAGGAACAGGAACTAGAAAAGGCACTACTGGAACAAGGTAAGTTGCCTTCCTTTGTTCTGCGACCCCTTTTCATGACTCTGAGGCCCTCGTTCTTATTACTGGCAATGCAAACACTAAGGTCTTCTAGATTCCGAGTTACTCTCTGGGGACGGTGCCGAAGAACAGCTGGCTATTGCAGAACGTGAGCTTCTTGAAGCTAGAGCTACTTACACGGTCAGGCGGAAGGCCCTTGGAGCCGTTCTTATGACAGATCCTACTCTCAGAGCTGTTCTTCTGAAAGCTACATTTCCGACTGAACAGTGAGCCTTTGTATTTCCTTTTATTCTTTCCCCCCTGTTTTGCCCCTCTCTTTGGCAATTTTTACCTACGTGAGAACCGCAGGTTGGAGAATCTGGGACAATTCTAACAAACGACAGAACGCTTCTTCGTCTTGTCAATCGACGTGACGTGCTCTCGCTAGCACATGAAAATTTGAATGCTGCGCTGAACTCGACTCTGAAGAAGTTGTCCAATACGGAAGTAGAAAATCTCCAGCTGCACCAAACAAACAAAGAGCTCGTGCGAGAGTTACTAGATCTGACGAAGAATGATGAATCATGGAAAGAAGAACTTGACGACATGAATGTCAAGACGCTGCTTGAGCAAGTCAAAGTGGATCATCGAAAGAGCAAAGCGAAATGGGAAACTATAAAAAGCATTACTAGCGCCATTGTTGTTGGCAGTGGCGTCAACTGGTCTGAAGATGAAGAGCTTATGGCTCTTGTCTTGGATGAATCTGACGATTGATAGATTGGTGGCAGGTGATGAATCTTGTCCTCCAAATGATGCCGGCATTACTATTCGAATGGCGTTGACTTGATATACCTTTCTTGGCTAGCTCCCGAAATAGAAACAATATGATGCCTTGTTAAAACTAGTTAGGGCCTATGGAGTATTGTGTAGAAAATGGGACTACTCCGTAATTGGGGAGAAGAACTCAAGGGGGAGGAAAATACACAGTAACCATGCCAACAAAAAGAAAAGTGCATCGACCCACGTGACATCATCTGGTTCCCGATGACGGCAAAGAGCGCGTTCGTCATGATTTTTGCAAGCACACCCAAAAAAAAAGGTGATGAAGTAAATTGATACCTCCAGAAATCATAAATAAATTACAACAAAAAAGTTAGCAATCAACGCTAAAATTCACGTATGATCGAAAAACCACTCCACACCTACTCAAATGGTGAGGGTTGAAAAAAAATTCAAGGGGGAAAAAATCAAAAGGGAAGGAGAGCTCCATAAAATGCATGAGCATATGAAGAGCGCGTATCATAAAAGCATGGGAGAGGGTAATCAGGCCAAAGAGGAGCCGGCGTTTCCACATGGAACCAAAACTCGATCACCCCCTCATTATTATTAATGGGCAGATACAGATCCTTACTTACAATACCACGATCATTCTCTGCCCCATCAATACAGAGCCAGTATTTTGCCGGTAAGTTGGATGGTGTTGTTTGGAGTGGAATGCAGTGGCATTTAGTAGGAGCAGTAGCGGTACTTTGTGATCTGTGCAAAGCTTACAGTACCTACTAGTTCATTACAGCAGTCCGTCTATCAAGACTTTATTTAATTAATATATCAATTAGTGGCTATTATCTGTAAAGCAACTATCCGACAATCAATGCTTGTCGTCCTTGTTGCAAATGCCAATAGATGTACCTCCTAACTCTGACCCTGGAAACAAATTGGCAGCCGTTTGTACTCCGTGGTACAGATAGTCACAAACCCATAGGATTGGCCATGGATGCATCCTTGGAACCTTTGCTCTTTAGATTTTCCTACCACAAAGCTCCCTAGGGAGAAAGGATGAAGGTGGTATGATGATCTAGCAAGATTGGCATTTGTCTGACAGTGTCGCAAAACTATCTCATACTGGGCGTTGATGTACTTTGAGGCCCTATTGGTACACAGTTGGGGGGGGGTTTGTTTTGGGGTTTGTGGCTTTGCGTTAAAAAGTCAAGGTAAAAAATAATAAAAAGACTTCCTATGTGCTTCGCCTTCTATCCCTTAAACTACTCCGTACAATCACCTTTCTCATTGGCAGGTAAACTTTATGCCAGGAGAAGACTGCGAAATTAGGATTAAGTGCCGTTGGAAAGATTCTCTAAGATACTCTAGTAGGTCCTGGTACATGTAGCTCATAGTACGCATGAATCCAATCAAGCACCTTGTTACCGGCGCAAGGGACCCTGGAAAGTATCCCGAGTATTGCAGGCTAGCAGGAGCTATTTGTACTAAATTAAGTGGTTTGGATGAGATGCGTCCATGTCCAAGTCAAATTGACCCGGACCCAGCACATGTAACTGGCACAAGCGCCGAGCCGAAATGAATAAACGATTTGCAACTATGCATATCACAGAATACAGAAATTCGCATAAAAACGAAGAAAGGGATGTGGTCATTGTACGAAGTCTTGTTAGGCCGCCGTATATACGTATATACAGCTAGAGGCTATGGAGGATGGGTGACATAGAATATCAATATGCCACCATCACCAACTGAATCAGCGGCGTAATATTTAAAGAATGAATATACGCCATGAGTTTGCATTATGCAATATTCATTCATCCACCAATACTGACTTACAAGCTAACTACTAATCGTATGCAGTACAAACGAATAGTGAAGGGCACGGGCTGCGGCAGTTGTGTATGTATAAGGGTACGGAGTATGTACATACATGGTACGGAGATTTTTGCAGGACGATGGTAGTTATGGGTAGTAGGTACTAGGTCCTACTGCTACGTACTACTTTACCGTACTACAACCACTGCCACCCATATTCCGTCAATCAATAGATAGTGTTAGGTATGTAAGTTACCTGAGGTAAGTTATCCACATGGTGGTAAGTAGGTAACCTCATAGTGGCGGCGGCTGAATAGTGTATTGTGACTGTCTTGTATCATACAGTACGCTGGCTAATAGTGGAGCTGCGTCAAAACAATTCCTCTGCACGAATTGATTGCCGGCTTTGTCTGACGAGGTGATGGTTGAAGAAAACCGTAGCGATGGCACCGATTCCGGTAGAGGACACTTCTGCAACCCTAGTAGTTCCGTCCGCTCAGCAATCAACCAAGAAGGATGTGTTCGATGGGAGTTGTAGGGGAAGAATGGGGAATGACCATACATAACGGGTATGATACCATACCACTCATTCCCGAACACACCATAGCCAGTCGCAGCCAGACTTCCCTTTCTGTGCTGCCCACTTCCCCCCTTCGCAAGTGCGAGTAGGTAGTGGCCCGCCTTCCCGTCTCCCTCTCTCTCTCCTACTACTACTACTCTCCCCTCTCCCTCTCTCTCACTCACTCTACCTACTCTCCCTCACTACGCTTCCCATACAATCCTCTCTTCCCCATACAAAAAAGTACTGCATATCCGCGTCGGTGAGTTCTCTAGTAAATATTCGCGCTTCTCACATTGATTTCACACCACCCACACAATTATAATTTTCTCCTCAAACTGTCCGTTTCCACTCTGAAGGCTTTCTTCAAATGTCATCTCCCTTGGTTTTTTGTCACGGCTTCGCGATGTTACTGTCGCGCATCTGCAGCGGCAACTATATAGTTCCAGAAATAAAGTGTTGATCCAAACTGACTTTACTCACCAACAGGCCAAAACTGCCGACTTCAAAAACACTAAATTTGATTTTCTTTTGAAGTCAATTGTCGGGTAAGTCACTTGTGCGCCTTTTCCTTTTCGTGTTCTGCCTTAACTTGCGCCCGCGATCGGACTTGTTTGGGGCGCGCGCGCACGCTGGGGCCGCACCATACCTTTCTACTGCGCGGACTGTCGCATTACTGGCCCCCCGACCTGACCTGTTTCTTTCTTCATTATTCTTTCACCTCTCCTTGTTCTCGCTGCGTGCCTTCAATCCCTGCCAACCCACCCAAAGCCACTCTTTGCATTGGCACGACCTCTTTGCCTTGGGCTTTCTAACGAGACTTGTTTTCTACAGACCACACCAAGATGCCTAAGGAGAAGACCACACGTAAGACCAAGGGTACCCGCGTTGAGCGCAAGAAGAAGGGTATGTCCTCCGCTCACCTGCTCTGAAGCGCACTGACTGACCGGTTCTTGTAGACCCCAACGCACCCAAGCGTGGTCTCTCTGCTTACATGTTCTTCGCCAACGATAACCGTGAGAAGGTTCGCGAGGAGAACCCCGGCATTTCTTTCGGTAAGAGACACAGACCAGAGTCGCAAATTCGCGCATCGCACCAGCTAACTATCGAACAGGTCAGGTTGGCAAGATGCTCGGCGAGAGGTGGAAGGCCTTGAGCGATACTGACCGCCGTCCCTATGAGGAGAAGGCTGCCGCTGACAAGAAGCGTTATGAAGATGAGAAGGCGAGCTACCACGTACGAGAACCCCATCGCATCGTGAGTTTGGAACATGCTAATAGATTGCAAATTTAGGCTGCTGCCGAAGAGGATGAGGAATCTTCCTAAACCATCTTTCCACCTCCTCGCAGGTCTTGTGAATCTTGACCGATTGGCGTTTCGTGTTGTTTATTCCCGCTAATTGCCTGACTTGTATTTGTCGCTTCTTATATTTCTTTACTCAATGGTTTCTGGTATGGGATGACGGTGGTTTCTCCTTGCTTTTCTGTTCATGAAGGATCTTCAATGGGACATGTTTACTGTATGGATTGGCGGCTTTGGGATGGATTTGACTTGAATCGAGGGGTGCCCGGCGCTGAACTCCAGATTGGCGGGAGAACCTTGTTTCGAGTATCTATGGTGAAATATGAATTGAAGCTGTTGAGACAAGCAAATCTGCTGTATACTAGCCTAATCAACCGCATCCTTACCTTTCTCTATAGAGTGCCTCTGTCAGTATAATGACGGATAATAATGGGTTGGAGTGTTGGAAACTAGACATGTTTCTTTTTACAGCTTTGTTGAGCTATTGAGCTTTCCATCCAGCTTGGCCCAAGCTCCCTCGATGACGCGGGCGTTGTTTACGTGTTGGACGCGTCGTGTTCCGAACTTCCGATATCTCCGAGCTTTTGCTGCCTGAGGCTGCAGAAACCCATGAGTGGTTGTCTTTCAGTCCAGCGTCTAGACCCTTTCGTAGATATTTAAGTCCCCAATTTCCCCTCTTGGTTCGGCCACTTTGTATCTACTCACATTGTGACACAACTCATCGTACTTACGCGACAAGCTTAGGAATTATGCACCTATGTACAAGGCTATCCAAACAAAGGCTGCCAACATGGCCAAGTGCATACATACACACGCTAGGGCACCTAACTGTTCTCGAACAAAGCCGTGCTGGCTCCAGCATCTACCCGTCACGATGCTATTCTCTGACTGGGCTGCCGTTGAGCCTTGAAGAATTGCACAACCGCGTCAGGCAGAAATTGCATATGATTCAACGTGTTTGCTACACTGGCCACCCGGAAGCGACAGAAATCGTCTACTTAGTTTCAAAGCTGTGTCTGCCCAAAAAAGCTCTCAAACGAGCTGTAGTGAACGGGTCGATGTCAACTGGATATGAGCCGGATTTAGCGGCAGAGTCAAATTACGAGGAGCGTATCTTTTGCGCTAGATGATGCTGTTTGTATCGGTGGTCCACTACTGAACTCAACCTGGTATTGCAGTTCTTTAAGCAGGATGCTGGGTTTTGCACGCCTAACTTTAGTCGGGCGGACTCTTGATGTCTTCGGAATACGGCACAATCCCTGGATTTGCCCGGCAATATTAACAGGTTGAAATTGACGGCCACAGTCTAATTGCTTCCCTTCTATAATCAAGATGGCTCCGACCGGGTTCGCTCTTGGAACCAGGTATCGCTTCTGATTCCGCATCATAGTGAAACCATGTATTTTCTTTCCAATGAAGTGCCGCGAGACCACTTAAAAGAGATTGCTGGCCCTAGATCTATAGATGTGGCATACATAACAGATCCATAACTCCATAGCAAAGAGTGGGCCGTCAAGTGACATGAGAAGGATATAATCTATACGTGGTGTTGAAGGAAATGCCATTTCGATCCGAGGATTAATAACTAGTACTTACAATGCGTCCTTAGGTTCATTCGAGTCAATGATAATGATGTCTCATGATCCTGGTTGGTCAGTGACAGGGGAAAGCCAACGTGACTTTGATTGCATCCCTTCTCGACTTTCTTACTGCATGTCAGATTGGATGGCTTTCGCCTTCCGCCTGCCTTCCGCCTTCCGATGGCCGGCTTATCATCGTCTCATTGTTCGAGTCTTCGGCAAAAGTGAGTTCTTCTCCCCAAGAAAAGAAAAAGAAAAACGAAAAGAAAGAAGTGAAATCCCTGATCCACCCCCCGTGTGGTGTGGTGTGTGTGTGTATGTGTGTGGGGGTTACACTGTCCACTCTGTCCATCACCGCTTCATGGCGCCATCGTTCATTGGCTTCATGAATTCTCCGCTCATGGACACGTCAATGGCCCCAAGTCAGTTAGACACTTGGAGGGCAATTACCCTATGCGTTTCAAGCCATGGTCAGCATGAGAGCCGCAAGTGAGGGTCATGGATGGCTTGTTGTTTAGAAGGTCTGGCTCTGATACACTCCATTGACTATTTGACCCGATCGTTGCCCCACTTGACCCGCATTCTTCTGTGGACAGATGATTGTTTAATTGATGGTTTTATGCGACTTCCTTTGGCTTCTACGAGAAATTGGTTTTATTTCGTGCAAGACCCGATGGTCTCTTTTCCTCGGACTTTCCTCAGTTTGGATTTCTCCTACCGTTCGGGGGTCAATCCGGAGGAGCACAAATTGACTGGCTCCTCTTAGTGAGTGCGATACGATGCATGCTGATCGCACAACACTCTCCTCGAACGCATTATTCTACGACTGAGTTGTCGTCGGGTCACCCCTCCACAGCTACATATGGTCCGAATTACCCTTATGAATAGGGATATTTAGCTTTCACGTTTTTCTCCTCCCTCGTTCCTCGCCCTTCGTTGCTTCTCTTTCCTTTTTTCTTCTAAACGCCATTTTCATTATAAGATCGCTGTCAGTTACATCCATAGTGTTTCCTATACTTCCCGGGCTTGCCGTTCAGTATTCACAACCCCTTCATCTACTGTTGAGGGAGCCCACACAGGAGTGTTATATATCTTTCTGTCTATTTTATATGTATGTGTATATGCATGACCCGTTAGAGATACGTGTCTATCATGGCCCTGCGTACTTCCGCCGATAACGCAGAGGATGTGGCCGCTGGCTTTCGTGCATTTCGGGATCATCTCCCTGGACATGAAGCTGAAATAACTGGCCTAATTGCGGATCTTTTTGCTGTCAGCTCAGCTCTCAAAAGGTTGGACAATCTCACAAACGATCGTCGTTATCAGCATCATCTGGCCGCCGTACATCCCGACCTAGAAGTGGTCCGTACCAGCTTGAAGATTACCCTTGAGGATATCGTCGACTTCTTCGGGGATCTTGAAGTGCGCAGAGGCTCTATCCGAGATGTGTATAAGAGAACATGGATGGAGCTATGTGCCTTCTTCAAGGACGAGTTCCGAGACTCTCTCACCACACGCTTAGCTAGGTACAAGAGTCTTTTGCTTGACTTGGAGGATTACATGAAGGAGTATGTCCTTCCCCTCTACCACATCCATAGATATTTCTATACTTATATTCTATCCCTAAGCAGCAGCCTCTCTAATACCTCATACATGGCTGGGGTTCGTACCGATCTCAGGACGTTGCTAGCCCGACAAAGCAGCCGATTGTCACATCAACTAGGTTCCCTGTCTCTGAGCACACCGTCATCTCCTAGTAGCCATAGCGCCGAATTTGGTAGTCCTGCCAGTGACCGTAGGCCTCGTAATCGAAGGTCCTACGAACGTGCTAGACCGTCTCATGCGTCTCCGCAATCACCCCTCTCCCCTGTGTCTGGAACATCCTCAGACACCCCACCCTCGGCTCCGGATGCACCTGGATCCCCTTTCACCGGTTCGGCCACAAGCCATTCCTTGGGTTCAAACGTTATCAGTGACCATTGGGCTAAGAGGGTTTTCAGAGAAGTGCGTGCAACGACTCGAATTCCATATGTTGGCGAAAGGTGAGAGATTACAGCGCATTCAAAGACCAACCAGGCTGATGCTTGCTTAGTTCCAAATGCCTAGGCGACCTAACTCCCGGGGTAAAACGATGGCTTCATGAGGCAGGGTTTGAAGAGCTTTTTCAATTGTATGTATTGGAAACCTCACTCCGTCACTTTTTTTTTTAACGTGCTACAGAGCCTTCAACGGCGATTCGGATTTGCGTGTGCATTTGTATGTGCGAGAAGATGATCATCGGGCACGTATTATGTGCAAGACTCTTCGCTCTACCCGATCTAGTGATTATCAATGCCTCCCTCTGAATATGTTAGAGATTGTTCGTGTAGGCTCCTGTCTGCAGCTGTGCCGACGACGTCGTGGCGGCCTTGAACTGGTCCTGTGGGCTAATCTCAAGTTTAGCACAATTGAGCGTGCGTATTAAAATTCCCACTCCTACGTTTTGAACACTGCGCTGAAGAATTGAACAGATATGGTATTGTTTTTCTGTACGTTCCTTGCTCTTCGCTCGCAGGACTGTGGTCGGCCAGTGGATCACATCCGTGACTATGAGCTAGACGATGAAGAAGAGCTCTTTGGAGGGTACGCATATTCTTGACAGTAGGAGGAACGAGAATTACTAACCTAGGCATTCTAGACCTATTGTCGACGACAATTTCCTTCATGCCCTACGCATATACCGTGATCGTACATCTGGCGCCATAAGACTCCAGGCATCTGTGCACAAGGGGGAGATGAAACGGTGGGATACCCGAAGGTGTGGCGACATTTAAACGGTTCACTAACTGACCGTTTATATAGTGCTCCAGTCTGGACGGCATTCATAACAAATCACATTGGCACTCGGGGATGGATCCGTCAAGCTGACCCAAAAGTTGTTCTGCTACGTGAACTTCAACGAACAGTTTTCACCTTTGAACACTATGACCCACCACGCACATCTCGAGGAGAGCACATATTGAGGTTTTCGAATCGCTCTGGTTGGTTACTTTATTTCCCCTTCTATTTGTCTCCCGATCACCAAGGCTTACTAATTTACGGCATACAGATGCCCAGGGTTTTGTGGAGACTATCGCTGAGCTCGCGGCCCGTTGATCTGGTCAATTAATCTACCCCAAAATTTTCTATTCGGGACATTTCCACTATTTCCAACAGCTATAAAAAAGGTAGGGTTCATGAACAATCAAACACAGGAAAAAAGTAAAGAATTTCTCATGTGAATGACGTCCGACGTCCGACATCCACGACATTGTTATACTACACTAATTACCGAACCATCACGATTAATGAGTTATGTTTATGAATTTCATGAACTAACGAGGCTAACTGGATGGGACTATTGTTTCTTTTGATACTTTATAAATAATCGCTTCGCTATTCCTTAATGGTGTGGCTAGAGTCTGACTTAAGTTTCTGATGGGCATAGTTCTGTTAGGTACTGCTATACTAAGTGTCCAGGATCTCAATAAGGAGAAAGGAGAAAGAAATAAATAACAAGGAAAACCAATATTCACTCTAGTTGTAAGTGTAAACAAACGAATTTCATGATATAGCAAACTAAAGGGGTATCTTCGAAAATTAAAGCCTAATATACAGGGAAGACACTCAAGCACCAACGTCTCCCAGCTTAGCTAGAAACATCTCTGCCTGTCTCTTGGATCTCAGCTCTCCAATTTTCTTCCTGCGCTCATCCTTAACCCGTTCTCGCTCTGCCTTTCTCTCGCGGCGGCCGTCCCGTTCTCGCTGAGTCTCACCCCGCGCATTCATGAGTTCCTCCATCTGCTGCTTACGCAAATTATCATCCTTGGAGAAGGCGTAAAAGCCTGTTCCCCGATTCCGAACCTCGGCATCTGCATCATAATGCATCTCTTCGGGTGGAGTAGGGGACCGATCTCTCCGCTTAGCAAGATATGACATCTGTGCCGCCATGCCGGCATCAGGATTGAACGCCTCCGACTGCACAGTAGCCCCGTAGATCAAATTGTCCGGGCGAGAAGGACGCCAGCGCTCCCTGGGGTCGCCCCGCTCATTCCCTCCCTCTCTCAACTGGGCCGCATGAGCCGCCTCGGCTCTAGTCCCACGGCGAGTCCGGCCAAGTTCATCCTCATAGGAGACAATCGATGCATTGTCATCATCTCTCTCTTCCTCCTTATCCTCGTCACCATCGCTCCCCGAGCCCTTGCCCCTCTCTGCATCGGCCCATTTCCGATCAAAATCTACCAAGCCCTCCTTCTCCCTCCGCCGCAGCCGATCTAGATACTTGTCCTTCGTATCTTCTTCCGAGTCACTGTCGGCCGCCAGGTACAGCCCCTTCTTCAGGTCCTCGTACATGCGCGCCTTCTCCTCCATTCGCCGCTTGGAGCGGTGCAGCGTCGCGGTGTCCAAACCCCCGATATCTTGGGTCCGCTGGTGCGTCTGATGGGAGTCATCGTTGTGGATGTCAGCAGCGGCACGCTTCTGGGCGCCTTTGTTGTGGCGCGTGAAGATGTCCGATTTGTTGGATTTGGAAGGTCGGGGCCGGCCACGGGTGGAGGAGTCGGTGTCTTTGCTGATGAGGGAGGAGAGGGCTGTTGTGAAGGCGAGCGTAGAGGAGGATGGTGCATCAGATTGAGATTGGGGTGTTGCTTTAGAGCGAGAGATGCCGTAGAGGGAGTTTGATTTCGACATGATGAGTTTTGTTGGAGATGAGATGAAGTTTAGCTATTCTCGATCTAATCGCAATCAATAAGGATGGAAATTCGACTAAGTGGGAATAGGCAGGTATGACTAAGGCCGTTCATAGATGACCCCACGGAATTCCCATGTTCCACCTACTTTTATATCCTCTTCTCTCTTTGTCTCTTTTTCTTAAGAATCACTGCTTTTTTTTTTGGCTTAGAGGGCTCTGGTTCAGTTCCCCTTTCTATCTATATCCCATATCACTTCCCAATCAATTGCCCATCACCATGTCGAACCCCGTTTATCTCGGTGTCATTGGTAAGTACATACCACTACAACCAACAGCCTCCCCACCCACTATACAAATTCAATCAAAATCGAAAACTAACCCATATCAGGTGTCGGAGGCGTAGGATCCGCCTTTCTGAGCCAACTCGCCCGCCTCCCTAACGCCCCCAAGCTCGTCCTTCTCGCTCGCTCCAGCCAAACCCTCCAGTCTCCGACACCGGCCTATTCCCCCGCCATCCCCGCCGCAGATTGGAACACCGCCGTCGAGACGCCCTCCCTGATCAAATCGGGCGCTCTCTCCGTTGATGAAATCGCTTCCTATCTCTCCTCCGCCCCAGGCCGCTCCATCCTCGTCGACAACACCAGCGACCCTGCCCTCGCCAGCTCTTACCCCGTCTTCCTCCGCAAGGGTATCTCCATCGTCACCCCCAACAAGAAGGGCTTCTCCTCCGACCTCTCCCTCTGGAAAGACATCTTCGCCTCCGCCGCGCAAGGCAAGGCCCTCGTGTATCATGAAAGCACCGTGGGCGCAGGTCTCCCCGTGATCTCGACCCTCCGCGACCTCGTCAACACCGGTGACGAGGTCACCCGCATCGAGGGCGTTTTCTCCGGCACACTGTCCTTCCTGTTCAACACTTTCGCCCCGGTGTCCGGCGCCTCCAGTGCGAAGTGGAGTGAGGTGGTTGCCAAGGCCAAGGAGCTGGGTTACACTGAGCCTGACCCCCGTGATGATCTGAACGGTATGGATGTCGCTCGTAAGCTGACCATCCTGGCTCGTATCGCCGGACTAGATGTGCAGTCTCCTGACTCGTTCCCGATCGAGTCGTTGATTCCTAAGGAGCTGCAGCCATTGCCCTCCACTCCGGAGGGCACCGCGCAGTTTATGGCCAGGTTGCCGGAGTTCGATGGTCAGATGTCGGCTATCAAGGATGCTGCTGAGAAGCAGGGTAAGGTTGTGCGGTACGTTGGTAGCATCGACGTTGCCAAGAAGGAGGTTAGCGTTGGCTTGCAGTACTTCGACAAGGATAGCTCTATCGCTGGTCTTAAGGGCAGCGATAACATCATCAGCTTCCACACGAAGCGTTACGGCACTAACCCGCTCGTTGTGCAGGGTGCCGGTGCCGGCGGTGATGTGACTGCCATGGGCGTGACCGCTGACCTGATGAAGGCCGTGGAAAGACTGCAGTAAAAATTCCTATTACTAGGAGGCCGGGGGGGGGGGGG